GCCAAGATTATATCCAATTGATAATGCTTGAATTGCGCGAATTGAATTGTCAAAATATTATTTGAGCTGAGATTCTGAATGTTTTTGAATTTTTTTATTTATTCTAAATAATTGCTCATTTAAAATGATTTTTTGTTCAAATCATGTAAATCTAATAAATATTTATAAATAAGATTGGCACCGTTTTTATCGCCGATATAGTTGGAATGCCACAACATGTGAAATCAAACAAAATGAATGTCGTTTCTAAATTCGAATTCCAAATCAACTAACTTTGCCACAAATAATTCCCAGCATTGTTATTTCAATCATGTTGTTGCTATCAAAAAACCACCAATACCAATGTTTTTCGAATCGAAATTCCATTGCATAATACTTGACATTTCGAACGGAATCAGTGCCTCACGATTCGATTGTCGTTTTACTTTTGTTTTGTATTCCATTCACTCTCCGTCTCTCTTTATCTCGTCCTCCTCTTTCTCTCTCCCTCTCACTCTATCTGTGTGAGAGAATCTTCTATACATATAACATGTATAAAGTATAAATATTCAAGTATATAATATAGATGAATAGTTAGCTCACGATGACAAAAGTGCTCTGCACATAATTCTAATAAAATTAATTGGAATTGGAACAAAAGGCAATGCGACGGTCCAAACGCATAAATACCATATTGTGGTTTGGATTTGCAAATAGCATACATTAAGAATGATTGTCAGAAGCTACCGAGCATTCATTTTCATTTCGTCCCATAAGAGAATGGTGGTCGGTTCGATGGAGTGAGTGAATGTGTGAGAGGAGTTGGGTTTGAGTGTGGGTGTTTGGCAAATATTTCGCGTTCCAATTGTTTCGTTCGGTCGCCATCAGACGATCATCGTATCAACATGAGTCGAGTATGTTTGTCGATCCTGTTTGGCAATACAAAGCACAAAGACATGTGAGAACGCAATGGGATAAATAACAAGTGAAGTAACATTCCGAAAACGCATTCCTAGCCTCGAGCACAATTGCTGGATTGTGCAAAAGGACTTGCCAGAAATTGCTGTTTATGTTGTTTCACTCAATGGTTTATGTATGTGTGTTTGCGCTTCTGTTTGTGTTTATGCATGTCTCATTCATTTCACGCTATCACTATAACATACCAATAGTCATTTTTACGAAAAATGGCACACAATGTTCATTGCTTACACATGTCGAACAACAGCGACAGATAGTGTTAAGAGATTTGCACCATACGATTGTGCGTCCGCCTGCTCTCTCTCTCTATCTCTGCCTCATTCAATCTCTCAGCAAAAGCACACTAGATATGAGGATGATTATGAAAGTGCGGTCGAGCTCAGCAGGAGCTCAATGATGATGGCATACTGTTCTGTCACTTGTGTAATAATTGTTTGGGAAATTCCGCGAGCAATGACATTGTATTCACGTATTTTACGGAATCGCAATGAATTGTATCAACATTTTATTGTCGTTAAAATATTATTATTTCTAAACCAGTACCTTTCTGTTTCGTTCATTTGCGCTCAATCCCTGTGTATCAAGATTGGATGCAAAAAACGCGCTCAAAATATCTATTGGTGGTGTCATCATCATGCATGATGTCGGTTGGTATCGGTGCTGGCACTTCAAATTAAATTTTCGATGGCTTTGTGAATTGCGACCGTTTTTTTCTCTTCCTCATCTCCCTTTCTCTTTCGCTCTTGTTTGTCGTTCGTTTTAATGATGGGTGAAGTTAAATGGATAAATTTCAAGTAGATATAGCAGCATAATTGACACAATTTTCTCATGCACATTCACATACATACAAACATGACGAAAATGTGTGCATTGAAAAACAACCGTTCAATTTATGTTCTAATGCTGCCCCCGACTTGTGAGCGTTGCAATTCATTTGAACGTTGCCTGACCTATTTAACATTGGCTATACTGCCAGGCAGAACAGAACAGAGCAACGCAGTTCTGTGCATGGTGCATGCTATTTAAATTTATGTGTAATTAAATATGCGCACATACGGGAACCATACAACTTCGACCGTGCACCTCACGCAGAGAGGGAGACGAAGGATGAGAAAGATGAGAGCAACGAAATGGACAGCCGAGGACAGAGAGTCGCGAGACTGAAACACACGAACGATCGAAAAATGGATCTATACTAACAAAGCAACCCTAAATCGTTTTCTGTTTTCACTGAGCAATTTAATATAAGTCATTAATAATAACATGACTCGCTACTGTATCATAATAATAGTTACATGCAAGCACACAGATTTACTCACTCACTCACTCATACACTTACATACTCACTTACTCACTCTCTCGCTCACTTGTTTGCTCACACACTTGATGTGAGAGAACGAAACAACAATAAATAAGCATAAACGGTGTTAAGAACCGTTATAACAAAATCAACGTACTTTGTGCTTCGTATATTCCCATTTTCATTCTCACCAGCTCAAATGTCAATTGAAACTACCGAAATGATATTTAAGGGCTTTATTCAATTGAAGAAAATAAATTAAAACATTGGTGCAATTAGTTTTGAATAGATTTGGTGACCATACATACTACAAATGCACCGTAGAAATGTCTCCTTTTGTTTCAAAATTTTACAAAAACAATTGAAAATGCAAAAAAAAAATTCGAGAGCAAACAGAAAACTCTAATTCAATGTAAAGACAAATGATAAGGAGTATGGCAGAAAGCAAAAAAAAAAAAAAAATTGGCGCGCATCGCAAGAAATCGATAATGTATAAATATTTTTGATTTGCAATGTGATGAATATTAATAAATGAATACAATAAAAGAATATGAAAAATTTTGAAAAAAATTTGTAGAATACAAACAGAAAAATAAAATTTTATGTTAAAACAAATGATATAAGTACGAAACACTTCTTGATGGCAAAACACGCCAGAACCGGCATATCTATACTACTCAAACCATTCTAAATTGTTCGATATAAATTTTGATTATTTGCATATTTATGGCATTTAGTTATGAGCAACACACAGCACACAACCTCTTCATTTTTTTACCATTATGCGCCCCCAATAAAATGCACATAACCAACATAATGAGCAACTCGTTCAGCATACGGAATGGTAAGTGTTATTATATGCTCTTTTTCTCCCCTCTTCTCGCACATTGAATATCATTGATTTTACTGATTTTTAATTTAATTTTTGGCCGAGTACTTAGTATTGTAATGGGTTAACAACTGGTATTCACTTTAAAAATCAAACTAACATTTATCATTTTCACGAGAAAAGAATGTTATTTGGCAACCAAAGACATCATCATGGCTCTCTATTCAACGTCCCGTTCCATTTTTCGGTACGGAAAATTGATTGTGAAAATAGATTGGTTTTTAAGGAATCAGGGACTTATGAGTGGTAATATCCTTCCAATAAAAAAAGGGAAACTCCACATTTTAATGTCATTCTTGTTTGTAAATTCAATGGCACAAAGTCGATTTGTTATGGAAAAGGCGAAAGCAGCCGACAAAAAGGCACAACCAATCGACAAAAAAATGGGGCTGTTAAAAACATGGATATGGCATTTTGTTAATATTACTACAATTGATGGAATCCGATTGTGTGACAATAAATAAAATTGATAGCTATTCCACACTTTGTTATGCCAAACTCGATGCCATCAATTTTATTTTTGTTTATCTTATGGAATTTCAATTCCAAACATATTTGTATACTGATTGGCATCTGGCTACTGACACGCATGCACACTCTTTCTCGTTCGCTTCACTCATACCACCAATCACAATAATTCGCACATTCATTTTAATGGTGAATTATGTATTCAGACATTTGTTTGTTTTTGTTCTCGCTGGTTCTCGCATAGTAAATAGTATGACACGAGACACGGGAAGACACTATCGCCGGAGATAAATGGGATGTTGACAAAAACACTGCACGACGTTTCTACGCGTGGCTCAAGCAAATTGAGGTGAAATCTTACACTGATACTTCGACCCGAGGCAACAAATCCCCAAATATATTCAGGATTTTCCCGAAACCATTTTTTTTCTTTGTCTTCTTCGTTTTATCGTAACACACATGGGGTGTAGTGATTTAAAAAAAAAACACTATACATTGCTGATTCAGTAGAAAATTGATTTTTTTTTGCTTTTACCAAATGCTAATTACAGCACATTTAAAATGCCATAAATTGGTGGACATTTTTGATTCTAATGGTGTTGGTATGTGTTTCCTAATTGCATAACATAAACAAAAAAAAAGATATGAATTTAATGTGTTATTCATTCGAATGGAAAAGTAATGGAATGTGTTTTTTGTGTGCAGGTATTTTTGTTTGTTAGTTTATGGGAAGCCATTTGGTTATCAGAGCAAAATTCTACCATACATTGGTATGAGAATGACCTCAATAAATTATTTTTTTTTGCGTTTAACAACGGCCCAGAAAAACATAGAAAATAAAAACAAAAACAAACTTCCAAATAAAAAGTAAGCAAATTGCAATTGATCAAAGGGCCTTTGTTTGCATTTTATCGGCTGTTGACACATGTTTTTGGCTTTGTTTCACATTGTCACTTGTTTTGTTGTTAACAAGCATTTGGCAAACAAATTTATAAATCACACCTGAGCATATTGGATTGATAATCAAGGGGAGCACAGCAACTAAAACTAATTCTATTTTATTAGACGCACGCAAACACACACACACATTTTCTAAAAATGAAAATTTATTATTATGGTAAAAGTTATTTTATTTCATTTGGCAATTAATTTTCATTATGACAATTTAGCTCGCATTGAAACAATGAGGGGTTTGCATGTAATAAATCATATTTGTTCCGCCACAAAAATCTCATGTTAACACATTGTTTTGTGGTTAATTTTATCCATGATTCGCCCCTTGTTTGACATTTTCAAGGTAATCATATTCCATACCGTCACTTTTTACGCCGTTCTCTCTCTCTCTCGATGTCGTGTGAAGCACAAATTTTTAGTCGAACATGTAATGATTTATTCAACACATGCTTTTTTCATTGATGAACAAATCATGAGATATATTTGTGCATTGTTTATTGTGAGCATTGTTCATATTGTAAGTGATTGAGAAAGAGAGAGGGAGAGGGAGGGAGATAGAAAAAGATTTGTGCATGCAAGTGAAATTGAACGTTAAAGTGAGCGCTTTTTCTTTTTTAGGTGCAACATGTTGCGAAATCAGAAAGTCAACCTGAATCAAATGCAAATGAATTGATCGACACAATGCCAGACGCACATCCAATGGCATTACGTCGAATACGCAGTGTTGTGCGAATTAATAGCAAACGAAAACGGTCAACAAGTCGCTCAAGAAGTTCCACTAATCGTCGTACCTATATAACAAAAAGAACATCAAGCGCGTTGAAAAAACGCTCGAAAAAATGCTGCTCGAAACGGAAACACTTAAGACAAAAGAAAAAACGACGACGGAGAAGGAGAAGAAAATGTACAACAACAATCGCTTCAACTTTGTCGACATTATTGAGTACGGTAGTAGCTTCATCGAGTGCCTTAGTAACAAGCAGCAGCGGTAGTACATCCGGTAAAGGTTTAATGTTCTATTACTCGAATGCTTGAAGTAAATGCATGCTTTTAAAGGATAAGATGTTGACGTATCGATTGGCAAAAATATCAAGAATGTAGATGATTGTTTGTGTTTTTTTCTCTATTCAACCTCGATGCAATCTTTCGTATGGTTTGAGTTAATGGACAGATTTGCTTAAAATAACCATTTCCAAAGAATCGATTTTTTATTTAATTCGTTGGTTTATTTTTAGTTACTGTTTCGGGCTCTACGGGTTCGGGCTCTACGGGTTCGGGCTCTTCGAACAGTTCTATCAGTGCAGGAGCGAATGGAACGAATAATATTGTTATAAACATTAATAACGATATTTCTATCATAAATAACAACACAAATATTAATATAAATACAGCACCGAGTTCAGGCAGTACAGGCAGTACAGGCAGTACAGGCAGTACAAGCACTACAGGCACAACAGGCAGTACAAGCACTACAGGCACAACAGGCAGTACAAGTGGTACAGAAAGTACAAATGGTGGCGGTGGCGGTGGCGGTGGTAGTGCTACAGCAGAAGGAAATGCGGAAGCTAGCGGTGATAATGCGTCGGCGAATGCTAGTGCAAATGCAACAGTTACTGGGTGATCCACATAAAAGCAACATGATCCCATCGAAAATGGAAAAAAAATATTAACATTTCAAAACGTTAAAAATGCAACCGAAACGAGAAAAAAACAAACAAACATACATTTTACATAACAAGATTTTCACAAAAATAACGCTATCATACTAATGTCATAAAATGTTTACTTCATTTCGCGCGTCCATACACACACACACACATCATACCGTACCATCGTCCAAAAATAAAATACATTCGAAAATTGGCTAATTTGTTTTTTTCTTTATCTCCTGAATCGTCAAATGCCATGAGCAATACGAAAACTTTGTCCGACCTTTTGTGAAACGATCCTTTTTTACGTTTTATCATTAAAAACAGATTTTGTCGGTTTGTTACTGCACACAGTATTTATGCAAGAGAGGGAAGGACAGTTGTAGTAAGCCAGGGCCACTGAATGTAACAGGCGAAATGGGAAATGTTTAAATTTATGCCATTTTTTTGTATGTGTGTGTGTGTGTGTGTTCCGTTTGATATTGTCTTTCTTTTTTTGCCAGCGGAAATTGTGTAATTTGTGTGCCCTAAGTGAAAAGTAAAAAGAGTAGAAAAAACACAAGAGAAAGAGAGACAATTTTATTTAGCATCCACATCACACGCCAAAGATTATCTCCGGTCACAAGTTTTCCTCTTCCGTATATTGTGCATTACGAAAAATGTGTCCTCTTACGAGCGGCACAGGAAAAAAAAACGGCATACAAAAAAGTGTCCAAAATCGCAAATGGATTTTGTTTGCTTTACGGTTGCTTCCCTCTTCATTAAATCCAACACTCTTTCATAGGGTAGAAAGGGTACTTAGGCACAGCAAAAGAGTTTGTACATATTCATAATTAAATATATATTTTTTTTCACCGTCAAAAACAAATGCTTCCGTTGAGTACTTTGTATCAAAGTAAAGGCGAAAAAGAGATGATCATGAATTGCATCAAAGTATAATTGATATCAGCTGATTAAAAAATCATATCAACTTAATGATTGAGAATGTCCTCATTTTTCTCGTTGTCGTGTAAACAACGACACGAAATATCAAAACTGGAAATGTGTTTTTCATTGTCGAAATATAAATTCCGTGTTCGAGCGACCGAGCGTTAATGTTTATTTCGTTTTTGTGTACATATTTATGTTCCCATTGATTCATTTCACGCTATAGAGCAAGAGCATGCTCTAAATTCCGGGCATCGTCTTTAGTTTAATTACGTAGCTTTTGTTTAATATGACTGATATTTATGTATGTTGTTAATGTTGTTGTTTATATTTCGATTTGCCCCGAACTGAATTATTTGATGTTCAAATACACATAAATTACATTTATTTGAATGGAATTAGGTCAAATTATTTTTACGATTTACCCTATTTATCTAATTTTACTACTGGCTCAGTTCCCTCGTTCACACTGACAATGTCTTTATATGCCTTTATTCCAGCGATTCTCATCGAGTCACTCTCTCTCTCTATTTCTCGCTCATACAATTCAACCATTGTTTATTTCATTAAGCAAATAAAGTACCCGTTAGTTGTCGCTGTGTCTGTATTGAATTCGCCTTTTCGCATTCCTAGTGTCATCTAATCTTGATTTATTCACTAGCTACCTGATCTATTTGCAAGTTCATACATTTTAAACTCATTGTTTGAATGAAATGCGCACTAAGTGATAGATAGAGAGAGAGGCACGCAGCGAGTGGCAAACATTTAAACGTCTAATTACATTAACGCCATTTACAATTTATCGAAATAATATATGAGACGCGCGTTGCCGAGACGTTTTCCAAATCAAACGTTTCAATTCGGTAAACGCATTTCGAATCGAAAATTCCAATCCATTTTATTATCATTTTGATTTGAATCTAAATATTACGCCAAAATACACACCATTAAAATAATTTATTAATGAATTTTCTCTTCCGGTCAATCGCATGATAACAATCAAATTATTTCAACGTGATCTATTTAATTTTAGGTAAATAATGACATAGTAAATGAACTTCTTATCAATTTACTGCCACCAAGACTGGCAATAATAGATGTGTATTTGTGTTTTATAGGTACTGTTATATGTTACGGTGTGTGGCATATGATCAAAGTTTTATGCACAAGTTCGACAACTGGCCCCACAAGCAAAAGATAAGACCAACATGTTTTTACTTCCGTATACCATTATAATTATAAATCAATAAAATGCCAAAGTTTTCAATGAAAACATAAAACGCGTAGTGCTCCGGGCCAAACGAAACGCAGAACATAATAAATTATTTCGTCCAAAAGTTCATAATAAATAATTCATTGTGTATATTTATCGTCGGGCTTAAATGGAAAACGCTTATTAAGAATTAGACGCGTAAATACCGCGTGACATGGCTAATCAACGTAAATTCTGAAAAAGAAAATATTATTGTTTTTCACTGTCCACACTTTTATTGTCAAAAAAAATGTCATAAGTGATAAGCTGTAAGTTAGTTTGAGAGAACGTGTTCTCCAACCAAACAGTGATGATAAATGAAGAGGGGATGATTTAACGCGGTGTAGCGTATGGTATGCCCAAGAGACACATGAAACATATTTAGATACTTTGGTGCAGTCATAAAGTAAACAAAAACCACAATGAAATGGCCACATTTTCATTAAAATTTCAAAAATTATTTTCAAAGAGTAATGATTACGACTTTTGAATCTGTTCGCCTTTGAAAAGTCGTCATGCCAAAAATACCACCACCACCACACCACAACGCCAACGACGAATGAGAAACTTTTGCATAAACAACAACAAATGAACAAAGAAATGATATAGCAACAGAAGAAACAAAACTGTTCAACTCAAAGAAGTATTTAGAAACAATTTTGCCATTATGTTGAAAATTTTCAACGTTAAATGCTGTTCGATGTCTTCATTTCGTGGCGCGTGAAATAAAGTCGAAGCCGTATCTGATATTGATTATGCGTACCCTTTCAAAACTCATTTGTTGGTTCATTGAATGAACGCTCAGCTCAACTAACGGAAAATCATTTGATATTACCAAACCATCGGACTCGATATGCTCTTGTCCTATTCGTATATCGAATTTGTTCGCTGGATGAGAAGTTTTAACGCAAACAAAGCCTCAATACACAACAATAATATAATACAGCTGTATATCGACAAAGTGTTAGCAATCAAGGCAGAGGAAGCATCTAATCGAATCAACAAAACATTTCACCATTAGCGTAAGGTTCGATTACAATTTGCTCATAAAATCATCGGCATTCGTTCATTCATACATTTGATTTGATATACGATTCGAAAGCACACCAACTTTCATGTGTGTTCTTTATTACTACTATTACTGCGATGTATCGAAATGGTTTAAGGAACACTTTTGGTGCAAAGCAAGTATTTATATTCGGATTGTGTGCGCTTAAAATAAGCACTAAGCGGCCTGTTTACAAAAGCGTTTAATGTTTCAATGTGAAATGCTGCGTGGGATAATGTTTGTCTACTGTGGTCGACATGAGGAATATCTGGATGAAATCTGACACCCATTCATTTCGGACGTGTATATGTGGGTTGAGTATTGCAGTCGTGTGGTAAACGATTTTACAATTTTCCCATTTGGTCAAGGTGTAAAATCCCTTCAAAATGTCACATTAAACTAATTATACTTTTTATTCAATTGAAGAAGCATTTGAAAAAAAGAACGAATCATAAATTATGTCACATTGTTTTTTCTTTGACTTTTTCTTTGTTGAACAGAATCCCAATACATTTTCGGTGGAAAGTTTAAAAAGTCACCGGCTTTTATCTGGAAGGAAGGAAATGAAACTGGTCGATGCAATGGTAAAACATGCACTCAGCGGGACGAAATGGAAACGAAAACGACTAACTTTTTTGGCACTCTTAAAACTTTTCGAATGAGAAAAAGTAAAAATGTAAAACGTAAAAATAGGTCAACGACTACAATGATGATGATGATGATGATGATTATGGTGTGAATGCTACTCCTGCTTACGATTGCTGCTGCTGTTGCTCCAATTTTATTCGACATGACATTGTGGAGCTTATAGTGGTCAGAGCCTGGCAATGTTTGAAATAAGAATAAAACTGTATCGTTTGAAGTGAAGAACAATGTTTCGGGGATAAAGAACGGAATTTAAGTTTGTTTTTAAATTCAAATTTTTTTTTATTTTCCATCAATTTATCAGATTACTACAGACCCAACACAATTGTTTCCTTCATTCTATAGTGAATAATATAGTTGTTTTTATTATCTATCTCATATTGAAACATGCCTTCCTTTTTGTTTTCCTCTAATAATAATAATAATAACGATGATGCGCATATCTGGTGACCACCTTGAATAAATGGGAGCATTTTATCGCAACTTTGAAATGATTAATTAAAAGTGTACAATTAAAAGTTTGTGCCACATCATGGCTGACAATTTAAACCTAGTTTTGTGTTTGCATTTGGACATTTCTTGTAGTTCTAACTGATGTACGGCTTTCTCTCTCTATACCTCTCATGGCCGTTGAAACAAAGATGAAATAATTACACTTGGATATTGATTCGAATTATTGAGCAACTTCCCTCTTCTCTCTTTCAATTCAGAAAATTGATGAAAACTTGTTTGGCACAAGAGTCTTGCGTTACGAACGAGCAAAGAAATTCTCTCTCATTTCCACAGCTTATTGTGATCTATTATTTACAGACAATATATTGAACTAACTGGTCAGTTGAGCTGACAGTACGTTAGCCAGCTAAATGGACTCAAACAATAGAAGTTATTATTATAATGAACAATCACTTAAACAAGAAAAGTGATTCATCATTAAAACAATGACGTAAAAAGTTAATTCAATATATTGTCTGATTATTTATGACTATGATTATGAATGAAAAAAGACGGTAGTTTTATGAAGTTTTGTTTGAATACATCTAACTGAAATATTGACATTTTTCATATATACTCAACACACGCATCGTAAAACTTTATAGTTCGATATATTTTACGTGTTTGTGTACAATGTATTCAGCTCACAAAACTGTGAATGAAACATACATAAATAATTGCAAAGAATTGGTTTCGTTTACTTTGCCGTTTGAAATGTTCACAACGATGGCAACACCATGGATGGAAAAAGCTGCGCGAAAGATTTCTTAGGTGGAGGAATTTGCATTTCGTTTTGAATGGAGTCACCCGTTGAAAGAACGCTTAACTCAGTAAAGCTTTGGAAAACTGGAAAATGTTAACGTTCAATTTACCATGAAAAAAAAGAAGAAGAAAACATAAGAGAATCCAATAAGTTGTTAGCACTTCGTCTCACTTGTCATTTTGCCGAATGAATAATTTAACAGTGAATCGAATAAGCAAATTTAATTATGAGACCTTTGCCAGATCATCATATCGCTTGGGACTTTACCGAAAAAAACTCTTACCGTCTTCTTCATGGAAACGGCATTCACTTTTGTCGTCTCATTTGCTTTCTTCGCGCGCAAATTAAATGAATGTTGTTGTTATTTCAGGGTAAGTAATAAATAAGGTTGTTTATTTCTAACATTAATTCACATTGTTTAATTTTTCATCTTCATTTACACATTGATTTTTCTTGGACATTCAACATAGTACATGCTATTCTTGTTATTTTTTTTTTTGTATTTTTTTGTCGTAGATTTCTTTTTCTTCATTGTGTTTTTTCTTGAAAATAGTCATATTGACATAACAACAGGCAAAATAAAAATTCATCAACTACACCTAGTCGCTAAAATGTGTGTGTTTTTTGTCACTTTTTATACTTTTTTTTGTGATGGTTCATTTCATCATTTCCATCGATATAATATATACTATTTTGTGTTTGTATTTCGTTCTGGTAAATGCAATTTCTTCATTTCGTTTATAATATCCGCTAGTAAACAAAAAAAAAACTGTTTTATTGTTGAAAAGAGTCCCAGAAACGAGCAGACAGTTGCCGATTTGGCTGCTGCTACAAAATGGCAATGTTAATAAGTTTTACTTTTTTTAATTTCAGGGTTACATCTAATATTGTGATATAATGGCATAATAATTTAGCAACACCGTGTCAACAAAATGTTCAATGGCTCCCATTTCTGAGATAATTTTCTCAAAAACGTTACTAAGGTTGCTAGACAATGTATCTGCGCTTCGGAAAAGCTTTCTAATAAAAACCTTCGCTATAATCAATTATTTTTGTTGTGTGTGTTCTTCATAAATACATTTCTACCGATATTTCGCAAGAAAATGGCGTTATGGCATTTGGGCTGCTATAAATAGTTAATTGTTTTTTTTTTTTATTTCATTTTTTGTTCATCAAATTTCTTTCTTCCATAACTGTTTGTAATAAAACATGTATCTCCTAAGCCGTGCGACGAAACGTTCACACGAACATATCAAAAATCACAGAAGAATTAACAAGTTATATAGATGTAGTTGATGCTTGCAAACATGTAGTTTTACGTTTTCACTCTACGTATTGTGTGTGTGTTTTGTGTTAGTGTTTGTGTGTGTTTATAGATGATAGGCATTAGAAAAAGTTGGTTCTAGTGTGTTTCTTCAGTTTTTTTTTTGGTAACAGTTGTCTATCTCAGGTGGAGTGGATTTTTGTTTCACTATGATATAAGCTCATTGTTCAAAGTGTGTGTTTGTGTTGGGACTTTGTAAATGTTTTTCTTTTGTAGTTTTCTCTGCTGTTTTTACTCTCTATGTGGTACTGTGGCAGCTGCTGCTACTTCGGCTGCTACTACTATAATGATTCCCTTTCAATGGCATTCTCATACTAATATTTGTTTTACTATTTGATTTGTGCAATATGGGCGTTTCGTCGACAACGGCACGATAATGTAGATTCAATGGTTCCGATAGAAATTGAGTTTTATCAAGTTTATTTGATGTTGTTTCTTGTGCCATGTTGCCGGTTGATTTGCTGTATTTGTTATTATTTTCGCTGCTTGTGCTGCTCGATTGAAATAGCTTATTATGTGTTACCGTATCGACCGTCGATCGATTATTATTCTGAGCTTGAGGTCCAATTTCATCAATTTCACAAATTGTTTCCGCATTCAAATCACTGTTATTCAAACCAATAAAACTTGTTTGCATCGCAATCGATATGTTATTTGTGCTAGTCGATGCATCGATTTCGGTGCGTTCAACGCGTGCAACAGTTTTTGCATTCATTTTCCGTGAGCGTATTTTCGTTTCTTTCAATGGTAAAATTTCAGCATTTTGTAGTTCAACATCGGTATCCGTGCTAAATTGATCCATATCATCATCGGTATCAGCGTATGTCTCTTCGAACACCGAATCGGAGACGGGACTACGCAAATCGGAATCCTGATAATCAATCGATGACATTTTCAGCGAACTGATTGAGGCCAATGGAGCGCGACGATTCGATAACAAATTTGTTTGAAATGTATTGTTCAACGTGTACTTAAGCATAGTGTCGTCTAAACATCGAGTTTCTAAGCCTAACTTATTGATTTGCTGTGCTAATACTGTCGTTTCGGCCAATTCTTCTTCCTCGATTTCATCGTAGTAAAATCGACGGCTACGTGAATCCGGATACGTACTTGTCGAATCAAATGATTCCTGATCCATTGAGCGTCTTCTTTGTGCTTTCTTCCAACGGCGTGCACTGCCACTTCCGCCACTGCAACCGCCACCGCCATCGTAGTAGTAATGCTTTTGATCATGGCGTTCACTCGAACACGGTGATACGCGTGGCGTTGGCTGTGTTAATTGAATATCTGGCGGCTGATGAACATAATCCCAAATATTTGTTGTGCTTGGACATCGTGATGATATTGCCGGTAGTGGGCTTAGACCTAAAGTTATTGACGAGCATCTTCGTTCCAAATACGAGCTTTCTGTACTACAGCAAGTTATATTACTGCAGCGACGCGATTCACAGGTCTATAAATAACCGAAAAATTAAAACCAAAATCATTAAATATTTACGATCTCATTAATTTTGTGTTTCAATGATTGAATGACGTCAAAGAACCGAATCAAAAATTACCCCTTGTGGTGTTGAGAGATTGTGTCGTTGCACACGATCGTCCACATCATTGCTGCTTGTTATTTGATCGAATTCGTCATCGGCCTCGTCTCCGTCACTTTCCATATAATAATCAAAGCTTTCATTTATCGGATAGGCACAAAATACACGAGATGATTCAACAGAATTGCTTTTACGATAAGATCCGGCATAAGAAAAACGTCGCTGAGTCGGTGTTAATAAACTGCTGTAACCGCCTGCGAAATGAAATGGCAAAAAACAGCACACAAAATGAGATTGATTTCATGAATATGCCAGACATTATATTGAGATATTTTTAGTCAGCTGAATCAGGAAGCTAACGCCAGGCGCTGAAATGGAGTGAAAACAATAGAAGTGATAGCGATTTCTATAACCATAACAATCACTTCTATTGTTTTTCACTCCGTTTCAGCGCCTGACCTTAGCTTCCTGAGCTGAATATAATGTTTGTCAATAAATTGAAAATTGATACATCTTCGTCATTCATTTGAATGTGAATGAAGACAAGTGGGATGAATACATAAAAAAAATTAATTTACCAATCGATGACAATCGTCCCGTCTGATTTAATGTGGGTGGTGCGCTCACATTTCCAAGTGACATCATTCGATTTCGTGAACGATATTGAAACGAATCCACATAATCATCTGGGTAAATAGACAATCCAGTTGCTTCCATCGCTTCGGCCAGCTCACGATCCTCCTCTTCTTGCATAACAGCTGCTGCAACTGCAGCAATTTTGGGGTCCTTAAAAAACACAATCAATATTATAATACCGTTTTTAAAATGATATGAAATATGATACCTTTAATGCATTCATTGTTTCGATTCGTTCGCCGCGGCTCTTATAAATTACTAAAAACACCATTAAGCCAAAAAATCCACCGAGAGTGGTGGCGATTCGCACGCCAGTCATTGCATCATACGTTGAAAAAAATTCGGTACGAATTCGTTCTCGTTCGGCAGCCATTTGCTCAAGACTTGGTGGTTCAGTTGCATTGACTATGTAGTAATGTTCGGGTGGGATGAATGGAAGGGGCGGAGGGGATCGATGATGCGGATATGTTTGATTTTTGGTTTTCGCATGGTGGCCTTCGTTCCGCGGATTTCTATGGTTTTGTTTTTGTTTGCAGACGGAAAAAAGTGTCATCAAAAAAAGGTTGACGTTTCAGATTTAATGGGTGTTTAATTGTTTGAGTACCTGTTCTTCCGTGATTCGTTTTTAATTGGATTTTTCGCGTAGCGTAAATTCGGTTTTGTCACCAATTTCGATTTCTGGTGATTGGATTGTCGATGCATTTCATCTTGATATGATTGTGGCGAATTATCTTTAGCAAACGACCGACGCTGGTGTTTGGCCATTGCTAACACAACGTCTGAAAATTGTAGAAAAAAAAAGACATTTAACATAAAAGCTTAATCAATCTTCATTTCGAATCTTATGAGGTTAACAGAAGTTTTCGCTGCTATCGTTGTTGTCGAGTTGTAATACATCACTTTAGGCGATGGTTGCAATATGCAGTTAAAATGAAATATCTTTCTTTTTTCGTTGAAATCTAACCTGAATAACAGGCTAGGTCATGTCAAATTCTATCAAACGATTCGCAAATATAGTATTTCTTTCACCATAATTTCACTATACACACACAGACTCTGGCATATTTGGACTATCAGTTCAATATATATACGGGCATAATAATTCTTGTTCACTTTTCATTGGATGGTGATTTTCTCGCTCGCTCTCTTACCATCTCCCATCTATTCAATGCAAAAAAAATATTCTTTTGTTTACGCATACTTTGTGTGCCACGTTCATTTTGCAACATGTACATGGAGAATGAAAATTCATCGACTAGCCCAATTTACTTGAGATGCACAAAGTGGACAGCACGAGCAAGAGTAAATGTATGTATGTATACTAATACACACACCAAACCTATGCTAGTGGAAAAGAAATTAAAATAAAACGGTATTGTTTTCAACATGGCCATTCTATTCATTCTCTATTCGTCGCAGGTAATTTTCAACTATTTTATTTTGCACATGTTAAAACTCCCAAACGACCATACAAAATAATAACGCAAATTTTCTCCTCGATAAAAATACAGATAGAGAGAGAGCGATAGAGACGGAGAGTGAGAGAAATATAGAGAGAGAAAGTAAATCAAATCATTTTCAAGCGTCGCGTGCTGGAAAAGTCACTTTCGATTTCAATCGTATCTCTAATCGAGATCACACACTGTGCACAGACAACACATTTATTTGTATTGATTTTCACGCAAACTAAAGAGCAAAAAAGAGTGACACTTTCAAACATCCAAAGCAATACGTGGTAGATATCTCAACTGGCGTTCATTTTTCACATACTTGTTCTCATTCTCACTCAAGCAACTCAGCTTTTCAAGGCAAACTCACGACACACAATATTCATAACCTTTTTTTCTTTGTTCACTTGATTTTATTCAACCTTCATAGATTTTTCACATAAAATTTATTTGTAAATGATTTACCATTTTTCTTGGACTTAAAAGTTGAATGCAGCAGCACAAAATATATGACCAGAAAAAATATCGAATGTTAATTTTTCCGTCACACTTGGTCGACCAGACACTTTGCAAAACACAAAAAAACTGGAATACAATCGCACACCAGTTGAAGGAAAACTGATGAGTGGAGAGCGTGAGTGAATCCGTTTACACTGAGTACATGTATTACAGTAAATGCGAAAAGCACACACAAAAATGAATGCTTTCATGAGCACACACAATTGGAAAATATACTCGCACACTTGAGAGAGCAAATGATAGAGAAGGCAAATGTCTCGCCAAACGGCACAATGGTAAGAATGAAAAAGATGCACTGTATTTGGCCAAATTGCATGTGTTGTGATTCAATGTAATGTGTACTTGTTCGTCGCAGACGATACCATACATTCCATGTGATTTATTGAACTTTGATGAGTAAAAATTTTTAAATTGTCGCGCAAGCGCCCAATACAATCGATTTCCATGGCAAAGATTGACTGAATTTTGGTTTGATTACTAGATACGGAAATTGATTGACATCAAAAGCCGTCAAATTATTTAAATGGCATTTTTTCTATTCTATTCCATTTAACACATACCCGTTTCAACGACATATTTCAAAAGATATAAGAAAAAAAATCAAAAACGAAAATGATTAAATAAACTCCATGTCTCTATTCAATTCAAATAAATTGTGATACTCTCGCTAGATGTCGTCCTTCACAATTCATTTAACTTGCCAAGGTAAAACCTACCAACGTTCTCTTAAAATCCGAAACGTCAAATGAACACATGTCATGTGCGTTGTGACATTCATTACAACAAAATATAAGACAGCGTGCTTTTTTCTTGTGTTTCTTTTGAATTAAAACTGTAAAATTTAATTAAGTGCCGCACAAAAACTTCCTCACAATGCAAGTGGACGAAAAGCCAAAAGTTTATCTAACCGAATATAAAGTGAAACAAGATGCTCACGATTACGGAATGGCTGACGATCTGTGGAGTTTTGAGAATTTCAAGAAAAAATTCCGTATTGTTGTTGTACGACAAGCATACAATGAACCAGAAACCGAACCATTGATTGAATTCGATTTGATTGGCTGTTTGCCGAGCATTGCGAATGCATTTCGTCGTCTGATGTTGAGTGAAGTGCCCAGCATGGCAATTGAAAAAGTGTACATGTACAACAACACATCAATCATTCAAGACGAGGTGTTGGCCCATCGACTGGGTTTGATTCCATTGAAAGCCGATCCACGACTATTCGAGTATAAATCAGAAGAGGGAAACGATGAGGGCACCGACCAAGATACACTAGAATACAAATTAAAAATCAAATGTACACGACGCAAAGATGCAAAAGACACCGCACTGTCGGACGGCTTGTACGAGAATCAAAATGTCTATTCCAATCACATCAAATGGATACCGAAAGGAAAACAAGGTTCACTGTTTCGTGAGAGTGATGTGGGTCCAGTACATGAGAAGATTTTGATTAGCAAAATGCGACCGGGACACGAGTTTGACATTAAACTATTGGCTGTTAAGGGAGTGGGCAAAGACCACGCCAAATTTTCACCAGTGTCAACGGCCACATATCGTTTATTGCCCGAAATAACAATCAAACGACCGGTTATGGGTGATGATGCCAAAATATTACAGTCATGTTTCAGCCCCGGTGTTATTGACATTGATGGAAATGGAAAGGCATATGTGAAAGATGCGCGGTACGATTCATGCAGTCGCAATGTTTATCGTTATCCACATTTGGCTGATGCTGTTGATATTGCACGCATTCGTGATCATTTCATTTTTTCCGTTGAATCAGTTGGCGCATATCCACCGCACGATATTTTCATCGAAGCTGTTAAAATTCTGAAGAAAAAGTGCCGGCAATTTATCCACGAATTGGATGGAGGCAATCAATAATAAATTTATTTTTAAGTACAAGTTTTTTTATCAAAATCATTTGAATTCAAATAAAATTAAATAAAGACAATTGAAATGATTATTTCGAAGAGAAAATATTTGAAAATAAAATAAAAATTTTTTGTTTGTTTATTTCATTCCTTACAAAAGCCAATGTCTGTGTAGTGAGCTGTCAAAAACGCACATGACATGACAGATGGCGAGCGCATGGTGAACTTAACCTCACAATTGTATACATTGTTTTGAATCGTTCAACGTGATACGAATGCTCCCGTACAAAATAAGCAGAGAATTTTTAGTATTTTTTACGAAATTTTAATAGAATTAAGATATGGGAAAGCGAAAGGTTAACGTCAAAAGTGACGAAGATGATGAAGTAATAGCCAAATTACCGAAAACTACATCAAAAGAAGTTGATAAGCAATTGGGTAAGTGAAAAAAACCGAATTGTTCAATGTGCTTGACATTTCACCAGAGTAAAGTGAAAATAATTTTTTAAAAAATGTTATACCATGTGTGAGACGACATAAATAAATGGTGTAAATTAAAATACTAATGAATTTTACGGAAATTGTGTAAAATTGTAAAAATTTTAATATTTTATTTTTATTTTTCTAATGTTAAACATGTTTTTAGGTTTGGCCGACGATAGTGATCACGAAGAAAGCAACAATATTGAAGAAGAACCAAAAGAAACACCACTTCCCGTCTCCACTAAACCGTTTGTAGTAAAGAAATTCCGTGATGCACTTCGGAAAAGCGATTGCGTCACAGGTAAACATCGGCACATATTCTTTTCTTATACTGTCAAATATCAACAAATCTTTCTTTTCCACCCGCACAGACATTCGAATTTTCCTGCAAAAGGCGGAATCTGATGATACGATAGTTTCGCAATTTCTAAAAGGTGGTGGCAAACCACTGGAAATAGCTCAGGTGTTGAACAAAATTGATAAAAATGAATTATTCCACATTTCATACATATTTAAAGCGTTGCACTTGATTTTAATGGAAAAGATGAATCAGCAAAGTAGATCGAATACAGATGCGGTCGAAACGTGTGCATACGTTTTGAATAATCATCGTGCCAGCATTGAAAAAATGCTCTCATCAAATTATGCCACACATAAAAAGTCCGTGTTGAAATTGCTCACTGATGCTGTGTACTTGGCACCACATTTAGGCCGAGAATTGTTAACCACATTCAATGTTGCATTCAATTCAGAAACACTCAAACGATTCACAGCCCACGATCGAAATGAAAGCAACTTGCCAGACGACGAACGGGTGCGTTCATGTTATATTTACTTCGTTCTATCGTTCATCATCGAAGGGAATGAGGTGCTAATCAAGAACCTGTTAGACCGTAATGAATTATTGCTGGCACTAATATCGGGCATGATTTACGACAGCAAAGACATAGTACTGCTGGTACTTAACTCCTTTTTAAAGTTTGTCTTGGAGTCGGGTATTGTGACAAAAACCAAAAAAATCCAAGTATTTGGAGTGAATGTTGTCAACGAATTGCTTCGACTGTTCGATTGGAAGGGGCCCGGATATTTTGCAGCAATTTCCAATAAAAAGACCAAAGACAAAGCAGCCCAATTCATTAATATCGACGATAGAAACACTGTATGCGAAACGGTGTATTGGTTTTTGTGCGAATTGTTGGCATCGCGTAAAAATGGAATTGCATTCAAGAGCCTGGGACAACGTCATTTGAAATTTAATCGCATTCAAAAGGAGGTATTGGTTAAAATGGACAATTATTTTATGGGCGATAAGCACAAAACCGATTTGGTCATTGAAATATTGAAGGCATGCCCGGAGCTAACGAAAAGATTCATTCAAAAGCACGCCTCATGCTTGGACACGGCCAAAAAGTACAACAATTGGTTGAATGCGGTTGATTTTTTCGCAAAATTAATTAACTCACTCACACCCAACATCATTCAATATCAAATTAAAAAAATGAATTCAAAAGAAACAATTGAATTGATCAAAGACATTTGTATGGCACCCGAAATACTGCAACAACTACGGAACAAAAACACATTGCGCAGCGACAATTTGATGGTCCGTCAGAAATCAACAAATTTACTGTATTTAATGTTCAAACAATGCAATCAGTATTTGTTTAAAATATCCCAATGGAATGTGCACCGAGCCAACGAATTGAAAAAGATAAAATTCGATTTGATAAATCATATTTTGACGTTGTGTCCAACGGTTGAAAATATTTTGTTGTCGCTGCACATGACGCAAGTGGATGGAACGGCTGACAGCGAGAAAATGTTTGAGCATTTGGAGAGTATTTTGGATTTGCTGTTGATAATCACAAAATCGATTCCATCATTCATTGACACAACATCGTCGGTGATCAACTATATCAAAATTTTGGGACCAATTTATGAACTGAATCGTGAGCTTGAAAGCAGTACTCGCATCGAATTCAAAGCGGTCAAACTGATGTTGGCATTAGAACCAAAGGCACTTTCACCGAAAACCAAACTTTTCGGTCAAATCATTCAGTCGTTTTTCAATGTTTATCGATTTGGTACGCCAAACGAACGAAACGAAGCGAAACATTTGTTGCGAACGGTTTTCCTCAATACTGGCTTATTTGAGAATGGTGCACTTGAGATTGACTTATGGTTGGCCGCCATCGATCACATTGACGAAGATTCATTAACATCAATCAGAGAATTTCTTGTGAATCAAATCAATTCGTTTGATGCAAATAATTCTCAAATCACAAAAATCCATGCCAAACTACCATCAACCATGGATAAAAATCTGATCGAAACATTTGAGAATATTGAAAAAGGTACGACATTGAAAGGATTATTGGATGTGGCCACATTGCGACCATTTTTTTCGTATGTTATTCAATCGTATGATGCGCTACCCGATACGAACGACAATGGCGACGAAAATGAAGAGAAAGCGGAAATTTTGGCGTACATTGAAATGGTGGGTTTTTATTTATTCCATTATTTGCCGGTGCCAGAGTCAGTTTATTACGCAACTGAGACGATTTCACATAAATATTCATCGTACATGAAAAAATGGATTGTACAATCAAAATGTGGAAAATTCCCAACGGAATTCCCATCGAGTGCGTTGTGCAAATTCTACGATTCTTTAGTGGAAAATTCGCACGATACAATAGTGAAGATATTCGACGAACAATTGACGGTTGTCATGGAAACATCGGAATCGACGGAAAAGACTAACGATTTGATAGTGCACTTGAATGGAGTTGATTATAAATTGAACGCAACACTGTCAAATGAAACCGAAATTATGGTTTTGATTTACACTTTGATGTTTGTTACAAACCAACGTCACAAAATCAATTCGTTAACTAATGAACAATGCACACAAGCCATTCGATTTTTTGGTGAATTGATGAAAATATTGGATGTGATTGCGACAACAGCTCGTGAATGCGGTGAACATGGTTTTGAGCTTAATGAATCGGACGTAAATCCAACGGTGAAAGCATTAAAGTATGTATTTTCCAATTGTTATTATTTGCTGCAATCGTTTGATATTTGGTCGAAGGACAGTCAAATGACGCGTCTCGTATATGAAATGGTGAAAAATGTCGAGTACACTGAGTCAATGAACGATATTTTGGTGCACTATCGCAAAAAGATTAGTAATCAAATCGTCACCTCAGTTGAGATGGAAAAAACTTCACCGCCACCACAATCCAACGAAAATCTCATTGATTTGCTAATCACGTTTCACTTGGATGCGGATAATTGCTGTGAAATTCTCACAAGTTTATCTCAATTGAAATACGAACACTTTGTGACACCGCAAAATGAAATTTCAACATTTGCCAGCATTCTATCGTATGCATTGCGACGCCTGGCTGAACTGAAGGAACGTGCTGCGGATTCATCAATCATTGCCAGCATCAGTGCGTTGTATGTAAATCTCATTTCGCATGTAAATGTCGAAATTAATTATCAAGTAATTGAAGAAGCTTTGGTCGCTTATCTATCCATTTACTATCATCATTTAAGCGATGTACATGATGATTTGTTCAATGCCATCTTCGATGCAAAGCGATTGAATAAAGTTGCCATCAAATTAGCATGCTTATTGCTTGAACGGAAATCCAATCTTATCGTTCGTTTGCCCAAATTAATCGAGGATAATATGTCGAAGAAGGAATTAATCTATCCACTTTTGAATGTTGTTGCCGTCAAGCACATCGATTTGAGTGGCAAGCTATTGACGCACCTGTACGCAGAATACAAAAATGGTATTATGAAAGCAATTGAGAAACCAGCAAAAGCGGCCGTTATTTACAAAGAGAATGTATTGAGTTCGGTGTTTTTGATTGAAAAATGTATGCCGATCAATGAGTGCACCGATTTCCTGAAGAAAGTGGTTAACTTTGAAGGTGCTGAAATATTCCAGTTACAAATTATCAAATCAATTCATTTGAAAGTGCTCATGCACAGCGACAAAGTCGAAGCCATTCAACAATCGTACGAAAACTTTTTGGCAATTTTTGTTCGTTTATTTGGCACACTGTTGAAACACGAATCGCTCGATGTGAAAAAAGTTGAGAGCTTCATTTATGTAGCGTACGATTGGACAAAGTTAAAACAAAAGCTATTACCAATGGCATTGTCAACAAAGTTGCAATACGACCAAATATGCGGAACACAACTTTGGATACAATTAGGTAAATCATGTTTGAAGCATGGACTCCGCTTACAAAAGAACGAAGCGAACAAAATCAAAGAAGAGGCGGCCACATTGTTGAAAATATTCGCTTATCTGTGCGACGAATTTTATGCGAACGATGGGAAAAGTGATGATGTAAAGTTATTTTTCGAAATGGTCGTGCAACACCCAAGTTTCTTCGACATAATAACAATGCAACATAAAACTCAACTCAAATCAAATTTAGCCTATTTATTGTATGTTTTGGTGCGAAAAGATGCTGAAGTCATGGAATCGAATCACATACCAATTTTGTTGTCCGCTTACCAAGGCAAAATGTCATTCAGCGATCAATACTTGTTGGCCATCTTACAAATGTACGAACGGCACGGGTGTGAAATGCGTAAATATCGTCCGTTCATTTTTGGTGAAAGTGCCTTAAGCTATTATTCATTGAATTCAAATGTGAAACCGACATTATTACAAGAGCCACAAGATCAAGTGATGGCTCTTTTTGATGCTGACATTTCCGAAAATACACTGGTCAATTTTCCGGTTTGGCGTAAATTGAATGTCATCGAGCAAGTGCCAAGCGTTGAATTCATTTGCAATGGAATCATCGGTCAAGAGTATTCAAATCATGTGAGCATTGCAAAGAGTACGGTTGAAAAGTTGGTCGAACGTGGTGATGGTAACATTGATACAACGCTATTGAATGAATCGGCCCGAAGAGATGAAACATTCGAAAATGTATACGATCCAGCATTTTTGATACCATTAATGCAAATGTCATTTGCACCTGAATCATTTACAAAACCATTGCGTCCGGCACAAAATGGTATGTTGGCGATTACATTTGCCAGTCTATCAAGTTCCGATCAGGATATGCGATTGGCAGCCGCAACTGCATTTCAACGTTATCGCAACCATATGGAGAGTGCACGATTTGTCGATAATAAACTGTGGATTCATATTTTCAATGGCATTCGCAATGGCGTACAAAATCTAACGGTCGAAGCACAAAAACGTAATAAAAAGTCACGTCGCATACCACGCATTCCATACGTGGCCGGTGTATTCTTTGCACGAACAATCAACACATTGATGAATCCGTTGAGTGAACTTTATCGTCCGTTGAGTACATTTTTGCTGATAAAAAATGCGTTTGATTTCATGACCGTGCCCGAGTTTAATGTTCTCTTCCATAGTCCCGATGTAAACCATAGTATTCATCGCAGTTTTATTTTAGATGTGCTACGCGATGGTCTAAAAACAAGCAACGATTTTAAAGTGCTCATATCAAATCACATTTTTAAAGCGCTGCTCGGTTATTATGGATGTCCAACAACGACACGCGAACGTAATATACAAATTTTAACGGTCATCAATGCAACCGCAAAAATTCCAAAATCAGCAAAACTCTTAATTGACATTGTTGGCATTTTACCGTGGTTGAGCAACGTTGTCGATAACATTGAATTCTTTCAATTTGACTTTTTGGATATTTTATGCACAATTCTAAATAATTTGTACAATTCGGTTATCATAAACCGTATTGAATACGGAAGTAATACAGTGAATAGCATTGAAATTCAAATGATGAATATTTTGGTGAAAATTTGCCCAAATTTATCGCAACGAATCGCTGAAATTTCATTTGTGCGCTATTTGAACGTATTAAAATCAATCGCATTGAAAGATAATCGATGTAGATTCTTAAGCGAAGAGAATATTACACATTTGATCAAATGTATGGGCGGTTATGTGAGCGCTGATCTGGTGTGGGATTGTAATTTTGTGATGGAAAACACACAGGCGTATCTGCATGCTGAACGCAAACTGGAATACAATCGAAAACTCCGGGAATTTGGCAACCTAAACGAACAATCGATTTTTATTCTGTCGAGCCTTCGTGAAATCATCGTTTGCTGGCAAAACGCTAAACATTTCTAGGGAAAAGAAACCCTAATTAATCATTCGAACTGAATTACAAACGATTACATTTTATTGTACAACTGCAACATTTCCCATTTAAAATAAATGATATGATTTATGTATTTTATACAACGCAAACAAAGCGAAACACATATAAACTCGAGAAAGTAAATAAAAGGAAATAAAATGTTGTGAAATCTTTTCAATCGAAAACAAAAATTGGGTGCATTTTTTTTCTCTTTTGTTGAATACTTTTTATTTACAATGATGGCGAAGAAGAATGAAATTTAATTTAAAAGGGGAGAAATATGAAAGTTCCAGGAAATGTAAGTATCTTATTACCTTTTACCTTTGCTAGACATGTGGTCGCGATACAAATACACTGAGATAGAACTTTTTCTCAAAACAAACAAACGACAGGCAATTTTCAACATTTCTTGCATTTTTTTAAGTTTTCTGAAAAGAGTTCTTCATTTATCTTGAGTTCTTTTTTATTTTAACGATGGAGATTAAGCTTGAATCGAAAGGTCTATTGAACTAATAGATTTTCTAGCTTACCAACACCATCGAAATCATTTATAAGTTTTGAAGGTGAACAATGTAGATTTACGAGCAATAATCTTAAGAGTGTGCTGTACATTTGAAACTTATATATTTCATGTGAAATGATGCAATCAAAATTGGAGCACATGCCATCGATTGCGTAAATTGAAACTCAATATTTCAGAGTGGTGAGAAAAAAAAAGAGAATTCCAACGGGGAAATGCCTCATATTTAGCAAAAGAATTTCCGATTCAATGTGTAATTTCTGGTTCGTACGTAGGTGGATTGTTTGAGGTTTATTTCAATTATAATTAAAATTAAATATTTACGTCACGGTAACTGTCCAAGGCAGACTCGTATTGCTTCTATATTTCTTTTAGTCGGCGTGTAAACATTCGAAAGAAAAATCCATGTCAGAGTAAAAAAAGGTGAGCCGATCTCTTTCTATTTATTTTAATGTTGTTGTCTGTGGTAAGGTTATTGCGTATGGAGAATTAAACATTGATACAATTTGGTTACAAGGTTACATGGCCACGCAAGAAAAAAATGGTGAATGAGTTGGAAAATGTTAGTTTTCGGAGCGGTCCAATATAGCCGCGAAAATTGTTCAAATAAATGCGAAAATGAAAAAACAACAAAACTCCATCAAAGTGAATAAAAAATGAAGATCGTGTATCCAGCTGTCTCGTTCCCATTAAATCCGGAAGACGAAACGAGTTTCGCCGCTCAAAAATGATTACTGTGAACTTTTGAAGCAAGAAGAGTGAATATGCACATTTATTTGGCTTGCCATCATCATTAGAACGACAATAACTTTGTTGAATGCTTGTGTGCTCATCGTCTTCCGAATATTATACACATTTTACAAGCTTTGCGACTTAGTAGCCATTGCAACTGTCATTCGCAACGCCGAATGACACAAATTATATAAAATTCATTTATTTAAACCATTATTCGTTGCCTTGCTCTTTATCCACACAGTTTTTGGCAAATCATTGTGTTCAGCGGTTTCATGCCGCTATTTCGTATATACACCAGATATTCCACATAATTGAATGTAACCATACCAAAACCCCAACCGTGAAATATGTGCCACTCAAATGCTGATGGTTGTTATTCTTACATCGGTATGTCGGCGATAGTACGTGTGTACAATGTAAATAAACAAAATTGAATACATTCCATGAACATCTTCTTCAATGTTCAACCATTCATTCGTGTACTTTGGTGTGTATGTTAAAGATTACACCAGCACATACCACAACAAATTATATTTTGTCGTCCACAATTTTGTGTGATTTAAAGTTGATTTTCTTTGCATCAAATTAAGGGAAAGATTTGTTGTTCTGTAAACAGTAAATTGTCTGTCATCATCGTTAAAGAATATATACGGCTTTTAAATATTTGTGCGTACAAGAGATGCCTTATGGCATCTATATAAATATCTTTTTTGGATTTACGAGATAACATTTCTACAATAAAATGAGAAATTTATTGTACTGCCGCTTTCGGCACAACTGTGTGTATCTCAAAGTAAGTAAGTTTGCGCTTGTTTGTCAGTTTGTGTGTGTGTGTTTTGGGAAAACTTGTTTCGCGGTTTGTTACCTCCAAGGGGGTTTTGAATAGTGTTTGCTATAGTTTGGATAGCATAAAAGACACATGACATACAACTATTTAAATAAAAACGAAAGGATTTTTTTTGCAATATAAAATTGAAAATATGCAATGTTGTGTTTGTGTCATCCTAACTCTGACATTCAGATGGAAATTAAATTGCTTTTGCATGACCACAGAGAAGAAACATATTAAAATGATATACAACTGAAATTGGAGATATTATTACCATACTAAAATGCATATGCTGCTGTTTTGAATAATAAATGAGTACATCATCACAAAATACAAATACGAATTTTCAACTTTTGAAACATATTTTTATTTCGTCGCTACAAAATAAAAGCTCCTGAATCAATGATGTCTTCAATAGACATGAACAACTGAAAATTGATTGCCCCATTGAATCTATATGATAATGTTGAACACATCAAATAAATCAATCTAAGTCCTTTTTTTCAAAATCGTAACATTCACTTTAAAATCACCGCATCTCTTTCGTCTACGTGTAAATCATCTTTGTTCCCCATGTGCCCATAAAAAAGCATCTATTTTAATTAAGTCACATAAAAATTCAAGAGCCCTCCAGAGAGAGTGCACGTTTCGCAATCGAACCAATTTTGCAATTAAGAAATGGGCAAAACGAATACAACATTGAAAGCCGAGATGATGTTCCGGCTGTATATAACTTTGATGGATGTTGTACCGTACAATTTGTACGAGAGATAGAGAGAGAGAGATTGCGAAACAGTGAGGATAAAAAAATACCTGTAAATAAAAATGGCCAGGAAAAGTTGAGCATCGACTGTGAAAGGTGTGTCGTTAAAATGGTTTTATGTGAGAGAGGTTTCCTCCTAAGCCGGGAAAATAAGTATCGCTGACCAAACCGACGCAACGATGCAAATTCTATTCGATGCTAAAGATATTCAATCAATTTTAATATCTTGGTGTCTTTATTGTTTTTTTGATCTTTTCCTTCATCCACAATAATAATGGTTCGAATGGATGCTTCGCAAAAATTACGATTATAAAGAAAGCGTACGGTTCAAATTGAACGTGTTCCGGCAGAGTAAATATTTTTTTCTCTCCGTTCATTTCATCGTCATTGCTGATATTAAAGTTGATTGTATGAGATACGCAAAAAATGTATTTTACCTCATCTCTCTTGCTCGTCGCCCTTTTTTGATATTGGAGTGCTTTCTACCGCTTTCAGCGGTTATTTCGTGTATTTATGAACATTTTACCACACATCTTTGTTGTGCTCTCGTTTTGAGAGTGCCTCACGAAAAAAATGTGACTTACTTCGATGTTTTTCGTGTTAAAAAAAAAGCAAGTTAAAGCTTTTCTCTCGTTCACATTAAAGATCTAACTAAATGGCGGAAAATAAAGTGAACTTTAAAGTTGTTGCTCTTCCTGCTCACATTTTACAACTAAAAATAATATTCCTGACGGATTGCATTAAATTTAGCGTGGCTAATTCGTGATTCAGATAAAGCAAAAAAAAAAAAATAAGAAAAAGAAGCGTCATCGTCATCATGCAATGTTTTGTGTTTGGAATTTAAGTTGACGATAAAAACTGCGATGGGCCATAATATACAAACCATTTGATGTTCACCATGAAACCGGATGATTGCAGCAATTTTTGTTCGTCATTTATTCGTTCGCGGAATTTTGAGGGCGCATCCACAAAAGCAAATTTTTACTGCGTTAAAACTTGATTAAATTCATTGAATTGTGGAATATGTTTTAACAGAGATTGACGATGGTATATGGCACAAAAAGGGAAAAAGGGTCCAAATTTCATTGCACAACGCTAACAATATGTTCATTTTCCAACAAAGAACCTGAAAGGAAATTCAAGGCCATACACAGTGTTTTTTTTTGTTCACAGAGATATCTTCCACTAAATGGATTTGCATTTTATTAATCAACTCACATTTTACAACAATATTAACATTTGTTAAATGGATATTCCTCTATTATATTCTGTGCTATTTGTCGCGTGCTTTGCACACTATATACCATATACATTCCATATTGTGTAATGCAAATATATCTATTGATTTTTCAATTTTCGAAGTGATTTCAGCTTCAATTATTGAATTTAATAGCTAATTTATGATTAAATTCCATTCTACAATAGAGATTTGACACTGTATGCAATGGCTGAAAATAGTTTTCCGTCCAATTATTGTGAAATTATTTGATGGTTATTCCTATATAATGTGTGTCAATTTGATTTGTAATTGAGTTTAGCCATTCGATATTGGCAGATTTACGTTTATATTTCATTAATGCTCAGTTTGTGCAATTCATTGAAAAGGTCGGTGTTGTTTCTTCGAAATGTTTATTCGACTGAGTATATTTTATCTCTCTCGATATCTTTTAAGCGAATTTGGTGGAGAATGTTGCCGTCTTGCTGGTGTGATGGATGTGAAGTTATTTCTCAATTTGATTTGAATCATAATTTGGACCGACGTTAAGTGCTGAAGAAAAGCGTTCGGGCGAACAAAGTGCGCAAATGAGCAGCAACTTGCTACATTTCAACCCGAAAATATGTATGTTTAATATAACATCTTAATTTTTGTTTTTCATTTCTCCAGTTGGCAATTTTCTCCGGTGTATGTGTGCAATTAAATTAAGTTATATCTCTCGACACTTTGCTTACTAGTAAACCTGTTCGGAGGACAGTCGAAAATAGAAATTGGTCTGATTCCATATGAAAAAAAAATAGTTCACTTTTTTATAACCGACTTTTCTGGTCATTGAAATTGGAACATTTTGAAAAAAATTCACAAAAAAAATCTGGACCTGAAAACTGGTGAATTTTTAAATTTTTCACGCATTCAGGTGAAATAAGGTTCATCACAAAATGTAATGAGATAAAAACCGTTTCAGTGTAGACAAATTTCTATTCAATATGTTCCAATTTTAGTGACATTCGCCACTAAAAACTGAGGACACTTCTTAATTTTTCGCGCACTATCAGATGGAATCAGTCTCTTTTCAAAATGCGACTTTCCTCTGAATAGGTTTCCCAGTTGGTGTTTACATTGTTCACTCGGCTATGTAATACATATGTATTTGCAATTTTGTTTTAAATTTCACTTTTATGACCTTTTTCCGCTGAAGCCATACATATAGAGAGGAAGAGAGAAGAGTGAAGAGAAAATCGAGTGGAACTAGAGAGTGAGGGAAGTGCAGATTAAAGGATACACCAAAAATAAAATTGAAACAAACGTACTGGAAATGATTATAGTTATGCTGGCCAAGCGATTAACATTGTGAAAAGCGAAGAACATTAAACAGAAATGCTTAGTAGAAAAACGCAAAAGAAAGCTTAAAATGTGCCACAGACGCTGAGCTCGCCACACAAAAGGGATCATGGGCTAACTTTCTTTTTTTCTGTTTATTTTGGTTTGTCAGGCGCTCATTCAATAACATGATTAATTTTCTTGTGATTGCCGCTGCAAACGTTTCAAGAGATACGCACACAAAATAAAATGAAAAAACAAAAAACAATTTCGTTTTATTTTTATGTCTCTTCGTTTCTCTTGTGGCCTTTACATGGTCTCGTCGCTAAGGCATCCTTTGCGTTTGTTATTTCAGGACATATTGTAGTTCACAAGCGGCCTATAAAATCGCCGCTCGGGTGTAAATTAACGTCAAGTGAATTATTATGAATGGGCAACAATCAATAAAGATCATTATCAAAGCGACCAAAACCATTGTTGGATCATTTAATTTTCTGTACTTGTAAAATAAATACACTCTTATGGCTATTCCCCACACAAATGCATTACAAATTTCATTTATATTATGATCCAATAATGTGTATGTGTGTGTCTTTTCCATCTTAAACAGAGCGTAAAATGTTTGCAAATAAAAATAACGCCAATACTTCATCTTCGCATATACTCATAGACAATATTGTAATTTATGGTGTTCTATTTTTGTCTTTTTTCTTGTCAAAGCTAATAAATCAAATTAAAAACAGACAGCTGTGATATAATGAAGATTTTACCAATTACAATGCTACACATCACATAGAAAATCATAATTAATTGCCATACAAAGCTCATAGTAGACAATTTTGCGACATTCACATCACCTAAGTGTATTTTCTAAATATAAAAGTCCATAGAGGGTTTCATTTGAAGAAAAATATATTGCCATTTTTAGTAGAAAAGTAAATATTCATTCGAACATAATATTTGTCAAAATGTCTTTTATCGAGGGAATTAAATTCTATTAAATTCCATTAAAAAAAACCGTTCATTTTTTATTCGTATTTTCTATCTCTCCCTTTTCATTTGTAAAATGTCCTTTTGTTTATGGAATTAATTCTACACATTGACATCACACTGCTAAATGATAAAAGCTTATACAGATTATTTTTTATTCAGTTTTTTGTTTTTTGGAATGATTGGTATCACTTCACGCACACAAACAGATGGCATTTAGTCGCGTACAAATACAAATTCATTATAGTGGCTCCAGCGTGACTCCTCTGCATCAATGCCTGGTTTTAATTCGGCTGCTGGTGCTGAAGTGCCGCTTCCACAGCAGCCTGCAAGTCTGAATCCCTGTTCATGAAGCATATCGAACGCTTGTTCGATGAAACAATGCTTCAAAAAGAAGCGTGAAGTGTATCTCGATGTATTTCCACCATGGTCGGAATGTGGGTCTCTTGATTCGTTCAATGTATCACCAAAAACATCGCGACACAAACTAACGCGACCACAAATCAAAATACGTGACAATTTACGAAATTTAACATCTGCCAAACCGTCTTTTCCAAAACCAAAAGAGCCACGGTAACCGATTGTGATACAACCGTTATGCGAATCGCTTATGGTTTGCATTGATTTAATCATGTTATCAAGCTTGAAGTGCTCCGCTTCTTTGATGAGACGTCGTTTTCCCCGAAATCCATCTGGAAATTGGATGACATCGTCACGCAAATAATCCAAAATGAAACGAAAAGTGTCGCCATCACGATCTATGAAATACCGACCTTTGGCATCTTTCATGAACGACGATGATGATTGATTGTTCTCGTCGAACAATTCGGCAAGTCGTGAATTCTTATCACTTGTTAATGTTTTTCGTGTTGTTGTATAGTGTACACCACCGACATTCAACTCAATTATTTCATCGTTATCGGCGCTCATATTGCAATTATGTTGTGGTGTTATTGTTGTTGTCGTCGTCGTCGTTGTAATTGTGATCCAAGCGTGAAAATATAATAAAAGCTCGTCAATTTGATGCTCGGGATTTTCGTTTTTATTTACTCTCTATAGTAATCCAAATTGCACTAACGAAATGTAGACATCACACGATTACGATGGCAGTAAACTAGACGCAGTGTGCATGTACCAATGTTTGTCAATAAGCCAGTAAGTATATGTGCAATGTTTATTCGGAAATCAATAGTACACTAGTTTGATGTGAAAGAAGAAAAAATATATATTATGTATATATAAATCCTCTTTATGATAATGGAAAATGTAGTAGTGATGTGTCAGCCAAAGGGAACTTCTAACAGAGCACGAAATCGGTTAAACGAATAAACGGATTTTAACTGCACACACGAATAAAAAAAACCATCAATATTGTAGCGTATTCTTTTACACAATTTACATTCCGGATTAATAGCAATATGAAACTGAAAATGATGCCAGCAGCCACCACTACTTTTTATGGTTCAACTTTTCTTTCTGAGCTCAATTAGAGAGTACAAGTGAAAGACAGCGAGAGAGACCAGTTGCTGGTTTCCTTTTTCTTTTTTATTCCTCAACAATGTTCACTCGATTTGCCTTTTCGTTGCCGTCGATTTGGGGATAATAGAATTCACTATGTATGCATATATATATATCTGACGGAACACTCTTGTTCATTTATTCAACACCTGATTTTTCGTGCTTAAAACACAAATTATTCCGCGTGCTCACTTAAAAATTCATGTATTCAAATGTAAAAGATTGTTTTTCGGTGTTCCACCAGATGGAAATCAATATTCATTGAGAAAAACGAATGTTTCAGCCTGATGGTACTTTTTCGTTTGGCTTCAAATATCGTTAAAATTCGGTTGCGAAAGGTCAGCTGATGTAGTTCGTTCACAAAAATTGTTGCTCTCTCACAAAAACGCGTGCTATCAACGGAGCTGCCACAATGCGAATGAATTGAGTAGGCTCGCCGACAAGTCTGCACAGTGGATGCTGTTGCTCATGCTGATGACGATGGCGATGATGATGATGGTTGGCAAAAGCTTCAAGCCATGTTGTACAAGGAACATTAAATTTGCCCCTATTCACACGCACACGTCCGAATCTCAATCAAAATTATTTCCATTTGCTTCCGTTCGTTGCATGAATTTATGTGCATGTATATGCGAAAAAGCTTCAAACTCTTTGTATGTATGCCAGAAATGGTGTGAGTGAAAGCGTTTTGCACTCTGTTGCTCCGTCACATTCAACGGCAGTTGCTATACTTATTTGCACCGTTAAGCATCTTTTATTTTCGCTCGGCTGCTGATATCGAGTAGATTTGAATCAGTGTGTTTCGATTTGATTCCATCGGGAATTTGTATGTGGTCGTATAATATACACCGCATACTTCTTTCATAACTTCAAGCTGTGAAAAACAATTACCGGTGTATGTATACAATATATGGAGTCAAAATGATGATTCCGAATGATTTCTTATCTACATTTTTTCGATGGCAGTATGGATTTTTCTTCGTTTTTCGTTTTTGATTTCAGATAACACAGCATGATTTCGCTTATATATATGCAAAGCACATCAAGTGCGTATATCATACACTTTGCATGGATTACGTCGTGCTTTTGCGACGTGAGAAAAAGCATTCTCAATAATAATAATGATAGGGAATGATATGGAACACAAGGAATTTCTATAAAATGACAATTGTTCTAAACTTTGATCCAAACAATGATATATACCCATTCCCTTTATCATGTAAAATACATCTTGACCCAGAATATTTCATTTGAAATTAAAAGAAAAGAAAGCGAATACATCTATTTGAAGACGGTGCAGGATGAGCATCTTGAATACATGTTCGTTGTGTACGCGTGTGTGTCAAGTTTAATTTAATATTCTTCTTTATATCCCGGCCATTTGCTTTGACTGTATTACACACTCATTATTCTTAATACAATTCTGACCTATGCAGCACGGGCTCTGCCTATATCCAATTTACATTAGGTTACACACATTTTTTCAGTATTTCTTTTCTATCTCATTTACTTTACATGAAGCGAATGGTTTCGCTTAATTCTCTCGCCAGTCAATGCACAGCAGTCTACAAAGGAATAATCCTAGCTCAATAATAATTGGGAATTACATCATAATATAATCGCTTTGATGGCTGATAAGAGAAATAATGTAGCACAAACGTTTTACTTGAAAAAAAAAAAAAAAATCTTACAACGACAAACTTTTTTTTAAATTGATGAAAATATATTTTGCTATAAAACCAGCCAAAATCACGCAATATTTCTCATGAAATCGATTCAAAACTTTCAAACAAAGAAAAAAAAATTTGCAGACAAATTCATCTCAGAGGAAATGACTGCGTTGATTTATGTTCAACATTGCTCTTTCCATTTTGAATGTGCCACTCAAATGAGCTCAGCATTCAAATTCACACTTTGAGGCAGACATTCGGTATTTGGAGACTTATTCCCACGCAATTTCTTACATAATAGCTCTTGGTTGAAGATAATCTTCGGATATATGTATAATATTTTTTTATTTGTGGCTGTCGATACAATTCTTTTTGGTTGATGTCAAAACTGATGCCCAAATTTATGGACTCACTATGGATATGCGATTGATTTAGAATGAATGCAGTACTCAACAAAGACCGCTGTTCACCAGCAAAAAAAGTAACTCGCTCAAAGTTGAAAAATAAGCCACAACTCCCATATAAAATTGATGGTGTACTTTTTTAAGAGAGTTTCTTCCTTGAAAATTATACATTGTCAGCTTTTTGTTCTCTTCATTTTAAACCTGTACTTATTAGCCTCGCAAGTCTACATTTTTTTGAAATCTGAATACGATTCAGTAAATATAAATAGCCTCGCAAGCCTTAAATACCGTTCTCAGCACATTTTCTTCGGTCAATTCAAATGTTTCTCGACTCAAGCGCGTAGTAGTAACTTTATCAAAAATCAAATTAAACATGTTTTACTATCAATAAAAAACAGCTTTGGAAATTATAAGTTAATATCAGTGTGTCCATAACATATAGAAATAGCACTAAATAGTGTCGATATCTATACTATATTGGTCCACTATATATGTAAGATATTCCGCAAGACACCGTAGCTCACGATAGAAGTGAGTGCGGACGGCAAACATGTTGACGCATACACACAGTTCTTTCTACTGCCGCATGGCAATTTGTGATTTTTTCCGTCTACACTGGCTTCGATCGTGCGATACGGTGCCGTGCGGCAATATCTTTCATATATAGTGGACCGATATAGTATAGATATCGACACTATTTAGTGATATTTCTATATATTATGGACACACTGGTTAATATAATAATGGGGTCAAACATTCAATAAAAATTCTTTGAGTTAAAGATTTTGTTTGTTTGTTTCGATTTTTGTTGTTTACTTTCAAATGAATGATCGATGTGTTCCCAAATGTGCAAAAAAAGCACTATATCTGTTTTTGCATCTCTAATGCATTCAAAAATAAAACTATTAAGAGCGATGCTTTGTTTGAATTATCGAACTTTAATTAACAATCGAACATAAAATTCGTAATGCTCGTAACGATGCACTATTCCTTATCAATTTAATTTGAATAAATAGTTTAAAATAAACATTAACTCTGATGACCGCGCAACGCAATTTAAACAAATTCATTGATTGCATGTTTATTATAAATGATTAAAATATCGCAAAAACAATCTAGAAATATATAAGAAAACGTGATTTAATATCAGTTCAGTTTTAAATCGAACGCGGAACGTAGCACAGATTGACCGAAAACACATAAGTATTTTAAACGCGATTGGATTTGATTTTCATTATCAGTGCGTTGTATTATTTTAATTGAAAATTGTTCTGAATATTTCGAAAAAGATGAATCACGAAATAAATGTTCAAAGCGAAAGTGTTCAAGACTATTCTGATCTCAGTACGTGTTTTCATTAAAAAAAAAAAAAAAAAAAAACAATTCTTTTTGTATTAAAACAAAAGACGTTGAAAATTAAAAAATATTTTTCTTCTTCTTAATTTCATTGTAAATTAGATGAAGAAGCACAGGAATTAATAAAAGCGGCGATAGAAGCTCGAGAGTTTGCTTACGTGTAAGAGGCATTTGCATTCTGTTTTTCACAGACATTATATTTAGCTGCCGTCAACTGGATATTACAGCTCATCTGGATATCGTCAGCAGATGATACGAAGTGAAAACAATAGAAGTGATTGTTATAGGTATATAAGCTTGTTATATACTGGTATTACTATAACAATCACTTCTATTGTTTTCAATTCGTATCATCTGCTGACGGCATCCAGATGAGCTGAAATATCCAGATGACGGCAGCTAAATATATTGTCTGGTTTTTCATGCATTTGAAATTAATTTCCGTTCTTTCTTCTCCCGAAGTCCATATTCAAACTTTAAGGTCGGTTCAGCCATTCGAGTGGCGGACGGATCAATTATCGGCGGGTGTAATATCGAAAATTCTGCCTATAGTCCAACAATTTGTGCGGAAAGAACTGCAGCGTGCAAAGCAATAAGTACGGGTAATAATGAATTTAAAGCCGTCGCTGTAATTGGTCTACAGGAAAAATCATTCACCACGCCATGCGGCGTGTGTCGTCAATTTTTGAGCGAGTTTGCGAAGGAAGACATTCCGGTTTATGTAACGAAACCCGAACCAGAGCGAGTGCTTGTTACTTCACTTAGCCGCTTACTTCCACATTCCTTTAACTTAAATTAATTGTGTCATTATCATTGAATCAATAAGGTTCATTCCTTAAACTACCGATTAAACTCAATAGGGCCGGATTAAAGGGTAATAACAGTAATCGTACGAAAATTACCATAACATTTAAATATACGATTTTTTTTTCTCATTTTTAGACTGCCAAGACTGTATGTATACTTTCCACCGGTTTTTCTTTGTTCAATTATTGATAATGTTATCATAATAATCAGTCGTTAGCATTTCTTTACTGAATAAAATTGACGTATTTGTTAAAAAAAGCAAACATTCGCACTTCTCTTCAAATAGGTTATCGTGTTTCTATCCCCCTTTCGCAATGTAAATATTTGGTCTCCTGCGTTGTACGTGATGCTGTGTGGAAAATTGTTGTTGCAATTGGAAGAAATTTATATTTATTGGTTTTTCCACCCGTCGATTTTGCCGATTTTTCCCTCCACACCGTCTCCAATCCATTTTTTTCGTTTCACGATTTTGAATTTCTTTCACATACTGTGAAGTGCCTTCAGTCAAGATAAATCATGTACGCTGTTTCGCTTTGAATTCAAATTATTGGAATGTAGCATGAAAAAACTTCGACCAAAAATCGTTCAACTTTCTGAAGAGTATACGGTATCTCTGGTAGATACAAGTGGATGGTTTATCTTTTCGTTTATGTAATTTTGTGTACACAAAATTGTAGTCCCTTTTTCATGTGTTATGTTAACCCATTAAGACCTGATCCGAAAATAACGATGATATCGACCGGATACACAACCAATTCTTAGTAAAAATGAGAAAAATACAAAGTGATAAGCTAAATAAGAACTTTCTTTTCAATTTGTGTTTTTAATTCCTGTTTTCAGACATTTCCTCCCCAAATTTCTGAACTCCAACTAATATATGCAAAAAAATACTTATAAAATACCTCTCATGCTTTCTCTTCGCGTCACAAATTAACACCTTCTTTCATATAGAATATGCTTACGACGCTGAGAGATAGTCAAATCTAAGATTTAGGCGAGTAATGGGAATGATTTTGCTGAAAAGTCGGAACATATTCAGTCTAACGTTTCGCATTTCTTTTAAATGTTTTTTGCACAGTGGATCGATAGTAACATTGTTGTAAGCGGCTTCTTATTGGGAAGCATTTATTTTAGTTTTTATCCGGTTCTTGTAGTCGTTTTTGCTACGGAATTGATATTGCTGATGTGTTGTTGCCAACATGGCCATTTACTTGGATAGCCGGATATTCTTCAAGGAATATTGCACCAATTATCAAACCGGTCTTTAGTTTTTATCCGACATCAAATCCATAAAAATTCAAAACAGATAACTCGTAGAAATATATGACTTGTTTTACAATCTTTTTAACGAGGTAAAACGTTTCGCGAAAACCTTATATTACTTTACTCACGGCATATCATAGTCGAAACCATCAAATCTGCTAAACATACATCATTTGGGACAAATTGTTCATATTTTCATGGGTCTTCAGAGGTTCAGAAATTGATGCAAAATATGTCATAACTGTGTTCTCTACCATGAATATATGACAAAACGACTATTCTGGGATTATCAACGAAATTTCAAATTGAATCAACCAAAAGATTGTATCCAAGTTTTCATTTCCTGCTTTTATATTTCTGGTCAGTTCAAATGAGGAAATGGCTGTCAAGCATTAGAAAATATAAAATTGAAGTAAAAATGGAAAATTTCTTACCTTTGTTATAATATTAATAATAATTAAAAAAAAAAATCACCAAAACATAAACAAAAGAAAACTCGATTAATTTCATTTTATTGATCGTTTTTATTTAAAAAAATGTCTTAATGATGGTCGTTCAGCAACATTAGATTTATTACGCCCAACTGTTGTATGGTGATATTTTTTCTATAATTTCGAACCCAAATCAACTGTGGTTCCCTAAAAATTGTTTCTAATCGCTTATAAAATCACCTTGATTTCTGAAATACAATATATTTGCTTTACTGGTGTTGTGAATGGTATTTTTTTTAATTTGGAGTACGTTTACCTTATAAGTCATGGGGAGTAAACATTCTATTTATCGGAATAGTTATTTTTTAGATGAATTTCTCTATTGGAAACAGTGCGATCACTTCAAAATATTATTATGTTTTTTATTTGTTATTTTTATTGTTTTGTTTGGGTGTGTGTGTGTGTGTGATGGAAATCAAGATAATTTAATTAAATACAAATTTATGAGAATTTTTTTGAGCCAATAAGAAGAACTTTGTTCATTTTTCGATTCAAAACATTCAAAGGTCAATGGTCAACAAATGAAATAAAAAACTTGGAGAATCAAGCCAAATTGTAAATCAGTTGAATAACTTTAAAATCGAAAAATGCAACCGAATTTCACGAAACAATTGAATTATTGGTTTTCACATTTTACATTTTTTTTGCATCAAATATTAGTGCTCTTGCAATATGGTTCTTTGTGTGGCGTAAATAGACTCGATGATAGAGAAGTTTTTCTTAAATTTAGCTTTCTACCAATTGAGTATGTATACAATAACAAGTCTTTCAATTTTATTACGTGATCAGTGTGATCGACTATTTTTGGGTTTCCTATGAAGGTTTTTTTTTGTTTATAGTTTATTTTGAAAGTTCATGTTTGAAATATTGTCAATTGAAAATAATCGTCGAACCGTTGAGAAGTTCATGCAAATATCAGATGAGAATCAGTGACTTTATTTAAAGGAAAATTTAATCTTTGCTTAAATTTGGCAATGGTTCGACGATAGTTCAAGATTGAAAATAAAATGTGTGTTTACTTATCAAAAAACAGTTGAATTATGATCTGATTTTCGACCCGGTTTGGTTTAGTTTGGTTTAAATTGCATATTTTTGAACCACCTTAGTAGCGCCTACGCTTATCTCGGTCATCTCTGGGCGCAACTCGATCTCGTCTTTCGCGCGAATCATCTCGACGTTTCTCTCTGTCGCGAGATTCACGACGCTTTTCTCGGTCCCGTGACTCTTCTCGGCGCTTTTCACGCGACCCTTCTCGACGCTTTTCACGCGATTCTTCTCGACGCTTCTCCCGGCGTCTTTCACGCTCTTCAGCATCTTCACGTTCTCGCTCTTTTCTCAATGCCTCACGCCGTTCAAATGCCTTCTTACGCTCTTCAATACGAACTGCAATCTGTTACGAAGATTTCATTTAGTTTCTTTTCTTTTTTGCTTGAAAAAGTATTTAACAATAATTACCTGTTCAGATGTCAATGGCAACCAATAGATGCAAGGCGTTGTTTTTGTCTTACGGAAAAGATCGTCCAATAAACGTAACGGTGGTTCATTATCCTTCTTTGTATATCTACGACCTGCGATTTTAATCGTTATTATTATACAGAAAAAATACAAGCAATTTTTGATAAGCCAATAGTAGTAGACTTACTCGGTGAAATCGATGCTGATCGTCTTCGTCGTTCACCTCGGTCTCTGTCACCACGATGGTCACGATCTCTCTCGCGGTCTCTGTCTCGTTCACGTTCTCTTTCATTGTCACGGCCGATTTCACGCGTTTGCTTCTGTTCGCGTTCCTTTTCCCTGTCAACACGTTCCACTTCTCGCGGTCTGTGTGAATCTTTTTTACCTAAATCCCATTCACGTACCGGTCGTTCAGCTACCGCAACCTTTTTGAAAAGAAACAATTTGTATTTTCTTTTACAAACTTGGTTTTTTAATGAAAAAACTACCTTATCGCGAGTGGATTCATGTAGATCAACTGAGCTAGCGATACGATCGTCTCGAGATAAAATATTCGGTTTGATTTCATCAGCTGTAGATGCAATAGCCTTTTCCATCAGACTTTCGGTGCCAAAATCGACATTTAAATTTTTCGGATTTGATGTTGGCCAACGTATTCCGTGTAGTGCATGTCGTGTTTCAATCGCTTCACTAAAATTTGAAGAAGAAAAAACCAAATATACATAAGAAATGTAGAAAGAAAATAAAATCAAATATATGCTTACTCTTCGGTTTCATATTTAACAAAGCACTTGGACTTAATTTTATCTATCCAAAATCCATCTTCGGCAATTTTGCCAGTTCTTTGTAGCAAACTTTTAAGTTGAAGAACCGTGAACGGTCGAACTAAATTGGTAATATAGAGAATATTACATGGACTGTGCTTTGCTGGGCTCAATGGTTCGCCCTCCGATTCATTGACAATGGATATTTTTCGTGATGTTGTGATATTAACGGCGTTAGCATCTTCGGTTGATTCAACTAAATGCTCTTCGCTACGACGATTATAATCTATCGATGTGGAGCTTACAATAACATCCGATTCACGATCGATTTCGGGCGACGAATCCAATTTAACATCGCTCAATGGTACCGGCTTTACATCCGATATTAGCCCCTTCAATGAATCTGTTGATATTGCAATCTCTTGTACTTTTGGGGCGGCAGTTTTATTTGTCAACCATTTCCGCTTCCGTACGATTGGTTTTTTCTTATTTAATTTCGTTCTCGAGTCCGTCTCACTGGCTGTTGTATCCTTAGCAGTTGTATCAGCAGCATCGCTGTTCACCACATTACCATTTTGTAGTTCCACCTCGGATTGGTCAACCAATTTGGAATCATCTGAACTTTTAATCTGGTCGTTTGATAGTTTTTTCGGTGATTTCTCATGACAATCTACCTCATTTTCATTTTGTTCGTTTGTCGTTTTTTCTTCAGCCACCTGCGGCGTACCCTCGTTACTAATTTCTCGTTCCAGTCGTTTTAATGTACGCCGACGCGTTTTGGTAGACTCAACCGGTTCACTGATATCCGGCTTTATTTCAATTGTAGTTGCATTTTCATCATTTTCTTCCGGCTCTTGATTATTTTCGGTTTCTTTTGATGGTGTTATTTCTTTTTCATTATCATCTGGTGCACTATTGTTGCTATCTTCGATTGGAGTTTGGTTAATGGGTGCCGGTTCGGTTGAACTGTCAACACCACTGCTATTGGTTGTTTCGACTTTTTCGATGTTTGTCTCTTCAACGATTTCACTCAATGTTGGCTCGGCATCGGTGACGGCATTTTGTTCCCCATCGACGACATTTTCTTCTTCTGGAATATCTGCATCTTTTTTGGCAGTACCGCGCGCACGCCGGGTTCGTGTTGTTGTTGTTGCCCTGACCTCTTCGGCTGACGATGATTTTTCAATGGTGCGACTTGTGCGTCGTGTTCGTTTCAGTGGTGGTACCTCTTCTGGTTCATTCTCCGAACTGGATGCTTGATCACTTGAATGTTCACTTTCTTCTTCATTCACCGATTTTTCCGGTGATTTACGACCACGACGCGTTGATCGTCGACTGGTTGGCTCTGATTTTTTTATCGGCGAACTTTTCACAGTTCGCTCACTTTTTCGACGCATACTTGCCCGTACAAAAACCAAACACAATTTTTTTTACACAAAATTATTCACACAATTTTATTAATTTGTAATTGACAATCAAGTGCTTTATGTTCACAAATGAATTTTTTATTGATGTGATTACGTGAAAATTGATATTAATTGGCTAAAATAATGTAAAATGTGTGTGTAAATCGAATGTACAGCATCAAACTAAGGACGCCATTTTGCATTTACACAAATAGAAAAACCGCATATAAGAGTTAATGTCAAAAAATGATGTTTAACATCGACATTCCACCGGTTCCATCCATTGAATCGGCTCGAAAAACGGTTTTCACCCGTTTCAACCGCATCATTGGCATTGAAATTCAATGATAAAATGACCGTAAATAAAAACAAAAATAAATTTGTTGTTTATCGTAATTGGCCACAATAAATATAAAAATAGAATAAACGTTTCAATCGAATCAAAGTGGTCTGCCCACAATTCTTTTTTTAATTCTGAACCGAACTGAACCGTCGCATGGAACGAACTCCAAATACGTGACGTAAGCCGAGAAATAAACTGGAAAATGAATTAGAGAGAAAAAAAAGAGAGAATAAAACGAAGACGAAGAAAGAAGAAGAAGAATCAGTGGGAATAAGTAAATGTATTTCTAGCGGCTTGGTTTGTGTGTGTCATTTTTTAGTATCAGCAGCAGCAGCAGCAATACTGCATTGCATTGAGAAATCGGTTTTTGGGTTTGGCCGGATTTTTAAGTTTGTTTTTTCATCTTTATTTTCTGTTCGAAAATACATTTTATCTCACACAAAAAAGCGTATTTCGACGAATAAATCATCGTTAATTTTGTAAGAGTGAAATAGAATTGTTGTGTGTGTGAGAAATATTGATATACATCGACAAATACAATTAATTTAAAGCCAATTTACTGGTTCGGTGTTTTCTATCGCAGAGGAGAAACTTTTTTTTCCTGCAAACGCACAATCATGATCTTGTTAGAAATAAACAATCGAATTGTCGAAGAGACATTGCTAGTGAAATTCAAAAATGCACTGGCCAAGTGAGTACAACTTTTTTTTCTTGATGAAAATGTGTATATTTTGGGCCGTACGAAAATTGTTTCATTGTGTACGATTCCATACATGTGTATGTATGTGTATATGCGAGCAAATAACCATGACTTTCGGACACAACGATGATTGTGATGACACAAAATAAAAATGATTCATAACTTTTTTCACACTAAACAAGCATAAATTCTTGAAAACTGTGCGTTACTATTTATCGGCTAATCGTATGCGTTTCCGCATCTGTCTCTTTCTTTCCTTCTTCGGTTCGTTTTTTTTACAGAAACAAGCCCGACTCTATTGATATCACAATCGCCGATTTTGATGGTGTTCTATTCCATATTTCAAATGTAAATAATGATAAAACAAAAGTTCGGGTAAGTGCCATTATCTTTATTAATCTATTGATTTTGATTGGAAGTGAGAAAAAAATAACATGTTCGCTTACAATTTTTTTTTTTATTGTGATTGTATTGAATATATAGGTTAGCATATCGCTGCAATTTTACAAAGAACTTCAGCAGCACGGTGCCGACGAACTGCTACGACGAGAGTATGGAAATCTATTGACAGATGTCGAAGATGGTACGAATTTAAAGACAAATTATTTGTGTGATTTTGTGAATTGTATTCATCATGTGTTGTTCAACGCCTACTTTTTTTCATTTGTGAATTTTAATGTGGTTTTTTTGTTGTATGTCGGCAGGTTACAATGTTTCAGTGTTGGTTGATTTAGAGAACATCCCATCGGATTGGGAGCAGGTTGCTCACAAAGTAGGTCTTTTGAAGCGCAATTGCTTTGCGTCGGTTTTTGAAAAATACTTTGACTTCCAAGAGAAAGGCGAAAGTGGTAACAAACGGGCTGTCATCAACTATCGAAAGGATGAAACACTGTAAGTTTTGGTCAGAATTCGACTCACGTGCAATCTTAAATCTTAATTTTTTTTGATCATCCCGATAATTGTAGGTATGTTGAAGCGCAAGCTGATCGAGTGACTGTTGTATTCAGTACAATTTTCCGTGATGAAGATGATGTGGTGCTGGGCAAAGTATTTATGCAAGAGTTGAAAGAGGGTCGAAGAGCCTCACACACAGCGCCACAAGTTTTGTTTTCACATCGAGAACCGCCCTTGGAATTGGCCAATACGGATGCACGCGTCGGTGACAACATTGGCTATGTAACTTTTGGTAAATCATTAATTTGCCTTCAAATCATGCCCAACAATAATTCAATGATCTGATTTCTTTTTCTCTGTCGATTTTAGTACTTTTTCCACGACATACGAATAAGAACACACGTGACAACACAATTAATTTGATTCATATGTTCCGTGATTATCTTCATTATCACATTAAGGTGAGTTTTTTTTCCAGTTTTTCATGTACTAACTCATGATAAGAATGGAAAGACACCGCTGCCGTACGAAGTTCAGTTGTGATTAATGTGATTTATGTGTAAATTTCAGTGTTCGAAAGCCTATATGCATTCGCGAATGCGCGCCAAAACGAATGAGTTCTTAAAAGTATTGAATCGAGCCCGGCCTGAAACCAAACAACAAGAAAAGAAGACAATAACGTAAGTTGAAAAATACGAAAACCGATTGTTGCCTATGCATGAATTTCATTCTGAAAATTATTTCATACAAAATTTTCCATCATTACAGCGGCAGAACATTCATTCGGAAGGAGTGATTCCGGCGCGTTGCAATTGTAAAATGTTGATTTATTTTTTACTTTATTTCAAACTCAAGTTTGTTTTGATTTTTCTATGTTCAATAACTAGTGTCAAGTTTATAAACAAGTAACTAAAAAAAAGAGAGAAAAAAACTACCTAGAGAAATGATTGGCAAAATTGCATAGGATGAACGGCAAATGCCTCGTATATTATCATTAAAATGAAAGTCACAGCGATTGGAGTAAGATATCTACAAACAAAATTTCAATTCGATTCGAATAAAATTCTTTTTTTTCTAATTTAAAATAAATGCTTTGATTCGCCACAAACAAAAAACCATTGAAAAAAAAAATCTACAAAAAAATACGGTTCAATTTAAGATGTATTAATAAAAGAAAAAAAAAAAACAACACGTAATAAGTTAACTGGTTTTTTGTATATATTTTGTGCTGAAAAAGGTAAGAAATATGCTGAAGCGAGCGTTAAATCTACTGGTGAGCTCATTTCCATTTGATTACACATCTGTTCAATTAATATGCATTTCTGATGCGAATATGGTATGTGCAATTCATTCACTTGCTGCAGCCGACCACAAAAGCAAGCACTTCCTCTGAAACGAAATGATTATTATGGTGATGGGTTCATTTAACGCTTCAATTTGCACGATGAACTCCCACACGTACATCGAATTATTATTGTTATAGCTCTATCATCTCTTCATATAGCCACACACATACACACACACACACTCACGTACCCAGATCATTCGGCATGATTTATTTCTAACTGGACCAAAATTCATTCGAAACACTATTCCAAACTACATGCACATTCCAACCGGTGCAGTTGACGGCTATGACAGCAATCGGTTAACTTTTCAAATGTCATACACTACACGATACTACACACGTTTTGTTCAGTTCAAATCGAAAATTGAGAACCGACGGTTTAACCACAGAGCTGCATTCTTGTTAGTTTTAATTGAAATTTGTGTGCACATTGCGGTATATTTTAAAAAAATTGAAGCAAAAAAAAACACATAGACACATAGACATGTCGACAAATAAAGAAAAAAGATTTGATCGTAAGGATGCCGAAAAAATTCTGGGTAAGAGATTGAATTATTTGTTCATAAAATATTCTTTCTTTCACATTTTGTAAACTTCGTCTATTTTGAATTGTCATGCGTATATATAATAATATGAATTATCCTTTTTTGTCTGTCTCGCAGGCGCAACACACAAAGATGGTGAATTGGTGTTCCTTATAAAATGGAAAAAATCTGAGAAAGCTGATTTGGTACCATCGAAATTGGCCCGTGTAAAATGGCCGCAAGTTGTCATCGATTTCTATGAAGAACGACTACACTTTGGACCTCCAGACGCCAAAGGCAATGCCAAAGGCGATGACAAACGCGCTAACGATATGGATGTTGATGACAATTCTGAAAGTGGTGAAGCTGGTGAAGCTGATGACGCCAATGATGATTCTGATTGATGACAATGCCTGAAAACGCATAAATAAAACATCGTCGTCCCATCGTTAAATTTTTTTTCATACTCAAAAAAGCAAAATTTGCTTAAAAATTACTAAAACAATTTCCAAATAATATTTCATAAAACGTTTTCCATCGCATATTTAATATCGTTAAATGTTAATTTAAGTTGAAAATTTGAGAATTTAGGACTTGAAGTTCCTTTTTCCTGTATCATGTACAAATTTAGAAGGGAAAGTAAGATTAGATTGGAAATATTGCAGTTTCCAGTAGAATGTGCTGTGAGGGAATTGCATAAAATAAAGGTGTTTTGAATAATGAATATTTTGAATTTTTCCACACCAGTACCAAAACTCATCAAATCAAATGCATTTGAAATTGGTTCACATCAGTTTTTGTATGACATTTCTCGGATCACTTTCTAATTGTCATGTAATTTGGATATTTCTTTGTTTCACATTGAATTGGATACTTTTGATGAATTTTTACATAGAATATACTCGTAAAAATAATTCAAATTAAAAAAAAACTTTTAATTTTAACCATTTAATTTTCAACGAATAATTCAATTTCAATGGACACATTAAAAACGGGTAAAATTACATATTACTTTCTATGAAAAAGATTTGTTGTGATGACTCATTTTGCAAGTGTCGAGCTATTACAATTGACATTGATGAAATTACAGGTATAAATTTAGTTGTAAAGAAAACGCTTCAGATCATGTCACCAGAGCCCAGAGTCGAATTCAGCGAAGATAGTGACAATGGCATGGTTTTCAATGATATTCCAGTTCCAGAAGAATTGATCTCACGCATATTTTGTTATTACGTCGATGCCAAAAGTCTATTAAATTGCCAATTAGTTTGCAAGCGCTGGAACATGCTAATGACCGACTATGTTTGGCGTAAAAAGGCCATCATTCGTACTGGACATCACTTTACATTAGAAGAGCCGTACGATTGGAAAGATTATTATAGTATTATTACTGTTAATTTTGGGAAAAATCTATTGACGAATCATTCGGGGGCAGAAGGAATAAGAAAAGGTTGGAATAATTTGAGAAATGGTGGCGATGGCTGGAAAATTGAACGTTCTCCATTGGGAGTACCACCACTACCCGAAGAACCCGATTTCGGAAACAGTCAATATTGCTTTGTCACTTCATATAGCGATTGCATAAAGGAACAAACTATATATCTTTCCAAAGTAGGATTTTCGGCCAATGTTTTAGACTCTATGCAACCGGTTATAGAGGTATTTTGCACTCAAAAATTGTTATCAAAACTGGATTTTAATCTTGATTTTCTTCTTCGATGTAGATTAGTGAATGGTATGGCTGTCGTTGGGATTGTCCAGCGAATTACAAACTGACTGTGCAACTCATTGGTTCGCAAGATCAAATTATGGACTCATTCATATTTAAAGATTCTTTGGAGAATGAGCGACAAAATGTGTGGCATAAGGTAAAATATATCAAAGCTACATAATATCAAATGTATCTAAATCTATTGTTTGTGTTTTGTTTCTCATTTCATCACAGGTTGAACACAAGTTTACAAACTATGGACGAGGCTTGAGAATAATTCGTTTCAAACACGGTGGCAGCGATAGATACTTTTGGGCTGGACATTATGGTTCAAAAATGGCAAGAGCAACTGTTAAAGTCATAATACCTTAAGTATAAAATGTCCAGAGCAACTGTTGAAGTCATTAAATGCTTCAATAAAAAATGTGTATTTTTTTTTCTTTCGTTGTTTCATAAAAGAAAAATGCAAAGGTCTCAAATCAATGTAATTGCAATTATTTTTTTATTAATGCGAATATAATTCTTGTATTTAATTCAATAAAATGGCGCATTCTGTGTTTTTACAAAAAAATAATAATAATTCATTATATTTGTATTTATTTATTTGAAGCGATCCAAAATTTTCAAAGTGGGACCACTTCGAATCGGTTAATTTCCAATCGGTTCGGATCAGTTTATATCTGACATCTCTGGGACCACTTTCCAACTGTCATATCATTACACTGCATTTTTGATGTATCTTTCTCGTTCTCGTCAAATCGTATATTGTCAGCGTCATTTTAGCCGAAGCACACAGTATTCATTCAATTATACTGCCTATAAATTGCTGCTTCAAATAAATCAGAAACGCAACGTTTTCTTTTCGATTATTCCGTTTTAAAGTGCAACATTTAAGCTAAACATTTGAAATAATGGATCGTTTATTGAGATTAGGTGGAAATGTTCCAGGTTTATCGCAACCAACATTGTCAGATGCTCCAGTCGTCGATACAGCCGAACAAGTGTAAGTGTGGAATTTTCAAAGAAACAAAACAACTCATAAAATCCTCATTTTGTGGCACAATTTTAACCTTGAATGAATACAATTTTAGATACATTTCATCATTGGCATTGCTGAAAATGTTGAAACACGGTCGTGCTGGAGTGCCAATGGAGGTTATGGGTCTCATGCTTGGTAAGTTCAACCATTTGTACAATTTCGCCGTTTTATTAACACTCCGATCTGTGTTATTTTGAATTAGGTGAGTTTGTGGACGATTACACGGTGCAAGTGATTGATGTATTTGCCATGCCTCAAACTGGTACTGGTGTATCAGTCGAAGCAGTTGATCCCGTTTTCCAAGCAAAAATGTTGGACATGCTTAAACAAACGGGCCGACCCGAAATGGTCGTTGGATGGTATCACTCACATCCTGGCTTTGGATGCTGGTTGTCCGGTGTTGATATAAATACACAACAATCATTTGAAGCGTTGAGCGAACGAGCTGTTGCTGTTGTCGTTGATCCCATTCAATCTGTGAAGGGAAAAGTTGTAATTGATGCTTTCCGCCTTATCAATCCAAATATGTTGGTGCTTGGCCAAGAGCCACGGCAAACCACTTCGAATTTAGGTCATTTACAAAAACCATCCGTTCAAGCATTGATTCATGGCCTGAATCGGCACTATTATTCAATCAGCATTAACTACCGTAAAAATGAATTGGAACAAAAAATGCTGTTGAATTTACATAAGAAATCATGGATGGACGGTCTCACACTTGCTGATTACAATGAACATTCGTGTGTCAACGAAAATACTGTCGCTGAAATGTTGGAATTGGCCAAGAATTATAATAAGGTACAGAAGAATTAACGTAATTTAACAAAGACGTCGAATTTCATACTAAAATTTATATAATTTGCTATTTTAGGCTCTCGAAGAAGAAGAAAAAATGACACCCGAACAATTGGCCATTAAGAATGTGGGTAAACAAGATCCAAAACGGCATTTGGAAGAGAAGGTTGACGCTCTCATGCAAAACAACATTGTGCAGTGCTTGGGCGCTATGCTCGATACGGTCGTATTCAAATAAACATCTCTCAATGAATTCAACCGGAGACGACATAAATATTCATATGGTTTAATCACCTTTTTTCTATTAATTTAACAAAATGAAAATAAATGTTTGATTTTGCGATAAAATAAACGGAAAGATTTATTCTCACAAATTATGTTTTTTTTTTGTGTGTGGATTTGACAATTGGATATGAATGATTTTTTTTATTTTCAAATTATAGGTTATTTCAATACGAATACGAATTCCAATCGAACAGCAAAGTACCGGAGTCTTGACATTGGCAATTAGAATGAGTCTACACTATATACGTAGTCAAATTGAACACATATATCGGTCTCTTTCTCACACTCTCCGGTTTTAGTTGTTTACTCAAGCATTCACATAGCGAACGACAGTAATATTGTTTGTCATCAACGTCAATGCGCTACTTTCACCAGTCAAACACAAACGGGGCAATGTCATCAACGAAAACAAGACAACTGTGATCTTATCCCGTCCTGAATGTACAATTATTCCAGACATTTCCTCATAAATTAGAATATAACTTTAGTGCTTTGCAAAACTATCTCAATCATAAAATGATTTCGTTTTTGATGCATTTTCTTCGTCAACATTTTTTCATCATTCTTTGTTGTGTGATAACGGCTTCGCTATGGCCAGAATTGCGAAAACATTTTGTCAATGAATATGAACAGTATCAATCGTCACAGAGTGAATCAGAAGTGAGACTTCTTACCGTTGAAGAGTTATCGCAGTTTGACGGCATACACAATAGAGATTTATATCTGTCGATATTGGGCAGCGTTTATGATGTGTCCAAGGGCAAAAAACATTATGGACCTGATGGAAGCTATAATTATTTCGTGGGTATGTTTTTCTCATTCAATGGAACGGTTGTTCTGAAATATTTCAATAATTTATGTGAATACAAACAGGCAAAGATGCATCTGTGGCATTCATTACGGGCGACTTTGAAAAAGAGCCAAACAGCAACACCGGAGATGATGATGTGTTAAAATATCTCACAGCCAGAGACATTCACAGTCTTTATCAATGGAAACAGTTTTACGATAAAGATTACACTTTTGTCGGTTTGTTAGCCGGTCGTTTTTACGGATATAATGGTCAAAAGACAGAGTATATGAAAAAAGTCGAAGAACAAATTGAGATTGCCATAGCTGAAAATGCGAAGAACGAACAATTACGTGTTAAGTATCCACCTTGTAATATTGAATGGAAAGCGGAGACTGGAACTCGTGTTTGGTGTACCAGTCAAAGTGGAGGGATTGATCGAAACTTCGTGGGTCTTCCTCGAAAATTTTTCGAAGTTGGCAAATCTGAATATCGTTGCGTCTGTGTTCCCGATGACCGACTGGATGATCCGCAGCTAAAAGAATATGACAATTGTGATTCGAATTCAATTGATTGCTTCTACACCGTAGATTAAGACAAACTCAAAAATATACCGAGAAAATGTAATTTTCTTTTTCAATTGAGATTTTTTTAGAGTAAACTTTTTGTTATGGAAAGGATGAATCGAACAATCGCGCTTGACGATTTATTTGTGTATCAGTGTGCCTTGGAAATACTTGTTATAAAATAAAGAGAATCAAACAAATCTATACACCTAACTGTTGCCTTCAAAGGCCCGTTTATTTATTTTTATTGTGTGTTTTCATGTGTGTCTTAAGTGCAATTTGCTGAATAAATCTCTTATCACAAATGGAACATGCGTGTGGTTTTTCGCCAGTATGGGTCATGATGTGGTGCTTAAGAGTTTCTGCCTTTCCAAATGACTGGTCACAATGCGTACAAGAGTATGCTTTGATGCCACAATGAACCACTCGCATGTGCCGCTTCATATTCGCCATTCTCGTAAATACTACAGAGCATATTCCGCACGGGAATTGCATATCGCTCGAATGATGAGTCATATGGACGCGTAATTCATGACCTATCGTACAAAATAAATCTGAAAAATTATTTGTCGCTTTAGAGAATGACGGAGTTTCTTGGGAAAATACTCGCCTGTCGTCTTACGCAAGCCGCAAATTGTGCAAATGTAATTTTTGATACCCTCATGTCGCATGACATGCTCCTTTAGCTTGTACTTTGTTGCGAACATTTTTGAACATCTATCACATTTATACGGAGACACTTTGGTGTGGGTGTACGTATGTTTTATGAGCGATGCATTACCTACAGAAATCAAATGGCGAACAATATAATTAACAATATTTAACTTTTTTTGTAATCAAAATAAAGTAAGAGAACTTGCTTTTGAACGATTTTCCGCAAACTTCGCAGATTTTTTCGGTCATATTCGGTTTTCGGCCCATGTGAATTTGCTTGATGTGAACACGAAGCGATTCCTTTAAAAAAAAACAGGTTGAACGTTATATTAGATGATTTTGTTGAATGTCAGTATTCAAAGCTTCAAAGAAATTTTTACCTTCAGTGAGTATGATTTTCCACAGCCATCAAAATCACATACAAATGTTGGTTTCACTTCTGAATCTACATGCTTCGATGTAATATGTGACTTTAGCGATGAGTATTTTTCGAATTCTTTTTCACAATGATCGCATTTCCATTGCTATCGGTAGTCAATTAATTAACAATGTTGTAAGTAAAAACTTGTTGTTCTTATGATTGCAATTACCTTCAGGCCTTGATGCTTTCGCATATGTGCATCGTACCGATGCTTTTTAAAGAATTTCGTGGAACAAACACCACAAACATAGATTGGTTCGTTTGAATTTGAATCCGATTTTTTAGCTTTAACTGATTTCTTGGTCTTTTTACTTTTATTCGGCTTCGGCACGATTGGCAGATTCTTTCAGTTGAAAAAAAAATTAACATGAAAAAACCACGAAAGATTAAAAAAGTTGCATAAATTATGTCAGGCATTAAAAAGTGTGAGATTTTTTATGCATTTACCTCTACTTTCACTGCACTTAGTGGTAAGTCATCGTCGCTACTGGTATCATCAAGCTCTTCATCTTCTTCGAATGATTTACTATTTGTTTTCATCACTTCTTGGATATTTTCTGCCTCTTCCTTTTGTATGTTTTCTGTATCGAGTTCCATTTCATTATTGGAACCGAATGATGTGAAACTCTCTTCGTCACCAAAATCATCGTCATTGTCGGGAATGGTATCATCAGTTGGTTCCAAAATATTTGCAACATCCACAACTTCAACTTTAACTATTTGTATTTCAGTGCTTGAGGACCTTTGTGACTCGATGTCTTTAAGTTTGCCATATGATTCGATGCACATTTGACGAAATTTATAAAATTCCAATAGTTTTCCAGAACAAACGTGACAAACCCATTCCCAATTGGGATGCATTTCTTCATACACTAACTGCGTACATTCATTGTACAATTCAGCCAGATTCACTATTTCTCTATGTGTCTGATTTGTACCTTCGATCGAAACACTTTTTGAAGACAGCGAATGCATCTGACTTTGAGGCTGCCGCAAACAAGCTCGACAATGTTTTTCCGCCGATAAATTTATCGAATCCATTGCGGTTGAAAGCCGTATGCTTGAAAGAAAAATGTCGATGTTTTGTTAGTTTATGTTGAAAAATTTGTTTTCAAACGGGTTGACATTTGCGTTAATAACAAATTTGACAGTTCGAGGGTATGTTCAATCAATCGAAATGAGAACGCTTCCAAACAAATTATTTTGAATTTTCAAAACATTTTCTATACAAAACACAACGAAGATGTTTTTGAAAAACTAATTCATTGTTTATTACAGTCTGTAATTTGCAGATAGTATTTGATTGATGTGGGTAAAATAACACAATAAATCGAGAAAGAAAAATGTCTCCACATCAAAATGTAAGTTTATTTCCTTTTATTGTGTGTTTGCATGTGTTTGTTCAGTGCGACGGCCTGAATAAATCTCTTATCACAAATGGAACAGCAGTGTGGTTTTTCGCCAGTATGGGTCATGATGTGGTGTTTGAGAGTTTCTGCCTTTCCAAATGATTGATTGCAATGTGTGCACAGATATGCTTTAATACCTAAATGAACAACTCTCATGTGCCGCTTCAAATTCTGCTTACATTTAAACACCGATGAACAGAGCTCGCATGGATATTGAACGTCTGGATTGTGAAGTTTCATATGGTTTTGCAATTCTTTGTTAGTTATCCGCCGTTGACCACAAACGGTGCATACAAAGTTCTTGATTCCTTCATGACGCATAAGATGCTCCTTTAGCCGGAGCTTTTTTGAAAACATTTTATCGCAAATATGACATTTATGAGGAGATATTTTGCTATGTGTGTACGAATGTTCGAGGAGTCTGGATATAGTTGAGAAGGATTTTCCGCAGATTTCGCAGATCTTTCTGGTTAAATTCAGCTTCATGCCCAAATGAACTTTTTTGATGTGCACATTCAGTGTTTGCTTTGAGAAAGGGGGGAAATGAAAACAGATGCAAGCGTAAATGCAATACGTAGTATTTTTAAAACTATAATATGAAATCGAAACATTTCCAAAGTACCTTTAATGTATACGATTTGTCGCAACCTTCGACATCGCAAGCAAATATTGGTTTCGCTTCTGAATCGACATGCTTCGATGCGATATGCCGACTTAAATTTGCATATTTTTGGAAATCTCTTTCACAGTGATCACATTTCCAGGGCTTTAGGTAATCAATTAATTTATCACAAAGTTTTTGATTATCGAACACTTTAATTTCGAGCAAATGGTCATAGCTTTAATTACCTTTAGGCCTTGATGCGTTCGCAAATGAGCAGTGTATCGATGTTTCTTGAAGAATTTCGATGGACAAAGATCACATGTATAAATTATTTCAACTGGAGTTGATGTTTTCGTTGATGATTTTCTGATTCTTTTTGGATTTGGCTTCTTTGGCAGATGCAGCTGAAAAGAAATATAATTCGAAACACTGTAAATAACGTTTTGATTAAATTACCACTGAACTTACCTCTTCTACCACTGCACTCAGTGGCAAGTCGTCATCGCTACTGCTATCATCAAGCACTTCGTCTTCTTCGAATGTTTTACTATTTGTTTTCATCACTTCTTCTTGGATATTTTCTGCCTCTTCCTTTTGTATGTTTTCTGTATCGAGTTCCATTTCATCATTGGAACTGAATGATGTGAAACTCTCTTCGTCAAAATGTTCGTCACCAAAATCATCGTCATTGTCGGGAATGGTATCATCAGTTGGTTCCAAAATATTTGCAACATCTACAACTTCAACTTTAACTATTTGTATTTCAGTGTTTGAGGATATTTGTGACTCGATGTCTTTGAGTTTGCCATATGATTCGATGCACATTTGACGAAATTTATAAAATTCCAATAGTTTTCCAGAACAAACGGGACAAACCCATTCCCAATTGGGATGCATTTCTTCATAGACTAACTGCGTACATTCATTGTACAATTCAGCCAGATTCACTATTTCTCTGTGTGTCTGATTTGTACCTTCGATCGAAACACTTTTCGAAGACAACGAATGCATCTGACTTTGAGGCTGCCGCAAACAAGCTCGACAATGTTTTTCCGCCGATAAATTTATCGAATCCATTGCAGCTGGAAGCCGTATGCGAGAAGAAAGTCAATATGTCGATGGTTTGTTAGTTTATGTTGATCAATTTGTTTGTTTTTCAAATGAATTGTCAATTCAGTAAATATTTAGCGTGACAGTTGAAGAGTACGTTCACTCAATAAGTCGTTAGCAATCGAGCCTATTCTACCACTTCTATCGAGCCGAGAGCGCTGCTTTTATCATTAGAATCGACTAACGGGAATATTATTCGATTGCGAGTTCTAAAGGGGGTCAATATACTTACAATCAATGAATATGAATTTAAATTCTGATAAAACTCATTTTTTGTTTTTTTTTTCTCTCTTTGCATTATTTTCTCTTTTTTTTAATATAGAACGATTCATACAATCGTTAAATTGGCCGGAATCAAAAATGTCATATTAACCAATTAAAAGTGATTAGATTTGATATAAATACCCGGCTTTTATCTGTACAAGTCATGTTGAACCATATCGCACCGAATACTAAATATATTCTTATCTTATGTCGTGCACTGGTATTGCGCAGAATCGAGAACAATGTGTTTTGTAAACGCACACATTTACACTCGAATAAAACTACGATACAAAGCAGTTAGAAAATAAGGGACCCATGCATACATATGACACATGTGTTGATGAGTTCGCGTTGTTAAGCGCGTGTTGAACGAAAAAAAATCGTTCAATTCCATAGTTATGATAGATATACTTGAATATTCAGTACACATGAAACCGAGTCCATATTCAAATCGTGCCTCATTGACGCGTTCAACTGTGTGTATGTGTATTGGTGCAAGTAATGCTTGCGATGCGAATACTTCGATTTCCTTTGAATAATTTCATTTTGTGAACACCAAGCAATATAATACGATTCACGAATATTAATTGTATTCCAAATGAAACACATATCGAGTGCATAGAATAAAAGAAATTAAATACGAGCCGACTATTGACATCGTTTGTTAATCGACAGTCGCGCGCGTCAACCAAAAATCATAACTTTGTTAACACATCGTCGATTCCGTTTTCTCATTCAGTCGATACTCTAAAGGGTGAACGAAAGTGTGTGCGTTCTGGAACAGCAGTGAAATTAGTCATTTAGTTTTCATTGGAAATTTTTGTCGAAAAGTCAAAAAATGGCTTGTATTTTTGGTTGTTTGAGTTCAATTCCGGCTGTTATTCTTGCCATTCAATTTATCGCCAAAGCATTACCATGGCTCTATGAGACTGTCATCGGACCGTATATTTTGGGACCAAAACTAAAATTACGTGACTATGGCGAATGGGCATGTAAGTAAACGAAAGCAATTCTCTATCGAGTTATAGACTTATGATGTCACCGTACTGTCACTGATCCTTTACTGTGCTAGTTGTAAAGTACAGTTATACACTTTTTTTGCATTTTAAGTAAAAATAAAATTAGATACATATTTTGGTGATGTCTCCTTATCGGTAGACACAAAGTTATCAATTTGATCCCAAATCGATTGGCACTCAAACCGATTTCGATTTCTTCACCTTTAATCAATTAATAACTCCGATCGAAAATGAAAAGAACGAAAACTATTTCCAGACTTGAAAAAATCCACATTAACCCGATTAGAATATGGCCTTTGCTCTATTTTTCACAGTGTGTTCAATGTTCACACTCACATTGCATTCGTTAAAAACATCTTCGATTTTAATTATTTGCAATTTGTATGTGTGTCGATTGATTTGTTTATTAGACATGATATCAATCGGTCTTTAGCCTTTCAAATGGATCTTTTTTGTAAAAGAATACACATACACATGTAGTTCTTGAAATTGGTGTATGATATGTCATACTAACACAGTTCTATTGTACACCAACTACATAATTTATAACCCGTGTAAAGATAAACAATCGATTGTCATGGCCGTTTTTAGGCAGTAAAAATACAACACAAAAAGCAATTGATAATTGCTTATGGATGAAATTTGAGGGCAAAAATCAACATTCGTGTTAATTGAATATTGTTGAAAAGTGTTGCTTATTAGTCGACGCATCAAAATTACTCGTAATGCATAATCGACAACAAAAGTGTCTATTTTCCATCATACTCTCATTCACATTTCGACAAAAACATATTATGATGAAATTGCTTTTTTGTGATTTATGTGAAATGTGATTCGTCACAGGTCACCATTCATTTGCGACTATTGTTTATGTATCGTTTAACGAGAATAATTATGTTTTAACATCAATGACATTGACCACAGGCAGCTGCAATTGTTCTATCGTTCATTTTTTTATTGATTCTTTTTTTTAGTGGTTACTGGAGCTACAGACGGAATCGGAAAATCATACGCCAAACAATTGGCTAAACAGGGATTCAAAATTATTTTGATCAGCCGAACTCAAGCTAAATTGGAAAGCGTCGCAAAAGAAATAGGTAGAGAATTTAATAAAAATCTTATCTGTGATATTTACGGCGTTAAATCTGTGATAGTAATTTTTATCTTTGGTCTTATCATATTTTACTGTATTTTTTTCAAATTCAGAAAATGAATTCAAAGTCGAGACAAAAACGATTGCCATCAATTTTGCTGGTGACGCTGAAATCTATGATAAAATTGCTGCCGAAATTAAAGGTTACAACATTGGTGTTTTGGTGAATAATGTTGGTGTGAGCTACTCTTATCCGGAATTTTTCTTGGACGTGGCTGATCGTGATGTCATTTTCGATCATATTATTCGGTGTAATATTACATCAGTTGTTAATATGACGAAGATTGTATTGCCACACATGCTCTCCAATCAAAAAGGAATCGTTCTCAATATATCTTCGATGAGCGGTACCATTCCACAACCACTCCTTGCCGTTTACAGCGCATCAAAGGTAGATTTTTTTAAACTATTTTTTTCTACGAATTTTAGGGAACACTAATTTATTTTAAATTACTTTAACAGGCTTTCGTTGATAAACTGTCAGAAGACTTGAACACCGAATATGGATCACAGGGCATCATTGTTCAATCGGTTTTGCCTGGATTTGTTGTTACAAATATGACAAAATTACGACGTGCCAGCTTATTCGCACCCAGCTCTGACAAATATGTATCGCACGCCCTTCAAACCATTGGATATGCTAAACACACTACTGGCTATTGGCCACATGCTATTATGCAACTTTTATTGACTACAGCTCATGCTTATTTGCCAGATCTCACGAATTCCTTCACCTTGAGTGCAATGCAGAAAATCAAACGCAAGTCGATAAAACTCAATCAGAAATTCGAAGAGAAAAAGAAATTAGAAGAAAAAAGCCAATAAGCGATGACCAATTTGTTTGCATAGAAAAGAAGCACAAAACCAATGTTTATACAAATATTTTATTTTTAATTTTTTTAAATATTTAAATGAATTATGTTTGAAATTTGATCGGCTTCAATAAATAAAAGGATTTAAAATAAATTACTTTTATTCAAATGGATGATTTTTAGGGCTTGAGTTTAATTTCAGTAATTGGATCGAAAACATCCGTATCGATTTGAGGCACTTCGGTTGGACCGCTTGGACCGCTCGGTGGTCGAGTTGGTCGGTTGCCAAAAAGACCACCGTTGAATAATCCTGTTCCAAATAATCCTGTTCCAAATAATAAAAATCACAATAATAATAATAATCCAAATAATAATCCAAATAACCCACCGCCACCGCCTCCACCGCCGCCACCGCCGCCACCCGTTCCCACCTCTCCTCCGTTTTGCTCTGGCTTTAATAGCATGAATCCATCTTGTCCCATTCGCATACAGTCGAAATGTAGAACCTTTAATTCGTAGATTTTATTAGGAATTTTTGCACATCATATTCAAATAAAAGAAAAATCATTTCGATTGTCAACAGTAGAAAAAATAATAAACATACTAAATATGGTTTATCTTGTATTTTGATCTCAATGTCCATACACATATGCAAATTTCGTCCCGGCGTGAAAATATTAAATAGCTTTATGCACATTTGAGCGGGAGTGTATGGCACTGGCACGCACATCGGTGGTGGATTCTTTGCGGAGAACATATTTTGATAGATAACTTCGTCATTATTCATCACATCCAACTGCACTTGAAACTCATTTGGGTCATATGTGAAATTGGTACAAACTGTGAAAAAATACACAATTTCTCTTTTTCAATAAGAATCAAGAAAAAATGGAATGAAATATTGAATACAAAAACAACTGTAAAAAATTCTCATAACGGACACTCTACACGGAATATATTAAAACGTACATTTTCGTTTGAAATTTTGGATTTCCATGCCGGCACAGCAGCCGCAATTTAGACTAAGACACGCACAAGGACCACGTCGCTGTCGAAGTGAAATCCGTTTTTCGAGCGAATCACTTACATTAAGATGGTAAAATTCAATTTGTAAGTTTTCAGCATTTACAAATGTTGAATTTGGTAAAAGAGCCGTTACATTTTGATTTGAACGAATTGGCTTCTTCTTCAGCGTGTTCTTTGTTACTAAAATATTTGATTGGTTATTAAAATAAAATTTGAAATGAATCTTTAGAAAAATTGAAAAAAAAGGAAAAAAACGTTCAATGTTTACTTAATCCTTACATGCAAAAGCACAACCAAATACCACAAATATAAATAAGAAATGTGTTGTTTTCATTTTAGAAAATCGACCCAAACTACTCAAATCAATCGAAATTCAACAAATGAATGGCTTCAAATCTCTGCATGGCATTTTATTTATAAAGAATTGCTGGCGAACCAACTTAAATTAAGTATTCTCCGCGTTTGTCCATTTCTTTAAAATAAACTTTCATTTTTTTCTGTTTTTTTTTTCTTCTTCTATTTGTTTGTCACGCATCTATTCAAATAAAAAAAAACGAAAGCGTTTTTGGCTTGAGTGCGTCATTGGCTCCCTTACAGAACGCACTCTTAAATTTCATAGATGTCAAATTGGCAACTGTCATCCACGACGAAATACAGCAAAACAACACTCTAACCTTGTATTATTCTATACGTTGTGTAGTCGTTTGATGCAAATTATTGAATTATAAAAGTGTGAGATAAGTGCATTTGATTTGATTTAATTTTGTTTGGTTCTTGTGAACGAAAAACGATGATTGAAGAAGATGATCCGTCTGTACATCGTTTAGAGGCGTCCAGCCCGGTAACTGGTGGTTTGGTGGTGAAAAAGAAAGATTCCGATTCAACATTTAAGGTACCACAACCGTCTTTACTTGGTTTGGATCGTTTGGCTGCGCAAAAACGAAAAGAACGCGAAGATCAAAATCGTTTAATTTCGTTCAAAGACAGTGAATACGATGATGATGCATCGGCCACACCAGAACACAGAACGTTCACTACACCGGATCATGCGAATGTGCATAGATTAAGCCGAAACTATCGTGAACCGAACGATGAAACTCCATCGCATGGTGGCGGTGTGTCAGATAAATTTCGTGATCGATTAGCAGAACGAAGCGAAAAGGACAAAAGAGGCGTATATGTATCAACGAAGGATGAAAAAAAAAGTCGACGCAAAGATGATTCCGATCGAAACTATGACAAAAGAGATAAAGACAGGTATAGGGATAGAGATCGTGACAGAGGCAGGGACAATGACTATTCGGAGAGGCGCAGAGAAAAGGACAGAGACTACGAACGACGACGTGATCGAAGCTCAAGAGATTCTGGATACTCGGAGCGACGAAAACCATCTGATTCGGAGAGAAGTTTACACACACCTCGATTTAGAGACGAACCGAGAACACCGTATACAGCAACGGCCTCGTCATCTTGGGACGACGATGATGAAAGATCAACATCAAAACGCTCTTCATGGGATTTTCCGACGCCAAGAGAAGGCGACCAACAACGTCGCTCGGAATGGTCGACACGCAGCAACATGAACAGCTTGAGAAAATCGATAATGGAAGATGATACACCAAGACCGACGCCGGCACACAAATTCAATGCATGGGCAAATGATAGAAAGCGTACTGGAGCCACACCACGTACAAGTAAGATTCGATTTTTTTTGTTCCTATTATCGACCAATTTTTTTCTTTCGTACATTAAATAATTGAATTCATTCAATTTTCAGGTCAACGTGACAAACAACCATGGGCTGATGCTGAAGAGCGTGACATTTGGGAAGAAGAACAACGTCGATTGGATCGTGAATGGTACAATATGGATGAAGGTTTCGATGATGATACAAATCCATTTGGAAATACAAATGCCGAATATTTCCGAAAACGTGAAGAACAATTGGAGCAAAGAACGAAAAAGCGTATTTCAGCCCAACAGCGTCAAAATAACAAAGACAATGAACTGTGGGAACGAAATCGTATGTTGACTTCGGGTGTTGTTCAATCGATCAATGTAAACGATGATTTCGACGAAGAAGCAATTGAACGTGTACATTTGTTGGTGCATCACATAGTACCGCCATTTTTGGATGGTCGAATTGTTTTCACCAAACAACCGGAACCTGTAAGATTCGAAATTTTGTCCACGTCTTATTTCTTCTTGAAAGTTATTTAACCGTTTCGATTCAATAAATTTTCAGGTTGTACCTGTCAGAGATCCAACAAGTGACATGGCATTACTTGCTCGCAAAGGTTCGCCATTGGTGCGTGTATATCGTGAGCAAAAAGAACGTCGCAAAGCACAAAAGAAACATTGGGAACTGGGCGGAACGAAAATGGGCAACATCATGGGCGTTGAAAAGCAAAAGGACGACGAAGATGATAAATACGATGCAGAGAACGACAAAACCGATTACCGTGAAGGTCAAAAATTTGCTCAACATTTGGGTGAAGGTGTTAAAAAGGGTGACTATGCCAAGCGCAAAAAAATTTTAGAACAACGTCGATTTTTGCCGGTATATGCTGTACGCCAAGAGTTGTTGAATGTAATTCGAGAGAATTCCGTCGTGATTATCATAGGAGGTTAGAAGCAAAGATTTCTAAGCAAAAACTGTGAAATAAAATAAAAATTACTTCTTTCTTTAGAAACGGGGTCGGGAAAGACGACACAATTAACTCAATATTTACATGAAGATGGTTACAGTAATTTTGGCATGATTGGATGTACTCAACCGAGAAGAGTGGCTGCGATGTCGGTGGCCAAACGTGTATCAGACGAATTAAGCACCAAATTAGGTAAATCAAAACTTCATTTCGTTGCAAGATATAAGCATTTAGTTAAAAAATAAGAACAACCACTAATCTAATGAATTGCTTTGTGTGTGCGTGATGCTTTAGGTGAGGAAGTTGGATACGCCATTCGTTTCGAAGACTGTACATCGGATAAAACTGTGATCAAATACATGACGGACGGTATATTGTTGCGCGAAAGTCTTCGCGAACCAGATCTCGACAATTATTCAGCCATCATCATGGACGAAGCGCACGAACGTTCCCTTTCTACAGACGTTTTGTTTGGTTTACTGCGTGATGTGAGTATAATTGATTATTTTATTCAACCTTCTTCTACTTTATTCAAAAATAAAAACATCGCTTTCGAGGTGGTTGCTTTTTCCACTTCATTTATTATTCGACACACGTTTTGTGCCACTTTTAAGTCAATAGTTTACAAATTAATTTACGTCAACCTGAATCTATACATTATCCATTCCACCGTAAGTGGTATAGCACTCGTTTGTTAGGTGAGCGTCACCGTTTTGAGCACAGTGGTTGGACTAAAAATAGCACATCATCTATAAAATGTCTATTATTGGGTCAATTGGGTAGTATTTGGTGCTTGTATACGAAATCAATACACAGTGTGTACATGATTTTTTTCCAAATGAATATATTTATTCAACTCAAGTTTGTTGTTGATACAACCATCTATATCGCTTAATGTTTGAATAGATTTACGATGGATGCCTTCGCATCATAAATTATATCCCGGGGCATTGTTTACTTACGCTTGCAGTTTCACTCCACCACCCACATTCGCAATAACAATGTGTTCTCACCACGTATTTTTGCACAATTCGCTGAAAACAGTGGAAGGACCCTCTCAAAGAAGAAAAATCAGAATAAAAAGCCAAAAAAAGTAAAGAACACATTTCGAACTCTGCATTTTCTAATAATAATACCAATAAAATTTATTTTTATTCAAAAAATGTCATTTATAATTTCAAAACATTACAACAGCTCGCAACAACAATTATCCCAAGCATATTTTAACGTATGTGTTTGTTGTCGTTTATGCGTTGCGCGTTTCATTTTTTTTTTTGTTTTTTTTTTCGATACCAAATTTTTTTCATACACAATAGCCATCGGCAAAGCACTTTTCACAGACATTGAATACTTTTATTATGCGAACTAACGCTTTATTGATAATAATTACAATCGTTTTGATTTTCTCTCGTCCTCTTCTGCATGGACTGCTACCACAAATGCTTCGCAACGAGCGTCATTCTTATAAGATTGAGTTTTACTATAAACAGCAATTAATAAATATCAGGTTCTTTGATAGAATTTCTGTGGTGTATTTATTCTGTGTGCTGCGATAAAAGCCACAACAAGTGTGCAATATATCTACAGTTAGTTTTTCTGTTTTGTATGTTTCTGATCTTTGATTATTGACTGCAGCTTTCTTAAGTACAATCCAAAAAAAAATTTCAATTAAATCTTGCATCTTTGCAACATTTTCTCAGCCTTACCTCCCTTTCATTGCCAATAACTCCAAACTCCATTAAATTGTGGCATAAATAAACACTTAAATGATTACATTTTCTCTCAATGTATATAAGGTGTATAGAGAGATGTATAGTATAATTTATGGTGGTTAAATAAAAAAAAAGAATTTCTTTTCTTCTCAAAAAGTTGTTGTTATCCGAGAAGAATGATGAGATGAAAGGATTTCTGTGGATTTTGGCACCCACATTGTTATATATGTATTCTTTTTTTTGCGTTCTTTCAAAAAGTTTCCTCGCAGTGTTCATTCACTTCCGAATTGGTTCAGATATTTTTATATAACAATCCCACGCAAAAATGATGTTCTCCGACAAATTCAATAGTAGTATCGATTTTTCATATTCCTTCTGTGCTAACGCTACAGTTCATTCATCATATCTTTTTTTTTTGTGCTGAAACTGTGTGTATCCAAGTGGAAATATTTTTTTTGATTTTTTTTATCGAAAATTGTTCTAACAGAATTGTCTGATAATCTCATTGGTACACGCAAGCAATTTCGTTATATGAGTATGTGAAAAAATAAATAACCAAAATCAAATCTCATGAAATCGGTTTTTGCAGTGAAAAAGTTTTTCTCTTTTTTGTTGGTTGTGATTCTTGTTCCATTGAAAATGTTGAAAGTGTAGCAGTTTTTCATCGTTTTGAGTCATTATAAACTTAACTAGTAAAAAATATAAACGTTTAACAAAAATGTGTTTTGTACAATAAAAAAATGTCCAGAAAGTTCACTCTGTATCACAAATGTCAATGTTTTTTTGTCTCAGGTTTTCTTTTTGGTTTCGATTTGCATATTTTGAAGATTCAGTTTCGGAAATGATAAATTTAACATTCGTCATGTGTTCGGTTGTGGGTTGAAAACTCCTGTGTATTTCACGAAGAAGATTTTTTTTTTTTCGTTTAATAATTTTTCCTCACACACATTTACACGTCATAAATAGCAATTCGTTGAACAGTAAACAGTATATTCACGGTAAACATGTTTGTTTTTCTTCGTCGACGCAGACTTAATGCGTTGCCGAAGCCGAATGGGATTGGCGACGATTCATCATCATTATTAGTCCGGCATTCATTCCAACACTGCCCCATTTTACACAGTCCGATATCTGAAATTCATAAAAAAACCAATTGAAATAAAATTATTTCGCCTACCACTTGTGCTACAATAGACGGAAGACGGAAAACAGAGTCAACAAAAGGATCTTATAAAAAAACAACTTGCGGTATTTGCAATTGTAATTTATATCACAAACCGCCCATGTTTACTTTCGCTCTAAATACTGTACAAAAAAAGCGTTAACATTCAAAGATGATATCATTCATGCGATGATAAAATCAATAGCAATTACAACGGCCATGCATTTTCATGAAAATTTCTGTTTGTTTTTCCCTCTATAATGGTGCGCACGTTTTTGATATCAAAATACAGTCGCCCGATAAAGGATGAAGTGTTTCAATCTGTCACGAAGCAGTCAACATTTATTGAATTATTTGATTGAACGTTAAATAGAATTGAAATTACAAAGAAACAAGAATGAAATTTGGGCCAAAATCGAAATAAAATAAAAAAACACACAATAAATCGTTGTATCGGGGCCATCATGGCATTGAATGAAATTTAATTAATGAATGGATCTTACTCATGTAACAAATCCCGACATTTTCTTGGCAACACATCAGCCATGATGCACCAATTAACACTGATCAATTAGAGACTATAGCGTGATTCCGGCGATATCGTACGATTTTTCTCTCTCATTTCTTTCAAAAATAAACCATTTTGCTTAATTACCAAGAAGCTATTAAGGGCGGAATTATGTCAGAAACTTGGGGAAAAAATGATGTGAAAAATCGTAACATTAAACTCAAAGGTCGAAATTTATTGAATTGCGATAAAGATAAAAATATTTTTATGGCATATTGAACTCGACCGCTTAGTTTGTACAATTATTTAATTTTTCTGTATGAATTATAATCAAATACTGGTTTTGAATCTCTGCTATTTCATGCTTATACGGCAGATAGTAAATTCAATTGGCGCTTCAGCTTATAACGCTCATTAATCATGCGCCCAGAAATGCAATCGTGTGAACATAAAATGCTATGACTGGGTAAACAGACAGCCATAAAAACGTAAAAATGACGACCCGAAACAGCTTAAAATTCAAAGACGACGTCAATGTGTTGTGTACATATTGGAGGTTGCAATTCACGCAAAACATTTAAATGTGCACCGAATAAGATAATCGAAGCTAACAATGACTTGTTGTAGATAAATTCTTTAATAATAGATTTCACACATGAGTGATAGTGGTTTGGACGTGAGACATTTTATTACAAAAAACAAAGTTTCTTTAACAATTTGTCAGGATAGTTCCGAACCTACATCAATTTCTTAGGAGTTCCACTTTACAAACAAGTCAAAAATCAAATTGTTACCAAATTTCAATTGGTTCAGTTTTCTTATCAACGTTACGATGAACTTTAAATCAGCGGTTACGCAAAATCTATTGAAGTGGTAAATAGCAAAAATTACCGATGACTGTTTCGTACATTTCTTAGATTTGTGGTCGGCCTTCACTTCTATGTAAAGATCATTTTAAGAACAATGCTTCTTATCTTGTTTTATGATAAAAAAAAAAACAAGTAAACATTTAAATGCACGATAACACCGTCGAGAATAGCTTTATTTCTATTCTGTTGAATATTACAGATTTATCAATAAACATACTTTCCGTAGGAAACAGTGCACGTGCTGTATGTGTCCAGCGTATAAATATACAGCCATGTCAAGTGACAAAGAGAAAAAAATTATGTTTATCTACAGCGTGATATTGTTTAACTTGGGATTGCTTTCATTTTAAGTAGCATTCGAGTAATCTGGTCGGTGATGTTAGTGGATGTGACACATTGGTTTGTCAGCACTGAAAATCAAGCTGTTGTTATCAAACATTTAAATGTTATCGTTATCAAACGTAGCTTCACATGTGACCTGGAAGTGATAACTAAGAAGTGACGAAATAGAAAATCAAGACGCGCTCAATACTTGGCCGAAAAGCTTGCCGAAAAGTAAATATAAAAATGGAGATGGTTTAATTAAAATTGAAAAGTGAAAGAAAACTGTATTCTATTTAAGTTGTTGATTGTGTGCAATCATTTTGTAATATACTTATCGCAATTACTCTTAATCTATAAAGTCGACGCCAAAAAAGGCATAAAATTTAAATTTTATTTTCTTTGCATCGTATCGCACTTAATGGCCCTTCAAATACTATTATATGATGGTGATAAAAGAAAACTAGGTTGACAGACACCCTTTTCGTGCTCATAAAATCACGAAATAAGCATTCCAACAAATCTGCTCTTTTGTGTCTGCCACCATTGATTGGCAATTGTACGATTTTATTTCATATGTTGCTGCCATTACGTTTTGGTGTCGAACAGATGAAAATGGATAATTGAATGAGAGAAAGTGTCAGAAAAATAATGAGTTGAACGCGGTTACTTGGTCAGTGTGCTGTTATTTGTTATGAGCTTAATATTGTGTATGTGTTTTGTGGTTGTTGCTGGTTTTAATTGGCTTCTCTCGTTAGCACAGTCATTTCATGACAATTGATCGATTAGATGCATGCAATCCCAATACGAATACTTACTACAAAACAAAACAAACGCATTAAATTATTATCACACTTGGTGCAGAGAAATCACTAAAAGAAAGAAAAAAAAGCATTGGCAAAAATTGAGAAAAAAAACAAACAAAGTCTTTGAAATTTACGAAAAAAACACACATTAATTTTATTGTTGCAAATAAAAATCCAGTGGTAAATTGCATTAATCATAAATTAAAAATTAAAGTCAGTTGCTGCTTTTTACTTAATTTCTACACCTTTTTTCATGTCGATTAAATCAATGGTTACATATTGTATTGTGTTTCTTTTTTGCGCTAGAGATTTCGTTGAAATCGAATAAAACAAAACTTGTGAGAAACCAAACAAAAGAAATAAAATGCTTAATAACTAAGTGCAAAACAAAAAATAGACATATTATGCTGGGGTGTGTTTTGTGACTATTAAAATATAGTCGAGAGAACAATTTTGCTTTGTCGTATAAAGTTTCAAAAAGATAAACACTTCTTGGGTACATTCGAAGCCCACAAAATTGATTAGCACATCTTTTTCTTATATATTCAACTCGTACATCGAGTTCATTAGTCTCTCTGATTTTTTTTCTTCTCAAGTATAAAACTTCATTCTCTTTTTGTTTCAATTTTCTCTTTTTTTCTCTACTTCTTGACTAATACGCATTCACAACCGACTTGATTTTATATGCAATGGAAATAAAAAAAAATTTACATTTGATATGATATAACATCAATTGAGATTAAATATTACACAAATCTTTCAGAAAAAAAAATCCTTTGCACAGAAAAAATACTACAATACAAAGAGAAATCGAGTAATTGAGCGAAAAACTTTGTGGGCGGTATGCGAGAGTGAAATCACGTTTAAAAGCAAATCGAAAAGAGAGGAATTGTGACATGAGAGTGTAATTGAACTTTTTTCCCTTCTCTTTCTCCTCTCGTTTAAAAATTTGTGCTTAAAGACGATTAATTCATCAACTGTGAAGCTCTGCTTATTTTTTTCTCTTCACATCAGTTTTCAAAAAAACATACACAATTACCCGCATTTTACTAGAAATGTGTGTATTTACTTAAAGAAAAAACACAATGGTAAAATGCAACAAGTTTAAAATGAAAATAATAAAAAAATGTTTATGAAAAAGAAATGGATTCAAGTCGAAGAATGCGACGGACGTCAAAACGTAACCGAATCACATGCAAATTTTTATAACACTATTTTTTTTACTGTTCACAATAACACACTTTCTTCCCATATATGTTATGCAAAACGACGACGTGTACGCACACTTTTCGACCCAAACCCCATACATCTGTTTCAATATTTTATTTGTCTGGTTTTGATAAATAACAAAAAAATTTCAATCGTATGATGCATCTAATATTACATTTGAATTATGAAACTAAGAAATAAATGAAAATTTTCCGACTTTTTTAACAAACAATAGATTCATGCGGTCTTACAAATTAAAATTACATTACAGCTAAATTATATTGCGATGTTTATGTATTTTGAGCGAGTGAATAGAACAGGAGCAAAAGTGCCCGAAACGTATTAGTAGCTAAAGAAATAGTTTTGCGTTTCAACTACCTGCCGTCGTCGAATGTCCTGTTGACGGTCACCGTATCGGCACCAGGTTGCAAAGTGCTGCGAATTATGCCAAAGCGGCTGTTTGGCTTTCATACCGAATGATAACTAAAGACAAACGACAAGACGGAGAAGAAAAGATAAAAGAAAACATAAATAAAAGTGTTTATAAAGATGACGGAAAACCATACACGGTCGGATTTGTCAAGCGACTATGCGCTGTATATGTTTGGTAGAAGAGAGAATGGCGGAAATGAATGATGCATACCTGGTTTTTGATATCTTTCTCCGAATGTGGTGTTTTTTCCTTATCGCCAAAATTATTGATGCGAATGATACAGCCTTGTTTCCAAACATCAGCCAATGTTAATTTCGTCACCTTGAGCCGCCGATCCGATGCAGTTTTCAACGTATAAATATCAATATTTTCTGGTTTCGGTTTCTTATCTGTGAGCGAGGAAGAAAAGCAAACATATAAATATTTCAAAAAAAAAAACGAAAAGTTCAATGCGATGAATTCCAAATGTCATTTCAATTTTGGGAAAATTTAAAGATTTTTTTTTGTATATACGAAATACCAAACGAAACTGAATGAAAAACAACCAACTTTCTACGCCATTCTGAACGGAGTTTAAAAAATTATTCCATTTGTTATAAAAATAGACCCAATTTATCATTGTACAAATCACTTTTAATAGATGATTCAATTTATCACAACTTTTACAGTTAAACGGCAACGGCTGCTTCAAGTAGATAGTTGTGTTTTGAGCACAAAACACTGATATTGTGTGGCATTTACTCGGCAAATAATGCAATTTACAAATTGGATACAATCATTATCGAAAACCAGTATCTGCCAGAAATATTTCTGCATTTATTCATTCCCAGGTACTTGCGATATCGTATGGAATGCAAGTTGTTATTTCATCCATTTTGCGCTTCACTAAATAAATAAAAATCGTTGTGTTTCTTCTTTTTCAATTCACATGCTCATCGTAATTTATCAACGAACCGAACAAAAAACACAAAATGGTTTTTATCGCCAAATAAATGCGAACAACGTAGTTGGAAATGTGACATCATTGCACGATACAATAATTCTCATTACACATCGATTTGTGTCTCTCTTTGTGTGTTAGTGTACATCTGTGCATTAAGACAGTCAATTTCTCGCACGAACAACTGATGACTTTTATTTGATTTATACTGAGAATATATGTGTTTTTTTTTGCTGTAGCATGAATATGTGAAAATGATTTAATTTTGATATGATTTGCCAACTTCGTGTTGACTTGTTTATGCATATGATTCAATTACATTATTCCACCTGCTTACAAATGCACATCGATTGCAAATGTATTTTTTTTCTCCGATTTTCCCATGCTCGGTGCAATCGAAACCTAGTTGAATTGAACGTTCCAAATAAGTTTAGCGCGCTGCAATTGCAGCAGCAGCAAGCCAAAATCACATTTAATGCTTCAATACATTGTACAAATTACAGTTGGGTTTTTTTGCGTGCATTTCCAATCGTTGCTTCAATCAACGGCTTGTCATTTTTGTATTGAGGTTGGTCTGGTTTCGCTAAACCAGAGAGCTTTCGACACAAAAGCGTTGTGACATTGACGGAATCGAGATAAACATTTATCTCGGCAATGCAATCTTTAAAATAATTAGATTCGCTTTTCGTTCCGTTATCATCCGATGACATTGTGCAGCGTGTTTATTACTTTTCTTCCTCTGTTGAGCGCATCTCTTTTTCAAATGCAACCGGTTGCGGGTTTGGAAAACTTCCCAGAACATGTATGTATACAATGAAATTGACCGTTTGATTTTTTATGAAGAAAAAAAAAAGAAGAAAAAAACTTTCACGTTATTGTTTTGTGTCACATTCATTTCATGTTTTTCCAACTTCGAATATGATTGGTGGTTTGTACAGTAACTGCCGTTTCCGTTGCCAATTGCCACCGACAACAGACCTGCACAATGAGAATGTCCACGTACAAACATACATCGACACAGGCACAGCCGAATGACCGGTAATAACCGAATAAGTACAAACTTGATTCGTAGCAATGCGGAATGTGAATGTAACAGTCATTTTCAATTGCATTTGATCAATTGGCCATTTGTTGAACAGGCATTTGCTATGAAGTAAATACAGCGTTGAGCTGAGTTAGAGAGAAGCCACACAGTTCATCGAACCTTAGTGCTTAATAAAGTTTTTTTTTTATATAAGTGTTTTGTAAATAAATGCCGGTAACGTGCACCGTCAATTGAAACTTGTTGTTAGCAATTAGCAAATGAAACAGCACACAGCCGGAATGAAAAGCACGAGACATAAAAGCAATACATCGATCTAACGAGAAAAAAAAAGGTACAAACACACATCGCTTATAAACTGCCAATTGGCCAATGGACTGGTTTCGACTTGATTTTCTATTTATATATACGGTGAGAAAATGTATTGAAATGCCTATGCACCCACCAAGTAGCGCAATTTACGTAGAACATGTGACATTCCTTGCTTAAATAAATGCTTTTTAATCGAGACGAGAAACAAAAATTGGCAACAAGCTTCGGTGAAAAAAGGTCACAAACCGCTTTTAATTTAATTTACAGCTTAAATAAATTTGAAATTATTAAATTGCATGGAGAAAAGGTCAATGAAAGATACGTGCTTAACATTTTAAATATGAATGAATGAAATACGATAATTTTCATAAAAGTTCTAAGTAGCAATATTGCCGTTTACAGCAGCACATTATATAGATCCTTAGTCAGTCATGATTAAATAAATTGGAACAAGTTGTTGTCGTAAATTGGAATAAAAATTATTACGCTTAATAAAAGCGAAAGGACGAGCTTATTAGCGAAACCTTTCGCAGCGAAAGGTACTACATGGTGCTATAACACCGTCAGGCGCCAGCTTCTATTTTCAATATTATATATAGATTTGTATCTATTGCGTTGTACGCTCGCTGCATTTCGATAGAACGGAATTTATTTTTAAATCGGCGAGAGCAAGACCTCATTTTCGAGCATGTTCATGTTTCAGTCATAACAACGCCGATGCACGTATTTTATAATTACGTACATGCCGTTTTATTGAAACCACTTTGCACATTCCGTTTGAAAACAGTAAAGCTTAAATCAATGGTTCACGGTGGTTATGAGAAGCTAAGCATGTGCTTGCGAAGCAAGAAACAATAGAAAATTTCGAAAGAAGAAGAAAAATAATAAATAAATTTGAATATTTATAAGACGACCTGTCATAGCGCAATCGCCAGCCACCAATCCACGACAAATAATGAAGCAAGGATTGATAATCGACATCAAGGCGATTCAGGCTACACATATATATATACAGAATACAGAATACATTTTATATAACTATCGGAACTCGGATCTAACACCAATGTACATTGCTATACGTCAGTGTCGCGTGATAAAATGTAATCTGAATAGCGACTTGGCGATCATATCGTTTGCTTTCGGTCTGCGTTTGCACTTACGCTAACGACTCCCTATGTCCGACGAATGTATGTGATGCCTATGTGGCAAAACACGCACACACATACATATATTTATCTATTTTTAGCCATCCATTTAAATAGTATAGCACACTCGATTGTGTTGTTTACAAATTCATATTGGTCATATACTCGTTTTAATAGCGGCGTCTTTGTTTTTGTTTATATTTATTTTCTTCTTCATTAATCTTGCTGAACGCAGTGCATTTTAAAGTCCTCTAATAATTTCGTTTCATGTTGTTTACATTCGAAATCGAATTGAATTTTGTTTCTCTTTCGTTTAATTTCATCGAATAATTGATTCGGTGCGTTGGATTATTTATATAATAGTCGCATGGAGCCATGTATAAATTGTAGTTAATTGCAAGTTATTGGCATCGATGCATTTTTAGAATGCAAAAAAAAAACCACTAAGCTAAAAATAGAAATGCGTTTTATTAACGAATCACGATTCGAATAGAGCGACTAAATAAATCAAAAATCATGACTTCACGATTGGAATCTACGTATAAAACTCATTTTATTCGACGACGACGACGACGACGGTGAATAAAAATGCGCCAAGTTTTTTGTTTGCTCATGTTGTATGTGCAGTTAAAAGGCTCTCAACGCATTAATATCGTAGATCTTTTTTCGTTATCCACATTGCACGATTGAGTTGAATAGAGAGGCTGCCTTTTTGGTGATATTGATTTTTTTCTTCGTTGTCGTATGGTCGTCCATTGTATTTTCGTAACGCGCAATAATACCGGGTTATTTTGAATAACACTGAGTCGCACCACGACGTATTTGGTGCGAATCCAATTCAGACACGCGATGTGTGTGTGTGTGCGCACACCATCTCTATACAATGGGAAATGCAAAATGCGGAAAAAGAAAGGTGACTTTCATCTCGGAAGGAGTAGAAGTGTGGATATTGTGACGTCGTTCGATTTGTAATTTGGCATTCAAAAAGTTCAAGGATAAAAGAAATTCGAAAACATAATCACAGAGCAGACCCAGACCAATTTCGAACGGGATTAAAATACATCCAGTTCTTTTTTGTTTAATGAAAAGAGAGCATGTTAAGTGGATAATCGTCATACATAGACGTTGTGTCTATCATTTTTCTTCTCTGCTGGTTCACATCACTTTTGCCATACATGGAAAACCGTCGTTGTCCTACACACACACACATGAATGAGATGGAAAAAAGTTTTGTGGAAAAAAATAAAAAAGAGGTTGAATGTAGTTTGGAGGCTCGTCGCTTGTAATATCAATTGATATGATATTATCAAGTAAGAGAAAAAGGAAATGCCACCGTAAAGAGTCTCTTGACTTAATCTATTAATAAACCGTAGTATATAGTGAAATTGCTAAACAATTTTTGCCGCAGGCAAATGGGTCAAGATGTTATTTGAAGGAGATGGAGATTAGATACCATATTGTGTAAATCATCTTATATGAAACGCGATAAACACCAAATCGATGCAATGTGATGACCTTACTTGTGATAGAATATTGTAGAAAGGACATTTTCTCCGCGCGCCAATACAGTTGGAATTCATTAATCATTTGTATTTAATCGTTTAAACCTACACAGAAATCTTGTTTTCTCCATCGAATGAAGGTGAATCTAATGATTTACTAAATGAAAATTATTCAATTGACGGAGAAAATGTTTTAAATCGATTGATTTAATGGTCGAGCTGACCTCATTTCTAATCATTGTACGCCGCAATCATTTAATTTCCACAAAACAACCAATTCCATTTTAAAAACAAACACACACACATGCATTCACTTTCAACACACGAACGGATAAAAATTGATATTTGTTGTGGAAGCTTCTAGGTTTGTCATGTGTTAAATTTCACATATAGTACATACATCGATTCGATATATGTTTTTTCTTGCTTTCGTGTCGCATGAAGCGAACACTCAAAAAACAAATGTGTATGTGAAAAATGTTCCGAAGAAAAAACAAATAGATAGTATATTTCTTACCTTTGGATGTTTTGCAATTAACAACTCCAAACCATCCACCATTTTCTTTGCCTTCGCGCGTCTCCACAATGAAACCGCATTCGATGACAGCACAAAATATACGCGATTCATCTGGTCCAAACCATTTCGATTCGCGCAATTTTTGCACCGCAATGGAACTGCCAAACGATTTGCAATTGTTGTTGTTATTGTTATTGGTAAGATGATGATTTGATGTCCACCATTTGATTTGTCCAATAACAGTGTTGGCACGCGAACGTGGTTTTTGTTCCATTTTTCTTTTCCTCTTTTCCAAAACTATTTATATAATTACGTTAATTGATTGTGTGCAAAAAAAGCGTCTTTTTGCTTATAAAATTTTCAAAATAATACAATTGAATTCAGTCAGCAGTTTTCTGTTTCACATGCACAGCGCACCAAGTATATTGTTTTATTAACCCAGTTTCTTTTTTGTTGGTTATGCCTTCTTGTCGCACGATTTCTATGAATTGAGTGCAGTGGCAAGTATTTGCTTCGGCTCAGCTAAAAATAAAACGTTCAAACGTAGCAGCGACCATAAACAAGAAGCCAATATTTCGTTTTTCTTCACTTTTCTATCCCTTTTTATTTAATGAAAACCAAAACAAAATGTTGTCGAATTTTGAATTTTCTTGTCTCTCTTTTAATGAGTTGTGTCTCGTTAAAATTCTTTTTAAGCACAGCTAAACATCAACAATTTAAAACAAAAAAATGACTTTTGATTGGATTTAATTGAATTGTGTTGTCGTGATACGTATCGTTTAATTATATTCAATCAAGTTGCTCGTAATAATCGATGGCGCCCAAATGCGAATATTTCATAATAGCACCGTGATTAGTATGTCTCTCGTTCTCTCGGGCGATTTTAATTCGATAATCGAAAAAAGCATCAACACGAATGCGAAGAAGACCAACAAAGTTGTATCTTGGAATGCAATTTATCTCTCATAGAGCTGTGAATTACGCGGGCTCTCTCTCACTCTTTTTCCCGCTTTCTGGTTACGCTCAGTTCAATTCAGTTCAGTTGAGTTTGCCTTCAACTATTTCACGTACTACATTGAAAAGTTTATGCGATTTATACACACAGGCACACACGATATCAAACAAACAAAAAAGAAAAAATTCGCACTGTATTTCACGCGTCCGTTGATTCTATGCATCAATTCCAGTCGATTTTTGCCAGATTCAAAGGCGAAGCGACCGTGCTCTCAACCACGTCTTCGTTTAAAATTGCAATGTCTATGCTATTTTTAAATTGAAATAAAATGTCTTTTTCGCGCTTTCGTTGCTCTTTTGTTTTTACAACAATAATGTTAATAAATAAATCTTCAGAATTACGGTTCAGTTCAATTCGACAGAAAAAAAACTTTTCACACTTTCAATTGGTGGCGCAGTCAATGTTAAGTCCAAAATCAAAACACTCGAATTTTAACACAATTAAGAGATTCCACACACAGAGACACACTGCTTCGTTTCTTTTCTTTAATTAAAATCGACAATTTTGGCAGTTGCTTTTGTGCACAAAGGAATTGGCATTGTTCACTTTCTGAATACCCGTTTTCTTTTAATTTTATTCATTCAACGTACGATAAATTAAATGTATATACAACGAAATACATATATTTATTCAACCGTTTATTCGTGCGAGTGCCTTTTTTGCTTTACTCTTTTTTAATATATGTATATTTGCTCAAGCTGTTCCATGCACATAGTGTGTTTCTTAGCTGTGGTGTGGCTTTTAACATTTAGAACATTCGAGAAATGTTAGTTTTCTTTGTTTTAATTGAAAATCCAGTTGCAATTTTGCGATTAAAGACGTTGATTTTTTGCTTCTTTGATTATGGATTGTTGATAAAAAATGTGATTGATTTAAAAGTTGCCAAAACTCTCTAGAAAATTCATAAGGTCTTTACCCAACGTTTACCCAACGAATAAAACAGGTTACGAGTTAAGAAAAAAATTGTTGTTTCGCAAATATATTCGATTTAAAATTGAATTGTTGATCGATGTGATTGTAGACTTTCTTTCAAAATTTCAAACGTGGTGGTGATTGCTAAAAAATTGTTATCAATTGTTTCCCAATAACAAAACTTTCTTTTGACTCTTTTTTTTCTGTATGGTATAATAAAATTTATTCAAACTGAAAATCAGCGTTACGAAGTTATCTCTGACAAGACTCACTAGCGAATGCGATTCAATGACGAAGCGGTGGCAGTTTTGTTTCGGTTTCCACTTCGGCATCCAACGAATAACGTTTAGAAACTCATTGCGGTGGCTACGGAACGCAATGAATATATATAAAAACGGTTGCGTTTCTTCTCAGGCGCACACCTATACACATTCTGTACTGTACACAATTATGTGATGATGTGCGTACTCTGCCTATAAACAGACATTTCATGTTTTATTTACTGGCAGAAAGTGTGAGAAGAAGAAGAAAAAAAATGCGGTGTTTCCAACGACATAGATGCCTAAGCGTACTATGTACGAAACAAAAAATATACACCGAAGGGCACATAATTCGCGCGACTCATATACGCGCTGACTGTAAATTTATGAACAATAAAGCATCTTCGGTGCGAACACCGTACCGTGGCTCGAGTGCTGTCGCATTCTCTTCTATATGCATTTCATACAATTGACAAAATAATACAATTCACTGCTGACTAAAATTATTTACGTGCCAATTTTCGCATCGTATTTTGCTGTCTTCAGCATTCAAGCGTTTAATTTTTGTAAATCTTTTATTTTTCGTGTTATTGTTGGTTGCATCGTCGCACCAAGACAACAACAACAAAAAAAGGCACACAAAATTTATTCGCCAAAATACGGAAATACATCGCGATCGAATCTAACGATCGGAATTTAAGATTCGTTTAGAAATTAGGAAGTTATAAGTCAAAATTTGAAATGACGCATTATGGATTGAAACTGATTTATGTGCGGTGTCGTGCTCTGTGACCAATATGTTTGAATGTGAGTCGTTGCAAGCGTCAGACACTCAATACTCAAATTAATGTATTATTAAATTTGAATTTTCGTTCTGTTTCTTTTGACCTTGAGCTTCGATATAAATGTGACATAAACGCACACCAAAACAGTGAAAAATTTGTCAGAATATTTTGAAACCGGCATCAATATACCTTCATAAATTAAACATGAGAGACATGCGAATTTTACACATTCTACATTTCAGTTTGCGCCCATGGTGCGTTACACCATGAAAAACCGCATCAACCAACGGATAAGTGTTCATGTTAAACCCAAACATGTTGAATATTTAAGCTTTCACAATTTCAAATGCCACAGTATTTATTAGCTAGATAATGAGATGGTGGTTATTAGCAACTGTCAGCTAGAGAGATGAATTTTATTGAAAATTCCAAATGAAATTCGCTGCCAAAATAAATGCATCAAAATCAGTTTCATTTCGTCATATACAAAATGCTTTGTTTCTGTTTTATCTTCGTACCAAGTAAATCATTGCCATATTTTATTTGCATACACAAGTTTTACAAATAATTTTTTTCTCTCATCTCTTATTGAATTGTTTATAAATGTGTGTGTGTATTGAACACAGGAAAACCGGAATTGTTTTGTTTTGATTGTGAAATTCGCGTACTTTTGCAAAAATGCAAAAGTTAAAAATAGATTTAGTTGACGAATTTATTGCATATTTATCATATGGTGACACATATATGCAGACAAGTGGCTAATTCGTCGTATCATTGTCGATAAGATAAAATAATACACATTTGTTCTACCGATTACAGTTCATTTGTGAATGTAATGATTAGCTTGCCAAAATCTGCTTTCCCCCAGTCAGAACTATGAAGCACTGAAAGCAAAAGAACGAGACAGAGAGGTAGAGATTTGGTCTGAGCGCAATATTTTTTTTAAATATCATCATAATATTCGCGATGTTTGCCAAGTACCCTTGATCACTTGTTGTGCGAATCGTGTCTTTTGTACTTTGGCATTTGCATGCGTCACACATTAAAATGCTTGTAACTTTTGTTTGTTTATAATTATATGAAATACCCGCGGCTATGGTCAAAGTGCCGCCAATTTTGTTTACAATTAAAAACACTGTCCACCAGCGTAGTTAATGACTGTCGGTCGACAAAAAAGTGACCACAAAACTCATAAAAAAATGTCAAAATAAGCAGCAGGTATTTTGTTGTCTAGATTTATTCTTACAGAATCTAAATTGGTATTTCCTTTGTAAATGAATCAAAATTACTTAACATCATTTTTATCTAATCTTGAGTCTTGATATGTGCTCATGTATTTTCATTGCTCAATAGAACACCTTTATTTATCATTATCATTATCAACTTCCCGAGAATGAAGTCTGCTGTGAATTTGGTTATTTCTTGCTTTTTATTGATATTAATAACATTTTGGATTGAGAATCTTCTGGAATTTTTTTTAACAATGATTTATTACGGTCTGATTCGTTTATTGCAATTTATTTGCGTCATCTGGATTTTTTTTGTTGTCACAGCTATCCTTGGCTACATAATCGATAGCGAAAATGTTGCGAACAATGCACAAGCAGAAAAAAATGTATTGAACTCGATTTGTCAATTTTTCACATGAGTTGCATCGATTGGAATTTTTTCAGCGAATAATTGAATTAATTGGCATTCTGTGAGAGGATTACGTGCAAGCTTATAATGAGATTGAAGACCTTTTTTCCAAAGAGTAGTTATAATAGCGTGGCGAAGCTGTGCAAATACGTAAATTGAATGGTTGAAGCTGATTGAATATTACTAACACGCGAGGAATTGCAAATAGATCCAGATCAAAATTGATGGTTTTATATGTCTTCGATCTTATTTGATAACCTTTTTTGCTATAGCGAAGCTATTTATTATCCGCACAAAAATCAACTGAATCCATGACGCCTCGACACGAGCGTGCTTATTAAATCTATTTTCTCCTATTTTTTCCATTGAAAAATGTCTTTATTAACAATAGGAATCGGTTATTGATTTTCACGTGTGATTGATCGCACAAAAGATTTGTCGAAAATAATAACACAACGCACACATGACGACAGAGTCTGAAATTAACCCCAAGCGAATGTACGGTAATTGACTGGAACTTTCAATGGCGTCATAAATTCATCGAGTGTGAATTGTCTAATATTACAAAAATGAACGATTCAAAATCAAATTATAGTTCATTGAGGTTCAAATGAAACTAAAAGTGAAAACAGCAAAAACAAAATTATCTATTAGAGAGCACCGGTCTATCTGGAAAACCGTTATTTAGTCATTGACCAGCGCAATGAGCGCCTGAATTCCAGAAATCGATAAATGAAATGTTGTGCGTGTCATTGCTTAAAAACAACAAATAACTGAAAACAATTGATAACCCATTTGGAATGAGCGCAAATACAAAATACGCCGCATTCGAATGACCGTAAAACACAACAGAATAATAAATAAATAAGTATTTCATATGGCCACTAACGATAGTAACTCACGTTGAACGCTATTATTCACTTGTTCCATAAATATACATTGTATTGACTGCTTTGGACGGCGATATCGCTCACGAATTTGATAAAATGTTGCGATTTCTCATGTGAATTCTATTCCGCTTCAAAAAAATGCATATTTTTGTTTATTATTTATGCGGCTTTGCATGCGACATCCAAATTTAACGCATTGGGATTTCGGGAGTGCGTTCACGTACATTTGCGTCCATGTCATGTGGCACCAATGGCAAATGTAAAATAGAGCAAGAGAAACAAGAGACACAAGACCTGAATCACGTATACCAAGCGTTCGTTGACTAACGTTTGGTGGCGCTAAACGATTGCATGCTCTATTTACTCTCTCAAATTTGAATTTTAAGAAAAATCAAGCCTCCTGTAGTATATTCCATCGTCTATGATTAGCATAGACCAGTACATAACTGGGAATATGTTGAGGTAGGATTTAGGTTTTTCTAATTTGCTCTTTTTTCTACCGTTGTTTATACAAACTATTACGAATTGCGTTGCATTATGCATAACAACAAATTCTATTTTTGTTTACACACAGTCGCCGGGCAAACAGACACCACAGCGTATTGGAGGATCATAAAATGATACGCAATAACGTTGAAAAGGAAATTAACGCGAAAATGTAAACAGAAATATTATTTTTGATCAAACCAACCCGGCGCGCATTCTATTATTATTAATATTACAACCACTTTACATTGCGAATATGTGCTGACCGCATGGTTTTCCATTTATCTTTTATTTAGACACAGGAATGAAATTTGATTGTCATTAAAAGTTTGGTGTAAACACAGTTCGTGTGGGAAATCAAACAAAATGACCCTTTCCTGTGACTTTCTCATCATTCTCGAAAGGAATATGCGAACACTTCCATAAGTTGTGTAAGATTATTATCGTTGGAATAAATCAATTGAGCACAAACATTAATAAATCAAATTGCACGGTTAAAACGAAACAGAGAGCAGAAAAACAAAACAACAACGTTGTTAATGATATAAGCACAGTTGTAGTACAAGTGAATTGCACGTCCATTCATGTATAAATTTGAATTGAAAATTACAAATTACGGTGAAACATCATCAAAGTATGGCGACGTGCGATTGCTTCCGTCACATTGAGTCCATACAAATCACATCTAATCTTTGTTAAACTTATCGAAAATGCTCCACTTTTAAGTGAACAAAATAAACTTACTACTCGCTACGAAAATATTTGAATAAACCGAACAAATGTCGTTCAATTCGAGTACAATTGGTTGGAATTTTGCACATATTTTTCGTTTGATAAAATTTACCTTGAGTTGATTGTTATCGTTCGGCATTCATAGAAATAAAAGTGGGTCTTGATGTTTATATATTTAGTGGAAAAGTTATCGGTGTGATGCTAATTTTAAAATTCTAAACATCAACAATTAAACGACATTTTGATAACAATTTTTATATTTATTGCTTTATTTTTAATCGATTTTGCAAGTAAAAGGGCACGTGCCCAAACCACGTGACTTGTGATAAAAATGTCGTTCTGTTGAGCAAAATATATCAAGATATTTAATTTTCGATTATATAATTAAATTAATAGCCTATTTCTTACATTATTCTATTTGCAGATTGTCGCCAGACGTCGAGACTTAAAATTGATTGTTACATCAGCCACCATGGATGCTTCGAAATTCTCTTCGTTCTTTGGGAATGTACCAACATTCACAATACCCGGTCGAACATATCCAGTTGATGTACTGTTCTCGAAGAATCCAGTCGAAGATTATGTGGATTCAGCTGTAAAACAAGCATTGCAAATTCACCTGCAACCAACAGTGGGTGATTTATTAATTTTCATGCCCGGACAAGAAGACATTGAAGTCACGTGTGAAGTGCTTGCAGAACGATTAGCTGAAATCGATGACGCACCCGCTTTATCCATTTTGCCAATTTACTCACAGTTACCATCTGATTTGCAAGCGAAAATTTTCCAAAAATCGGAGGACGGCGTGAGAAAATGCATCGTAGCTACAAATATTGCTGAGACATCGCTAACCGTTGATGGTATTATTTATGTCGTTGATTCGGGCTATTGTAAATTAAAAGTCTACAATCCTCGAATTGGTATGGATGCACTGCAAATCTATCCAATTTCACAAGCAAATGCTAATCAACGATCGGGTCGTGCCGGACGTACGGGACCTGGACAAGCGTTTCGTTTGTACACTGAACGACAGTATAAAGATGAATTGCTCGCATTAACTGTGCCCGAAATTCAGCGAACAAACTTAGCAAACACGGTGTTATTATTGAAATCACTTGGTGTTGTTGATTTACTGCAATTCCATTTTATGGATCCACCACCACAAGATAATATTCTAAATTCACTGTATCAATTGTGGATATTGGGCGCTTTGGATCATACGGGCGGCCTGACATCATTGGGTCGGCAAATGGCTGAGTTTCCATTAGATCCACCGCAGTGTCAAATGCTTATTGTTTCATGTAAAATGGGTTGCAGCGCTGAAGTTCTTATCATTGGTATGTAAATAAAAATTACGATTACTTTTGTGTATTTGCAATAACAATTCATATGCAAATATTTTACTGTTCAATGACAATTGTGCTTTGCTGTTTTGTTTTCGTTCTCGTTCTGTTAAACACTACCTGAATAATGCAATGATACATTCATATCATAGACACAAACCATCTCCACTGAAAATGCGGAACGCCATATGAAAATTAATTGCGCGTTTTTAATTCTTTTTGTTATTGTTGTTTTTTTTTTGTTCTTCTTTAGTTTCAATGCTTTCGGTACCATCGATATTTTACCGTCCGAAGGGCCGCGAAGAAGAGGCAGATGGTGTTCGTGAGAAATTTCAAGTGCCCGAATCTGATCATCTTACATATTTAAATGTTTACATGCAATGGAAGCAGAACAAGTGAGTAATCAAAATTTCTTTGTTGTGTAAACAGCATTTTTATTCTATGAAGTCACGTCTTGTGTACGCGTGACATTCACTTAATGTCAGACAAATAATAATAATATTTTTATGAGCGTATTAACTAAAATCTGACATATTTTCAATTGCTGATGTTGTCTGTTGTTGTTTCAATTTTTTTTACAGCTACTCATCGACGTGGGCGAACGAGCACTTCATTCATATCAAAGCGATGCGAAAGGTGCGTGAAGTACGACAACAATTGAAGGACATTCTGGTTCAACAAAAATTGCCAGTCACCTCTTGTGGCACCGATTGGGATATCATACGAAAGTGTATTTGTTCGGCTTATTTCTATCAAGCGGCTCGTCTAAAAGGTATTGGCGAATATGTGAACTTGCGTACCGGAATGCCTTGCCATTTGCATCCAACATCGGCTCTATATGGACTTGGTACAACACCCGATTACGTTGTTTACCACGAATTAATTATGACAGCTAAAGAATATATGCAGTGTGCAACGTCGGTTGATGGTTATTGGTTGGCTGAATTGGGTCCAATGTTCTTTTCCGTCAAAGAGTCTGGCCGAAGTGGCAAAGAAAAGAAAAAACAAGCGGCCGAACACCTACAAGAAATGGAAGATCAAATGTTACAAGCACAAAAACAGATGGAAGAAGATAAAATTCAAGCCGAACAACGTCAACAAGCACTTCAAACGAAACAAGAGATCTTAACGCCGGGTGCCACACCCAGACACCGTGGTTCGACACCAGCTCGCATCGGTCTGTAAATCGAGACAAAAAGAAAGTTGATAAACCGCACACCGATAAAATCACTTGTTTTATGGACATATTTAATGAAGTTATAGCTTTCATTTTATTTGCCATTTGCATAGTTTTTCGTGTACATGCATGTTTAGAGAGAGAATTTAACAAATAAAGTTTTTTTTGTATCTTTCCGTTTCAACTATATGCTAAAAATAACAAAATACATATATTATTTCGATGGAGTAAAATAGTAAACATTGATAATAATCATATTAAACATTGAGCAAAAAAAAAAAAATATAAATGAATGTAAAATATTCCGCCTCAAAACCATTCAAAAAAAAAAATATTATGCTAAAAAATAAATATCATATTGTCATGAACAACGTAAAAAAATAATAAAAAATATTTTGTGTAATCGATAACTTAATGCATATTCTCTATTTCATCATATTTGTTTTTGTTTTACATTTTAAATGCATACGTTTCTTCTATTGTACTTCGTCTACTTGTTCTTTTTTGCGCTCAAACATCTTGATTATTCGGATTTTCTTCGAGTTTTCGCCATACAACATTACACATTTCACGGAGCAACGCCTTTTCACCGTCGTCCATGTGTTCGGGTGACATCGACGACACGTTGCCACCGGCTCGGTCACGTTCCAACTGTTCTCTTACTTCTAATATTTGAAGTGCACGAACCACTGCTTCCGGACGACCTGATAGCACATCGAGATTCGAATTAATCGTTTCCGTTGCACTTTTGCTGTTATTGCTGCTTCCATTTCCGTTGGCGGTTGAGTTTTTATTGGCATTTGATGCGGCAAGATTGGCACTATTTTCAACATTATTATTTCCATTGGCAAGTTCATGCTCCAAAAGACGCCGTTCCAGCGAACGCACGTACTGAAGCGTTTGATCGCTCAGCGCTGAACGAGACTGTTGTTCCTATTTGAATTAAAGCATACAATAATAATGATGAATATTTGAATATTGTTTTCAAAACAACATAATATTGGTATTTATTTGAAACAGTGTGTAAACGATATTGAAATTAGTGTGTGGGAGGAAGAATGATTATATTACCGGAACAGAAAATTGGCGCACAGATGGCATCGGTTCGTCATTTGTACTTGAGCTGCTACCATCGCCATCGTCTCGCATAGCATTTGACGAATTCGTCGATGTGGATCTGATTGCTGTTCCACAATTCGAACAACTCGATGGAATCGATGCACTGACATTGGCACGCTCTTCATCCAAATACAAACATAATTCTTTGAGTTCTAAATTATCGCGAATTAACTCTTGTTGTTTATCATCCAATTGACGGAGTTTGTTCTTTAAAAAAATGTAAATGTAAAAGGTGAGTTTTTTTAAATGGACTTAAAATTTGTGTGGGCTCATTATTACCTGATATGCCGAGACTTCTTGTCGCATTACACTTGCTGTATACCGTCCGAATCGTTGCCATTCGCGCGCTAACTTACGTCCCTTCTGACGATCGTCATCTAAAAAGCAACACAAATCTCGTAATTCTTGATTGTCATCACTCAACCGTTGATTGGCGTCTTTCAATTGACGTAATTCGGCAAGCAGCGACTGAAAGAAAAAACAATTATATTTTCATTAAAATCTACTCAATTTCGAGATGTCAGATGTTTTTTAATGTTATCTATATTTTGAACAGAAGACTCTTCAATGTCACTCACTTGAAAATGTCGACTTTGTTCGGTTGTATTCATGCGAATAACATTATTGGCCGATGGTATGGCATTTGGATTTGGTGAATGTGCAGAAACGGAATCGGTATCACTTTTACGAACAAATTTCAGCATTTCTTGTTGATGATTTCTGCTGGATGTGGATTGTTCGTCGTCTGTGGTAGATAAATGTGGCGATGGTTGTGATTGTAAACCGTTAATTGTTTGACGTTGTTGCTGCAACGATCTGGCGGTGGCAGTGGCGGTGGCGATGCGAGATGATGTACCTGGATTTCTGTCTGGTATATAGACGGTCGTTAGTTTAGGCACTTCTTGTGGGAATTTCAGGTTTAAATGCGCATTTGTCTCAGTCGCATGTGACGATTGATGAAATTGTGGTGTTGGAATGCCGGATCGTTGTGGCGATATGTTCTTTAAAATGCCGCCGGGTGCAGGCGGTGGCGGTTGATACCGAGGCGGTTGTAAATGTTTTTGTGGTTGTGGTATTATCGATGGAATACCGTGTGATTTTTGAACGTTTTGGTGCAATGACAAATGGCTTGGAATTTGTGATGGATTTGCCTGATGATGATTATTACTTTTGGACTGTGAACTGATTGGCTGTGGAATTGATTGTTTGCTAACTGATGTGGATGGGACATTCTCTATTTTTGGGATGGCTGAACTTTTACTGGTCGAAGTGGACATGACGATTGATAACAACAAAATGTTCAACAAATGAAATATTAAAATATTGGTTACACAACTGGTTTTACGTGCACGATATAAGCTCTCTTCTGTCTATGTTCATTTAATGCTTTTCTCACTATGGTTTCGATAATACGAAACGAACACCAATTAATTCGGTCACAATTAACTCTCTCTCGTATAAATTATCGTTTAAACAACACTCTTTTATATTGGAATCTAAATATGTCCGGGAACACACTACTTCAGTTTGAATTTTGTTTATAAACAGTAAAATCGTTCTTCATTACACCAAAACACGATGAAAATAGCACGAAAATTATCCAATTTAAATGCACTAAAAATTGAGTTTGTAGCACTTTTACCACGGTTCGATGATTTAAATTGAATTGAGTATTATTCCCACGTTTCACGTGTACAACAACGGCACACAATAAATGAACTGACTGATTTGTAAGAAGCACACTCACTCATACAAACGCGCGTGCGAAACACGTCTATACAAATTTTCAATTTTTAATTATAAATGGTTTTATTTTAGTGAGTGCGTATTCACGCAGTTTCGTTCAACGACAGCACTTTATTTTTCAATTCTTTTTGCGTACGTTTTTATGTTTTTTGTTGGTGGTTTTCTTTTGTGTGTATGTTGTTTTCTTTCGTTTTTATTATTCACTTCTTTGTGCGTCTGTTTCATGAGGCAGCAACCGAGATAATCCAACTGAACAGACATTTACGGCACTGATTCAGTGCTTCTTCGTTCTCTGCGTGTTGTTCTCTCTTTCACGGAATTCATTTTGTAGCTGCCAAGCGACGCGACCGATTGAGCGCTATGTGTGTGTGTGTTAAAAGAGCCCAGACACTGATGTCGACCGTCGACAACGACGATGAGAACGAAAAAGAAGAAGATGCTGCTGATGCTGATGGTTTCGAATGACGACAATAAGTAAGCCAAGAAAACGATGCCGCAAACTGTCTTATTGATCTTCAACTATTGTACAGTTGACTTATTCATTCATTCGCAATGTGCATGTGTTGGTGTGAGAAATTGTATATATGGTGAAGTGAACGAGCTGGACCCAAGACGAAGAAGAATCGACAACAACGAAATGAGAAAAAAATAAATGTCATATCTCTCATCAAATTCTGTGTCTTTCTCTTTTTGCTTTCGGAGTTCAATCCAATTTTAGAGACGTTCTTCTACATGATGACGATATGGCGCAACGCAGACACATTTGATCTGTTTAGAATAGAAAACGGCATTCATTATATGATTATGAGGTGATCTGTTGACTAAGAGCATTTAAAAAACTTAATAAATTAACATTCAAACTGTTGTTGCTTGCTGCTGGTGGTCACATTATAACTTTTTTTTAATGCAGCCGCAGCAAGTCATGAAATGAACGGTTTGAAATGATCCCGTGTCTTTAAGACCCTGTCTTATATGCGTTCGATGAACGCAAATTGTTTTTTTTATGTATATACAATATACTTCCAATGTGAGCCAATATTCTTCTTAATGGAATGGCGTGCGCTTACTCACTATCTCTCTCTCACACAGAAAATGTTCAAGAAAACGAAAGAAGCAGAGAGGAAAAAAACCCATCATGCTAAATATAAACGGCACGCTCATTTTTTTATTGCTGAAAAATTGTTGGTGCCTTAGTTTTTGGTCAGTCTTTCGCTTTTCGTTTTATTTATTTTTTTTCTTCTTTGCTTTTCAATAGCGAACACCTCACAGACACACAATACACTTTCAGCTAAAATGGCCGTTTGCAAAATCATGCTACTCTCAGTACATACGGTGTGTACACAGATGCCATGTATGCACGGAGTATATTTCACTTTATGTTATGGTATGTGACCTAAATTTATATTACGCAAAGTTTACTGTCGTACAGCAATTCAATTTGTTTTCCTCTGTTGTATTTCGTTGTGAGTCGCATTTCATGCAGTTTTTACGAATATTTACGGAAAACTGAAATTGGCCAAACTCTTTCTCCAATTGGCATAATTTGATTTGAACCAGTTCTGCATTCGGAACAGCGACTCGTTTTCAGCTTTCCGTCAATGGTTTGTTGTTTACTCATATGATATATTTACATGAAACATTCCTTAATCAATTTATTTATGTTTAACTTAATAATATTTACTGTTTTATGTTTCTCATTATCAGATTTAGTTTGCATAATACAGTTTTGTTTTGAAACACATAGAAATTCAATATTTTTTTGAAGTAGTTTCTTTGGTTTGTTCATCGACTATATATGAATATTCGAACCGAACACAAAACTCCACTTTACCTTAATCAAAATGCAAACGAACTATTCTTGGTTGTTTTTATTTTGCATAATTTTTTTTATTTTGATCTCAGCTAACCGATCAATAAACACACTACTTCATCGATCAAATGTTGACGATCAACTAATCGGAATCGCACAATGCACAATGTGAGCCGTGTCAAAAATCCAGCAACATTGGAAGTGGGCTGGAAACCATCACTGGAACTCCATTCATAACCTGTTAACATCGTTTTGGAAGAATGATCACTATTCAAATACTTTTTTACACCATTTTTCCCGGTTTTGTTTTGTCAAATTAATATTTGAATAAAAGTATTTATCTATTTTGATAGTTTATTCATGTCATTATTTTAAAAATTACATTTTGAACGCATTTTTTCCATTTGAAAACGATCGAGCCGGTTGGCAAACAAAAATGCTCCTTAATGCTATGACACTTTCGGTTGATTTTTGCGTACTAGCTCCACACCTTTCGCATTGCTCAGTGGAAACCTTTCAATTGCACTGTTCCAATGTATGACCGTGATCGAAAAATGCTGTTAAATTTTGTTCTGTCTTTGGGTTTGAGATAGTAATGCACCTGTACGAGTATGACTCACCTGATTAAGAACCAGTTTATCAATATTCTCGTTAAATTGTTTTTGTCATAATTTTCATTTGGTTCTTTTAATGAATGAGAATAGTTTTTGAATGAATTCCGGTATCAATGAAATCGGACCAAAAAAAAAATGCTGGTGCAGGATATTAAACAACTGGTTTCGAAAAGATAAGATAAGAAAAATACATGTGATTTATAATTTTTTATTGATTCCTTTCATTTTATTTTTTGTTCGATGTTTTACATAAATCTCTAATTACAATAGAAAGAACAAAATAGAATAGACTTTGTATTTACAAAAAGATCATAATGCGAAATTAAATTATAAGATTGGATGATCGAATGTCTCTTCTCTTTTTCTGGTTTCCGTTTTTAAATATTTGCGCAGCAACTTTAGATTTCTAATTTTTTTTTTAAGTTTCCTTCTCTTTTTCTAATGGTTATTTTTTAATAAAAATGTTGTCGGTGTGAATTGTGAAAATTTCGTATGATTATGTTTTGTGTATTGTATTGGCGAATCGATTGAAAAAAAAAGCAAACCGAACTCTAATCACAACAAAAAAAATTTCAGCATTCATTTTGTTTTGCTGATAAAAGTAAAACATTTTCCATTTATACAGAATAAAAAAAAAAAACTTAAAATGAGTTTATCGATACAATTTACATTGCTTTTCCTCTTCATTCTCGCCTTGCAATTCGATGGATGGCAAAACATGTTTGTTTTTCGCAAATTGTGTCTCAATCAGCCAACCGAAATGACGATACCTAATTGGATACAGTGATTGGACCATTCTTTTTCTGTTTATATAATTGAAATGTTAAAATGCGCCTTCAACGCCATATTCAAAACACATCATCACATTATTTCATTGATGAAGTGTTTGGTGCGCTGAAAGCAAATCCGAGGTAATTCTTATTTTTTTTTTTTTTTTTGAATGAAATATGTTTCACTACCCAAACCACAAATCTAACTATCTAAAATTACGGTCTTTTTATATCGAAAGAAAGTGTATGTTTCCAACTAAAAAAAAAATACAATATCATCTCAATCCAATGGTTCTCTCTAACTACAAAACTTACAAAACACAGTCAAATGATAGGTATTTATTTAGAGCTAATGTTAATAAAGAACACAAATTTTGTTTTTTCTATTGATGGGTATTCGTTCAAATCTATTGTGTTTTTGTCTGCCTTCAAAATTTTACTCCAAACTACAGAAAATCTGCAGAAATACTTGTTTGTTACAGAGGATAGCGTCATTAGTCACCAAAAAAGGGAAAGAAATATGAAAAGAAAGATGGGTATATTAAAAAAATTGTAGCCAGTGTTGCTGTTGGGTGTTGATAGAAAATGCGACCGCTCCGTGTAAATTTTGTTGCTTTCGAATTTTTGCATCGATATTTGTTTTTTTTTTTTTTTTTTTTTTTGTTCGCCGAAATCAGAATGAGCCGGGGGTCACATTTTATGCATTTGTTGTATTAAAGCATACAAAGCGAAGAGCAAAGCATGACAATTGAAATAAATTAATTGAAGAATTTAGAGATAGCAAGCGAAACGTTCGACTCGATAGAACAGGTATAAAAGAAGTTTTTTTTTTTTCAATTTTTTTTAACTTTAAATATTCAATAAATTATGAAATGTCTTAACAAATTCTTCGCACAGATGGTTTTTTTTCTCCTTTTGTGTTTATGGTATTTTTGTTTGTCTCCGTTCCAAAATATGATTGTAATGGTCATGCACATCCGTGGATGGCAATGATTTTTTGTGTGGCTTATGTTGTTTCTCTAGATTTCTGTTCTCATTGGTTGAATTTCGCTATGGTGATCCATGAAAATAAATTCGTCATGTGTATGTCGATGTAACGGCGTCGTGGTTTTCTGTTGTGTTTTTTTTTGGCAATTTTCTTAGATCAACGATGTTATTAATCGAGCTTTGAAGTTCACAACTCGTTCACTTGTTTGAGCAATTCGCTGAAAATGTGAGAAATGGATTTTCATTATTAGCATTAATTTTATTGAAATTTTGCTTCATTGAAAAAGACATAAATTGAGGCAGAATTTACCAGAATCAAATCTTGAATAAGATTAGCAAGTCCTCGATTGGCCAATACAAAGAGACGTGTTACTGGGCCGGGAATACCTTCTGTATAACCATCGGCATTCTTGGCAATGGTAGCTTCACCTTCTGGTGCATTCTCTCTTTCGTCTGTTTGTTCCGTGCCGGCCGAACCCCCTACTAGCTACAGTTAGAAAAAATGAAAGAAACGCTTAATTTTGTGTGCTGTGCGATAAAGAGTGTGTCATTGAAAACCGTCTAATAGGAATGCAAAAGTGCTAATAAGCTAAGAAGAAAGAATAAAAACCAACTCTTGCAATAGGGTGATCCAGTTACCGTTCTAAAACGTCTGATAATATCTATGGTTAAATCAGTTTTTTGCCATACATCTAATGGCCCCCTCCAATAATTTGGTTAATCACATGCTATGCTTAAATTATATTAGATCAAACCCAATTGATACTATAGTGAACAATTTGTATGTGCAATGTGCATGCAAGCAAATGAACAAAAGTAACGGCACACTAACATTTCAATCCAATTATTATTATCTATTTGAAATTGAAAACAGTTAATATGGAGATTAATCGGGTTTTTTATTTTTTTTTTTTTAAATGGTAATACGAACAATTATCATGGTTGGAACAGCAAGCAATTCAAACCGTTGAAATCAATACACACAGGCGCTTATATATATGAAAAGTGTGTCACGAAACTCAACAGGAAAAATATACACAGAAACAAAAAAGAATGTACTTTCTGAAGTGAACGGAAAGAACAGAGTGAGAGAGAGAGAGGAAGAAAATAAAGAAAATGGTCAGTAGAAGGATGCTATAGAACAATAATGGGGGGGAATGGACCACGTTTTCCAATGAGAGGAATTGTAGAAATTAATACACGTAATTGTACGAGAATTAAAGGTTTTCTTTTGTCAAAACATGGTTAATATAAATGAGCAAATGGAAAAAAACCAGAACGAAAAAAATATATAAACATGTAGTCACAAACACAAAATTGTTTAAACTAATGCAATTAAAAACAAAACAAAAATGAAAACAACTAATAACAAAACAAAACAAAAATAGAATGAGGGGGAATTGCATTACCCCGTTATCATTTCCAGCGCTTAATTTGCGTGACGTGGAGTCGTTGTCGTCATTGTTGTTATGGTCAAAGTCCGTGTCATCACCTGTTGAACGTGTCGCCTGTTTGTTGTTATCTAGGTCAAACGATTCGGTACCAGCGGCAACGCGGTAAATTGTCCCTGCAGCTCGAGCTGCCCGATCAGCTGTACGCTGTTTTATTTTATATGATTTTTGTTTTTGTTTCATTTAATCAAGTGGATTTATTTTGCGAGAGGTATGCGTGAAAAATCGAATGACATTTTCGAAAAGAAGTTTCACAAGCGACCGAACAAAATTGAGATTGAAGAGCCGTACTTTTTTCTAATTTTTGTTTGTGCTTGTGCAAATGCTCCATTTGATTTTTATATCTCGTAATAAATGGATTGAAATCATTTAGTAGTGGGTAAATTGTATTAAAAGCATGTAAATAAAAAAATGTTCCATAATCTTGGATCGAAATTGGTGTAACTTTTGCATTACAACGATTTGTATTTTCATTTTGGAATTTATTTATTTTGTGTATGTGTGGTTATTCTCTTAATTCCAATGTGAATTACAATCATTCGATTGCATTGTTAATTCCATTGTTCAACTTATATATCCAAAACGAATAAGAGACAGAGAGAGAAAGAGAAAATAAAAACATCCAGAGTGGGGTTTTAGTAAGCTACTAAACGGTAAATTTGCCTTAAAAAAGTAATATAAGATGCGTGATGTGTCTTTGCTTTTGATTTTTTTTTGCATATATTATAGTAATAAAAAAAATATGGTGATCTCTTGTAATGTCTGAATGCAAGATATGTGAAACATTTGTTTTCGATAAATAATAACATAAATGCAATTGAACTATTGTGTGTAAACGGAAACGGTTTCGAGAATCCGTTGGATACAGTGACAAACCAACAACAAATTAAATAACATGTCTAATGAAATGGATCAAGTCAACACGTCAACTGTACTTACACGGATGATATCGAAGAGGAAATTGCCAGAACCACCGGAACCATTTGAACCAGATCCACCAAATCCAAAGCTTAAGAATCTGTCAATTTTCATGGGAAAAACGAATTAATTTTAAGATCGTAAACATGTATTATAAAAGAATCATGAAAACACATGAAAAATACAAAATGAAAAAAAAAATTCTATCGAAAAAAGGATAAGAAAAATTCTTGTTCGTCCATTCACACGTTTACACGTATGTGAAATATGTGAATAGACAAAAGTTTTTTCTATCTTTTTTCCAGACATTTTTGTTTTACCGTTTATTGCGATCGTCGTCTTTTGTGCCATTCTCCTCGTCATCAAGTGAGAGTTCATCAAGTGCTGGTGATTTGGATTCAGACTTGTCCGATGCTGCTGGGCTTGAGTCTTCTTTCTCAATGGCCGTTGCTATGGCATTTGGAACGTCTCCTTTATCCGACTTGCTTTCGGCAATCGGTTGATCTTTTTGCTGAGACGCCGTATTACGAACCACACGATTAAATGAGTCCAAACGTTCCGATAAAGCGGCTAAATCAACATCACCATTAGCATTGCTTGTCATCTGAGCACGCGGTGCATTTGTTATTCATGGTGGTTTTGTTTTTTGTTCATTTGATTTGCAAATGGATGACATATTCGATGCGTGGTGTGTGATGCATTTTTGGATGGTCAAGAGGAAATGACGTGATGTTTGTTTTAGATAGATAATGTTCGAACGGTGTTCAATGTGGTGTAATTCAATGAGTGAACACAATTTTTTTTTTGTGAATAAAGAAAATAAATCGTTAAATTATTGTTGCTTCTTTTGTAAAGAATAGAAAATGATTGTTTTTTGTTTATTTTCAAACTACTGAAAGAATAGCTACAAGAATTATATGATTAAAAACACTGTTAAAAACAGAATTCAGATAGAAAAACCAATGAAAACTCGAAAAGCAACATCGTTGAGCTTTTAAACGCTCTGAAGATGTTTATTCCTTTCGAAGAGTTGATTTGTTACCACTCACAATTGTAGAATTATGTTTCTACGTAAATGATTCTCTAAAACACTGATCATGAATTCAATCGTTTGATATACATGTGTGTGTATGTGTTTTGTGGAAATTTATCACCAAATCACAGATCAGGTGATCGATTACCATTTTAACTACGTCTACAGAAACACAAAATTACGAAAAATGAATGCAAAAGCTACGAAAAAGAGAAAAACAAAAATGTAATATCAAATAGTAAGTCGTTTGGCAGACAAAGAGACAAAATTCTAGGCGCAATGTTTAGCGATCTAAGTTAATAATAGTTTGTACGACCAACGCAATGGTTTTGACAATGGAGCGTTACATGATGTTGAGCAAATAGTAGTCGCGAATTCCCCACAGACCAAATAGATAAGAAAAACTAAATAGTACCAGAATGGATTTTGATATATTTGATTGCTTGATTGATGTGATATGCTCTAAACTACACGATTTGTATTACTGATCGATATAATTGGAAGGAGAAGTAGAAAATAATTAGCTAATTAGATAGAGAGATGTTCATGACGTTAGAATTTTTGTTGTTTTGATTGTTTGTGAAAGAATACCAAAGTCTGAAGTATACTTGTTTGTTTTTTTTTATTTGTGATGATGAGATGATGACATTGGCTGATTTTACTTGCATTTGCGATTTCGGCGAGGCGATTTAAGCGGTTTCAAAACATGCGAATTGCGAATGTAGAAGAGCGAAAGAGAGGAAATATAGAGCGATAGCGATATAAAGATGGCGACAAACACATTTAATAAAAAATTATGGAAAATAGATGAATTTTTTGTTTCTACAACATAAAAAGTAATAGTTGAAAAACGGTTAAAACTAACTACTTGTTGTTGATTGTGTAATGGAACGAATTGAGCTGAAGAGTTGGTGTTTTACAGCAAATGATCTGATGTGAATAATAACATTGTCGCTGTACCATCTTCAAGTTGAAGAGGAATCTATTTCAGGAGGCGAATGATGCTGTTATTGAAGGATGTGATGTGAATTTTGATAGAGTACGGAATGCTTGCAGCCAATTTATATTGAGTATGTGTGCTGAATGTATCTAATAAATGTGTTGGCGTTCTAAAACAGCTGATTTACGTCGTCGCACAAAATTTTCCGAAATTGGTAGGTATTTCTTTTCCAAAATAGATTGGCCAGTGCTTGTAATATCAGCTATTGAGTCAACTGTTGTGCTTGCATTGTTTTCGGGCAAAATACTGTTTGTTGTTTCATAATTCGTCGAATCAGGTTTTGATTCGTCTTTGTTTAGGCTTCGAATGTCAATGAGTCGGGCAAAATCAATGTCGCTTAATCCTTGTGTCGTTTCATCTGAATAGTCGCTCTCTGTGCTTGAATCTTGAAACGTAAGGATTCTGTTTTCATTTAACATTCGATCGATGGTGTTTGTTGTTGTATCAACACTATCATATTCGTTCGTATTTTGCATAGTTGTTTCATCAATGCTGTCAGCTGTATCGTTTGTGCCAAACACATTTTCAGTCGTTTCATCGTCTTGCGATGTCGACGACATCACATTCGATGACGAAGGAATCGTTGTTGGTTTATCATAATTATAACTATTACTAATGGATGATTCTGTTGTATCAATTGATATTCTTATTAAAGTCGGTGCAGTTGATGAGAATTGAGACGGTTGCGTCGTTGTTTCTAGCTCGATCATTGTTGTTGTTGTCTCGGTGATGATTGTTGTTACTGTTGGTTTTGTACTCGTTTGAATTGGGTTTGTGGTCACAATTGGTTTTTCTGTGATACTTACTTGTGTTGTGTCCGTACTCTTGGCCGTTGTGCTACCCTCGTCTTTGCTTTGAACATCATTGTCTTCGTCTTTGTTATCAGTATTTATGGTGCTTTGGGTGTCATCTTCTTCTTCATCGTCTGTATCTGGTGGGAATGTTGGCAATGAAATTGATACTTTACGTCCACCCGAACCAGTGCGAGAGCTTGTGGTACCGCCTTCACTGTTTGATACACTCGTATCACCATCATCATCATCAAAATCATCGCCATCATCATTTGTGTTTGTTGCACCACCGCCACCACTCAACCCGCCCAACCCGCCGCGCAGTAAAAGTGGTCCCACGTTACGGAATATGATGGGCAAAATTAATTGAATTTTTTCTTCAATTACTTGTTCCACTTTCTATATAAAATATTGGAAAATTTTCATTATAGTTTTTGATTTATTGTATTGAGTGTGAGTTTTTGTTGTCGACTGAGAGGTGGATATGGGTGTTTGTGTGTATATGTTGTTTTGTGTGATCTGAGGATGGCATGAGTGAGACCGCTTTGAGCGAACTCAAAATGACAATGAAAATATGTCTCATATAGGGTCCGTTGTATCGTGTTGCCATTCGAAGTGGATGAGAAAAAAGTGAGCGTCAGATAAAACGCCTGCATTTAGACTACTCGTCGAATAGATCTCGCCGAAAAGCGCACGTGCGCACATTCATATCCATAATAATAATAAAAAAAAAGAAAGAAAAAAAGAAACGGTATGCAAAAATCAATTTCGTAATGATTTTCTTTCTCTTTTTTTTTTGTTGTTCATATTCGTTAACCATATTAAGTCGCTATTAGTCTAATTTCTGCAACAATATCGCAAATTAAAATTGGATTACCTAATCAATTGTTGTTGTTTTTGTAGCAGTAAAAGAAAGAAAAATAGTTGAAATTGAGCCACACATTTGTCAGCGAATCAACGTTATTCGATACAATCAATCTCAACGTGTGTGCTATGTCTTAATATTTAACAGTCTTGTTTTGTTTAAAATCAGTGAATTGCAATGAAATAAATTCATCTTACGGGATTACATAGAAAATGCCATGTTCAAATGGTAAAACATGGCCCCAATCGATCCTGGACAAACGATCATCTTCACGCGAATCATCATCATCATCATCATCACTAATACAAATGATTAAAAAACAATCTTGATTTTGACCCTGATTTTTCCTTGCATTTCTTCTTCTACATATTTACACGGACAACGCTGATGCGTCTCTGAAGTCACCACTTATATGCTTTTTCTCACGCAATAGCTACCATCGTCATGTCTATGCTCATGTGTCGTGTTTATTTTCTTTCTTTTTTTTCCTATTTTCGATCTGCTCTCCCTTTCCTTCGTGCTTTTGTTGCTATTTTTTTTTAAAGCGAACGTGCATATAATAATTTTATGTTCCGTTGTTCTGTTTTTGTCTCGTATGCATATGATTTGGTCGGAAACCAGCCGTTTTTGGTGCCAGTTGTAAAATGAAATTGAAAGTAAAAGCCGGTTTTCAGCAAATTTGTCGATCAGTTATGTGAATCTGGTTGCAGTGGTGAGCGTATATACGTTAACTTAAAAAAAAATGAAATACACACATGGTTTTTTTGTTTGCCGATGCCCACGTAATATTACTGCATAGCGGTAATAAAATGACGGTGTCGATTGCTCAGATGCCTGCTATTTGCTTGAAATTTCTTTGATGAAATTCGTTAACACCGTCAAAACACAACAAAAACATATGAATTTATTTTCAAAGGCATTTTACGTACGCCAACCGCTGACAGTGATACCATTACCATTGTTTCAGGTGGCAAATTTAACACGATCGTTCAAAAAGCATTGTGTGAGTGTGACGCTTTACAAATGTGTTAAATAAAGCTGTTGAAGGTAACTTAATCATCATGTTTGCTTCATTTCAAATGATATAATCATAAATTGGCAACTTAAGACTTTTACCAAAATTCTCTGGTAATTCTTTGGAATCTACTTTGGTTGCTCAACCAATAGATTCCAAAATGAAAAGAAAGCAAACGCCAATTTGTTCACATTAGCTAATTAGAAATCGGTTCAGCTGATTTTCGTTGGAAAATAATCAGACAAATTAATTCAATGTAATACGATTTTTGACTGGTTTCATTGATGACATTTTAAAATTGGCGTAGGTTTGATTTCGTCTACATGGTTTTTGTTACGGCTTGACTATATTGAATGCGGCAGATTCGTGGGTATCATCGCATTTGCATTCGCAGGTCATGGTTTTTTTTTGGTGTATATGATTCGAAACTGTGCTCATCAACAAGTGTTGTGAACGTGCACACGTCTCTATTTCATTTTATCAAGGTAATTCGGAATTTATTCCATTCAGAATTTCAATTTTTGTGATTCAAGACTGAACAAACCACATTCCACGAATTTGTGACATGAAAAAAATCTCACAATTTTCGCAATATTTTACGTTCTACGGCATGCAAATTTCGTAAATAAATTTTTGGCGAAATAGAAAGTAATCTGTTTGCTCAAATACTTAGATGTGCAGTAGGAATAGGTAGCACATGTGAAATGTATGAAATATTATTTGAACTTCGAGCCTTACACTTGATGTGTGCGACGCTGTGAAATGAACGTTTGTGAGATTTCCAATGTGTATTTGTCAAATAGTGAAGTTTCGTATATTCGTTTTGGCAAATGTCAACAGTCATTAAAATTGTCATTGTAACAAACAAATAATTTTTATCTCAATCTTTTTCACGTACGTGTATCGTTGACAGCAGAAGATAAAAAATTGTCGTAGGTTATCACATTTCGATTTCCGCGAAGTTCAAGTAAGACATGTTAATTAAAAGTCTCAATTTTTCGAGAAGGATCGACACGGATTCGCGTATCTGATAAAGTGGATGGTAATGAAGTCCCTACTCTATTCAAATATCATCATGATAGTAATGAATGACTAGAAGCATGTGAACGATTGTTGTACATCATAATCATCATCAACGGCAGCAGCGGCGGCGGCACGGAATATTGAGTAATTGAGCCGGGTCAAAATTCAAAATTGCCATAAAGTAATTACTATGAGATCACGTTTTTATGTTTGCATGTGTGTGTGTGTGTTTGTGTGTTTTTCCGCAATTTTTTTGATTTCTTCTTAACATGAATTGTCATTAAAATGCGGCGTCGTTGCTGAGACGATCATAAATTTTGAGTTAATGGAATGAAAAACAAAAAAAGCATGCCATAAAATGATTCACACACATTTTAATTGCGATCGCAAGTGAACTGCGTGCTTTGGCACTTAACATTAACGCCGTAGATAATCGAATTTATAAACGGGACCGCTTATACAATCGTCGCAATAAATTTATCTTACAACAGATGTGTGTGTGTGCGTTGAGTGGTTTTATTGCGGATCTTTTTAGATCAAAAGTCGAAAAGTTTTTGAATAATGATAAATTTCAATGCACATAAAATGCATCATCATCATATTAAAGAATAAAATGAAGACGACTTTGCAATAGCATCGTAAACGCATTTGCGTTAAATAATAATTGGCTCGTGTAATGTTTTTCATTATTCCCATTGACGCCACTTGCCAATTGAAATCGATGGTAAAATATTTGTTTATTATGTTCAAGCATAGAAAAAAGTGCAACATAAAATAAAAATATAAAAATTCGTCTTCATTGGGCTAGGTGTGTGTGGCGTGCATTCGACTGCACATTATTTGTAATTAAATCACATTATACAAGTTTTCAAACTGTGAACAATTTTTCATCCACAATGGTAATTACACAGGTGCTGCATGAAGCGGTGCCATCATCATCGTCGTCGTCACAACAGCCAACATATGGGCTGATGTGGTTGTTCACGCATTCGGGCCTCCGTTCTCTCACTTGCCTAATAACAGCCGTTAGTTGTGATTGTTCTTTTGTTGAATGTGCCAATATCGTGTGGATTTTTACACACAAACATTGTACGTTGTGTGTATGTACAGTACAACAAAACATAATCATAATTATTGTTTACAGTAAAAATGACGACCAAACAATAACAGCAGCGAAGAAAAAAAAATATGAAAACAAACAAAGGCTCATTTTTTTGGAAGGTTGAATGCGGTACGTGTATGATCGGTTGGACAATTTAATGTTGAAGCCCATTCAATCAGCTACTGTTCATACGAACTGTGACTGACAATGAAAAAATAAATAATATTTTACCAACATCGATGATCTGATTTCAGTGTGCACTTTGTGCCATGCAAACAAACGCAATTGAGAATCATTTGCAAATTGCTAACCTTTGAATTCGATGATTTACCCGGCCATCACTGACCAACAGAAATAGAAATACAAATAGATTATTCAAACCATTCAAGCAGCTAATGCATTTAAATTGCTCAAATGCGCCAATGCAATCATCGTTCAGAATTTCAAAACATCTTGTTGTTAAACATATCGATATATGTGGGGCGAGCACGATGCATTCTTATTGCCACGAAAATGAAGCGCTAATTAAAATTTAATTGTATGACAAGGTATTGAAGTTGTATAGTTTTTCGTCTCGTTTTGTACAATCATTAATTGAATAACACACTATCATGCAATCAATACTTATAGTGTTATTGTTTTTTTTTATCAAAGGGCAATAAAAATTATTATAGTTCGACAATTGAATTTTCAATTCAATCGCTACCGTATCGCTGTTGGCTTTGTTTTTTTTAATGAGAATCTAACGAAGATTCCCATAAAATGATAAACGGAATGTGAACGAGTGTGAGAGAGAAATTGAGCACAGTTTACGGTTCAATGCGAACTGCTAAAACTGTGATGCTGTAATAATTTCATGTAGTTAAATCTGTATTTTTTTTTTCTCTGAACACATACGATACTGAAATCGTCTGTAACACACACAATATTGCTCTGATTCTGATTAATATTGCGCGACGTGTACTAAATCATAAAATCTTGATTAACTCGTATTTCAGTTTGCAAACAATCTTGGCTGAATCTTGTTAACGCATTGCATGTTGTCTAACTAACAATTTGTATGAATGCGTACATTTTTACATAATAATAATTGCAGAGTTAACGCACTTCTGGTGACAAAATGGTCGTTATGGGTGTCTGTTTAACGATGACATGATTTTTCGGTTCATTTCTCGATAGTGTTCTAACAAATGTAAATCTTTTTTTTTTTTTTTGTTGAAAATGAATAATATAGTTACAACTGTCGTTGCTTGTTTTTATATTAAGAATGCGTTTTTATGTCTTTGCTATGCTGAATTTTAAAACGGTTGGCCAAGGAGATATCGGCTACATACCTTTGATAGTTCGGGAAATAGTTGACGGAGCACTCCAATTGTTCGCTTATTTCGGTCCGTCAGCTGTCCTTCATTCTCGGGCAGTGATAAAATATCTAATTCCTATCGAATCGAAAATGGAAAAATACAAAAATCAATAACATTGTTTTAAAAATAAATTAATTATTTCTTCGTCTTCTATTTCTCTTTTTTTCTCTAATTTATTTTTATGCACGATGTGATGTTTTTCAAATCGTAATCGTGATCGATTTCCAACTTCTTCGTGTTTGTATGTCGAATGTGTGTTTTTTTTCTGTTATGTGTCTGATTACAATGCGGTCGATATAAGTTGAAAATAGGTCAATTGGTTTTTATCGATGAATAAATGTGTTTGCAATTTACGTGAGTATTGTGCACAATCAAAGTTCATCCGATTTCAAATTCCAATGATAGATGTGCATTTCTTTAATGAAAATCAATCAATTATTGAACTTGATCAATTTTACAGGTGCAACGAGAGAAAAAAATCAGTCAATTAAGTTGCTGGTTTTTTTGTTAAACACTAATTGGCTAATCACTCAAAATCATTTATAATTGTACACTTTGGGTTTGAGAGCCATGTGGCATTGCATCAAGAGAGAGGGTGCGAAATGGATCCATGACATTATTCAAATGAAGCGTTTTTTTGCGAGATTATTTCCACCAAAAATGTCACTTTTTGTTCGACGTAAATAATCGCATATCAAGCGCGAGAGACACGCATAGACAGAACTGCACCGTAAGTGGGTAATCGTCCTTCACTTGACCATTCGCTTAAAATTATTACGCGCATGCAATAAATATACACACGTTTTCGATCACATTGCAATATAATCTACCCAATTCACTCTACTCTTTGCAAGATAGAAAATAAATGCAGTCAATTTTCATTTATAAACGTTTCGATGCCAATTCACAATTTTTCTCTTATTTGCAGAACGAAATTAACTCTTTTGAAATCGGAGAGACGAATCTGTGTCGCCTTCAATTTTAGTAGCATGTTGTGACATTTTCAAGCATTTATTTTTCTCTTTGATTGGAAACAAAAAAATTGTTGTCTATTAATTGTGATTTAAAAAAATTAGGTTTATTGCTTTATGAATATTTGTTTTGCTGTTTGATAGCACACTCTCATTTGCATAAAAATGATTCGAACATTCGGATGCTCCAGTTAAAATTGAACCTGAAGTTGTTAAAATGTTTTTTTTCTCTAGATTTTGTATTTGACAACTTCCTCTCAAGCTGAAGGTAATGGGAAAATGTGTGAGTTTTTCGGCACGATATTTGCGTCGTTCAGCGTTTTTCTCATTCCAGACAACTTTTCATGCTCTTGAACATGGAATGAAGAAAAAAGGTTTATCTCATGAAGACAGATATTCGCCTTGAAACAGTGTGACAACAAACATGTCATGATAAAAATCGAATACGAATTGTCATGACGAAAAGCGTTAAATCTACATATGTGTTACATAATTCGTGCCGAAATCAAGGATGCTGAAAAACAAGATTTCGTTCAACATCTGTTGTAGTGTGTGATAACATGCCATTAAATGTATTTATTTATATGTATTTAACCTGTACGATTCTAATCGAGTCGCATGATTCATTGATCTCGAGAAGTCAACCTTGCAATCGAACACAGTGTCGATGTACTCTCGCCGAAATGAAGACGTAAAATGATGATTTAGTAATAATAAGATGTTAAACGATTGTTGTGTGTGTGTGTTTATATCTATGACAATGAATAAATCGAAAACATTTCGAAAATGTTTTGTTGCCTCGAGACGATACGACGAATGACCAAAATTAATGCAATTAGAGTAGAAAAGATTAAAGTGTCGAATATAAAATCAAATGGAAGGTCATCAACTTTAGTTAATCACCATGTGGTATCACAACGAAATTGCACTTCAAATTAAATGATTTCAATTGAAGCAGAAAACATAATTTTTTCCGCACACAAAAACATAAACCGTCGTTTTGTATAATAATAACATTTGCGGTAATTGCACATTCAAAACGATTGTGTTGTGAATAAAAATCGACGTCATTTATAAAAGTGGCATCAAGGAAATTGAACATTACAAAGTCAACTCTTATTCGGTAATTTTCTAGTCAAAACTCATTTTCATTTCACATTGAACAAATAAATAAAAAAAAACGGTTGATTTCAATCGAATGATCGACGTCATCTTTACTTTCATTCTTAATTGATTTTCTGTTACAAAGAGAATCGAGAGAGCGAAGATCGAAAGAAAAAAGCCAATAATAATAATTGACGAGCCAATAATAATAATTGAATTGGTGTGGGCCATTTAACGTGGAATATTTGCTAAAAACAACAACTCACACAGAGAAAAATAAACCTCGACATTTAGTTTTTCGTACGATCCATTCCAATTTATGTTGTTCACGCGTCGTGTTTTTTTCTTCTGTGTTTCTCTTTCAAGTCACGTAACTCGAACAATCTGTATGCACAATGTTTCCGCTGGTGTTTTACGGACTTGCAAAAAGAAACATATCGTTCGAACGAAAACAAAACGAAAGAAAGACAAATGTGAACAAGACAAACGGTGCGAGCATCGATGAAAAGACAAAAGTTTGTGGTGCATTTTGTTGACGCAATACCTTGACTCTTGAATAAAATGGAAAGTTGTGCGCATTTTGAGTATTTAACTTTTCACTCTCACTTTTGTTTTCGTATGATTTTGAATATGAATCTGAAATGAAATCGATGTGGTTTGAATTTTTTTTTTGAGCAAATTTTTACCGCATAACTTGTCGGTCTTAAAATTGACGGGCGATAAATCATATGACGTGGTGTATTTTCTGTCTCTTCAAAACATTGCTCTCGTTTTCGATCGCACATCGATTTGTTCTCTTACAATACATTTTGTTAGCGCATAAGCCAAGGCCTTGATCTACATCATCTGTTAATGTTGGCATTTCTCTCGGTTCTCGCTGTGATAATGGCATTTTCGGTTCGATGCAATCTCTCTTGAATGCGTTTATTACTCTTGCGCGTGCAGTAACCAGATTTTTGGTCGATTGCATAAGACGAATCGGCAGACATTCGAAAAACCTTCGTGTATGGGAAAGAAAGACACTTTTCTTCCGTATTACGAAGGAAAACATGAAACCGTCGCGTCGTGCGCTTTTTTTACGATTAACTCGCCGTTTCGAAATCTATGAAAAATAGCCAACGGAACCTCAGATGTAAAGGCCACAAGTAGAAATCAGTTAGCAAAAAATAATTGAACGCAAAACTGGCTTTATCTGAATGTATCACGTGGCTAACCATTCTCAAGTGTACAAAACAAAATAATCATCGACATTAAGATAATAGTAATTTCGAATACATACAACATTGCCTTCATTATCAATGTTTGATCATTTCGATTCGATGCTATACGATGCGGAGCGCACACATGTTTTTGTGGTCACTGTCGTCCGACACCATCGGATTCGGTTTGTTATTTAGACTAATGAAATGGCAACTCGCTCCGTCAGCTTATCGCAAATTAACTGGCACGTAATCATTAACAATCAGCTATGGAATGAGCGCCAGCCGCGTGCGCACACCAACACATGCACATCGCAAACGCGAAAGCACATTTTCAAGTGAAAGTACATTGTGTGCGCTGACAATTTTCATATATGACATTCGGTCTCTCCACACCTAATCATACCATGCTATTCCACACACTTCAACTGCTCGACGGTCTGATTTGAGATCTTTGTTGTTTGTTTATTTTTATTTTTAGTTGGAATTTGTTCAAGCTTCGCCAACTTAAACACAAACAATAAATTGAATCGGATAATTGTTTGCAACGATAAAGAAAAGTATGCAACTCATTGCGATGACATTCATAGAAAGAGAAGAAATGACATGAAATTAAACAATATTTGTGAACACGTGACGCATACAGTACGCGGATGCTATATGACAGCACCGACCATGCTGTAATTTAGCGACATAATGCCAGAAGAGGAAATTTGTTTTTTTTTGTTTTTTCAATTTCCACCAAACATGATCACGATTACGCGACAAACATACACTAAAATGGTGAGTTGTTTACCACAAACGAAAAAAAGACATTCAATATCTACAAAAAGACTCTGTTAACTTACCTTATCGCCTTCTAGAGGAATCTGTACAATTTGAACATCTTGCTCGGGCAGCGGAACTGCGACTGCTAATAATACACACAGCGCACTTGTTGCTACTATTAGTAAATTCTTCATATTTGCTATATTTGTATGTACTTTTTATAATTGTTTATGTTTGTTTGTTGCTTATTTCGGTTGCGAATTCAGCTGGCTTTTGTGGGTCGTTGAGTTTTTGTTTTTGGTCTAAATCCTTTTACGGCTTCGATTTCTACACCTAAGACTTAGAGGTTAAATCTGAAATGGGAAGAAAACAGCACAATAATTACACCATAATTCGTATCTTTTTTATAATTCATTTTGTGGACAATTGACAATTTGTGTTTGCGTTTTGATGTCGACGAGAGATAAAAATGTATAAAGTTTATTTGTTCGTCTATCGACGACTTATGATATATTTGTCATCCAATTTGCGATTATTTGTTTGTACAGACGCATTTTCATAAATCCATACACTGCTCACTAAAGTATCACGTCTCAATGACGAACGCTTCTATAGGCAGGCACTCGTTGACTCTATGCAATTTGTTGTGCAAATACGTTGAATAAAAGACTGAATCGAAACAACAAACCCGTTGTATAGAACAGTCGCGCACACAGATTTGCATCACTGGCGCACAATGAAGTCGAACACATTGTTTGCACATCCAAATATAGCTGCTGGGGTATTGATATTTGACTTCACAATGTTCTTTACACAGAATTCAGACAGTTTCGAAGCTTATTAAATTAGTCACATCAAATTTAACGAGAATATGACGGGTGTCAAGGCGTATTCATTATTGGTCACACCAAACAATATGTTATGGTTTATGTGATTGCCTTGTTCAGTGAAAATGTTGCGAGCGAGAGAAAAAACCACGACACCAAACAGTCCCAATTCAGTGCTATTGGAGATGAATCACAAGGTTTATGGGCCAATATGATTGCAAATAATTAGGAAAAAAAATATCAATAAAATAAACCATTTGCAGGCATAGCAGAAAGTTGCCAATTAGTTCTTTTTCGAGTAAATCATATTTAAATTCGATTGACATTGAACAAATTATGTGAGTTTTTCTTTTCACATTTTTTTCTGGTCATTGTGGTCAAAACGTAAATGTGTCGACATCGAAAAGATGATTCGCTTTAAAGTTCATACGCATTACAAATGTATTTTGATTGATTTTACGCAAAACAATAAATTAGAATTCATATTGTGATGTCTGGGCAACCTCAAATTAATTCAATAACCTTTAAATTGTTCGACAAAATACGTATTCATTTGAATCAACTGAATTCGTGTAGGAGCTCACTCGTAGTGCGACTGAATTAATTGAACAATGCGCTTATTCGATGCATTTTGTGTGTTGTAATTTGAAAACTTGAAAATTTCAAGTGCACAAGTTCGAAACCAGCTGTTTTTTAAAAATAAATCCATATTTTATCTTCTCAACACGATTTCTAGCTAAATCATGATGATAAATGAGTGTAAGATAATTCATCGTTAAAATTACGATTTTAAATCGAAATTCTTCGTTTGTCAAATGGAACGCTTCTAAAAATGAACAAGGAAATCTCCGATCGAATTCAAGTTCTTTCACTTTGTGCAGTCATATGGCCTTTTATCCACAATTTTATAAACCACAAACAATCACCAAATTGTGCGTATGCAAGTAGATCCAGTGGCTGTACAACGAAATTAAATTATTGACACCGACGACAATTTTAAATTCACCTTATCTCGCGACAGTCAAACTGGTCTATCATGTTGCTGCAACTGGTTAATTTATGTTTTGTGTTCGTTAAACAATTTTTTTTTTGGGTTGTTTTCAATCTATGCCATTTCGAGCGTATGTTTCAACTTAATTAGGAATTGTACAGAGCAAAAAAAAGAGACACTGTCAGACTCGCTTTTACGGCAATTTTCTGTGTATGATATTTTTCCATATCTAAAGCATGTTTTATTTTCTGAACGAAATGCTTTATGTCGGCCAATTCTTTGGACTACTTTATATTTATTTTGAACAAAAAAAAACGACGTAAATGATATGAGAGCTGCGATAATGTATAATTTCTGTTCTCCACCTTCGAAGCTGAAACTTGTTTTGTGCCACACACACAAAAAACAACAACAACTAAACAAACAAATACAATACTTCTGGCATAGATCAGATAGCCGCTAAGTAATTTCAAGCGAATGGTCAACAGAGAAGAAAAAAAATGTATATGAAACTGTACTAATATGAGTTGCAAACAATTTTTCGGCCGAAAGGCGACACCGATTTCACAGTATTTCATTAGCTATGAAAATCGACATAAAATGAATAAATTTATTGTTAAGAAGGATGACCTTTGGTGAAACCTTCTTCCCACTGAGAATGCGTAAATATTTATGTGAATTGATAATTTGTAGTCAAGATATCAGCATATTGCCGCCTTCATTTCGTAATCGCTTGAACTTTGAACGATAAAGTTCGCAAATATTTCGAAATCGATCAAAATCGAGTGCGTATTCTGGCCACAATCGAATGTAATCAACCTTCAGATTAACAAATGAGTTTCTTCACTCACCTTGTGGTCAACGCGTTTTTTTCGTTCGCTAAATATCAAGCGAAACTGCACCGCAAAGGATGCAAATGAGTAATGTCCTTCATTATCTAGTGCAGTTCAATATCGAATTTGAATGTAAAGCATACACGTGTACAACACGGAAACATACATTTGATACCGTTGGCACTTCAAAGAGAAATGATAGAAATTGCACATGTACAATTACTGTATTTAACTATAACCTACTGGATAACAGTGAGGTAATTCAGTGGACCATTTGAGCGCAATACTCTTTAAAAAGCCATAAAAAGCAAAACAAGCGCCGATATTCACCGTATATAAGCCTAATTAACCATCGTTTATTTCGTAAGAATATGAAATTTCATATATATATTTATATATTTTTCTCTCTCTCTCCACAGACGGCGAAAGAAATGGCGAAAGGGCAATTGAGATTAGCGGTAAAGTAAAATTGGCGGAAAATCCGAAGAGTTTTGGTGTTTGTGATATGATCTGATCTCCTTTCCATTTGCTCCATTTTTTTATGTGTGCGCATTTAAATGCCATGCAAAAGACACAACGCATTTTAATGTCTTCGCCTATATGTGTGTTTTATGAAAAAAAAAAAAAAAAAAAAAAAAAATCGAGCGCGCGCTAGGTTGTGATCAACAGAAAACAACTTATACGTACAATAATTACACTTTTATTATTATTATTATGTAAAAAACACCGAGTGCTGCACACACACATATCACATGCAAGTTAGCTCCAACGCCACGGCATTAAGCGCGCTGAACGGCGCGCGTAATATATCTACGTGGATTTTAGTCGTAATTCAAGTGAATGGACATAAAATGGCAACGCCAATAGCAGCAGCTGTAGCAATAAGCCAAGCAGAAAAAACGAAGGAAAAAAGAGCATAACACGTCTCTCTATCACCGATTATTTCTTTTTTTTTATCGACCGTCGACTCACATCTGAAGTGACAGTTTTATGCAAGAAAATATAAATAAATATTGAATCACAAATTTTTCAAGATTGCGGCGCCGTGTATGTGATAGTAGCGTGTTATCAACACCACCACAAAATACCAGCACTTCTGCAAAATTCGTTAAAAAATGCGTGTATTTGTGTGTTCGATTCGAACAACTCACACAATCAAACACTTTCTTAATCACATTTATATGCTGCGTGATATGTGCATTTGAATTTGGTCTGAAAAATATACACGCACATCAACACATTATGCAATCTCGTCGTTCAACCAAATAACCAGCCGATTCATGCGATCAGAAAGAAAGACAAAGAAAGAAGTAGAAAAAATCAACGAATTTCAACAACGAAAAAAAGAAAAAGTTCATAATATTTCGTTGATTGTCGATTCTTTCGCTTTTAAAATGAGCCAAAAATTGCTAACGAAATTCCACAACCGCATTCCACACTCTTAATACAATTTTTTTTCATAATTTTGAAATTATTCAGACAATGAGATGTTGAAGGTTTCTTCAAATTCTGTAATGACGGTTAAAAAAATGCAAACCCCTACTTTTTGAAAATTGTTCTCATTGATAGTAGATTTGGCCGGGATACTAGAATACAAGTGATAGGCTACAATTAGATGCAAAAAAATGTGTGTAAATATATTTTTTTGGCCACCTGAATAAGAATTCCTTGAAAAGATTGATAAAAAATCTGTTGGCACATTCCAATTCGGTGACATGTCGTTTTTCGGGGTATTTGCATAAATCACGGTTTGAAGTTGATTAAATATTGACACTTTGATGTCTGATCGAATTCAATGAATTTATTAAACATAAGACTTGAACATTTTATCGAAGCCACCCATTTGAATGGAAAAATTTCTTGATTCAGCACGAACAAATACTGAACCAAAAAAAAATTGAAATGCCTATCGCGTACAAACGACGAAAAAAGCAAAGTTTCTAAAAAAGTGTCAGCATGAATAACTAGTCAAAATCGCGTGTGCGTTTCTGTCAAATAATTTGAATGAATATGAATATTAGTGGTCATACGTGTACAGCAACGAAAAAAAAAAACAATTAACCGAATGTAAAATATCCGCGGCGTAGTAAAATTAAAACCGTTTTACAATTCGATCGTTCAAAATAGGAGTTGTTCATTAACGATTTCCGTATTACTTTGCGTTTTCGTTTCTTTGCTTATCGCATGTTTTTTTCTCTTCTATATATTACACAGCTATAGATATGTATACTTTCTTTGCATTGTTTCTATCATTCACTGGTTGCAATTTTCAACATATTTTCCGTTGCAGCTTGTTTGGATTTTTTTTTTTTGCTATTGGATTTATTGGCGGTGCTTTTTGTCGAAGAGAGTAAGTGAGCGAGCGTGATGCATTTATGGAAATGGTTTTGTACGCGGCACTTGAAAATTTTCACTTTTGCTTATAAACAAAAATACAAATAGAGCCAGAGACAGAGAGAAAGAGTGAGAAAGAGAGAGAAAGAGAGAGAAAGAGAGAGAAAAATCCTGCTGTATGTTCATTTTTATCATCTTTGGTTGTCTGGGCAAACGAGCGCGACACTTTGCTTAACTTTTAAAATGCACACTTATGTAGTTATGATCACATAGACACATAAGATATAAATGCAATCGGAAATATCATTCAATGTATTTTTTTCTGCTGTGACTTTTTCGTTCGCATTTTAACGAACCGTTTTGTTTATTTTTTTACATTTGTCATCTTGCATTGCATTTGACATTCCATTTATTTCGAAATAATGATAATTTTTTTTTTACTTCTTCTTCATCTCTGTTTAGTTTCCCTTTTTTTTATGCACAAACACACAATTTTTCAAAGCACTTGCCACTCAATTTTCCCATCGTCGGACATTCAAAACGCATAACGATTGTAGAAAAAAAAAGAAAGCTATGTGGAAATATTTTGTTTTTTATTCATTTGCAAAATCTAATTAGAACACACACCACAAATTCTATTGTATCCTCAACGTTCAACGGTCGCAGATCTTTTAGAAGCCAAACGATAAATCACATGAAATAAATACAAAAATCAAACTCTGCATGAAGTGTTGTATCCTCAATTGATGTTTCGAATTACGGATTCGCAAGCGCCGTCGTTATTATTATTATTCGAACTGATGAAGAGTAGAAAATTGTTCAGAAACAAATAAAAAATATATTGTATATATAAATGAAACGGTAATTGAACGTTTCGTCAGAGAAACGCGTTCACGCTACAACACCAGAATTTAAAATGGTAATGTTAATTTGTGTTAACAACGAGTAAACCTCGACGATTATTAAATATATGCGGTCGATTATACACTTTGGCTGGCTGCCTGCAGACGTTCGTGTTTGTTTCTTTTTAATAAAAGTCCATTGGTGTGTGAGTTACACGTTTGTGCTTCTACGAAAAAAATTGCGGTGCGACTGTTGTGCTGTTGCACTGCACTATTTTGCGTTGTGTGTTTGTGTGTTTCGATATTTTTTTTTCAACAATGTATTACATTGGTGGTTTGATAGACGACGACCAACACCATGCAACCGATGACGACTACTTGGTGCTTGTAAAAAAGTATGAGCATGTCGCACGTGAGAGTTTGCTCAGTGTTTCGATTTATTAAATAAACAGAGGAAGTGAACAACAGCAAAGCTCATATTTCGGACAAATAATCTCTCTCTACACTGTTTCGCTCTCCGTTTTCTCCTCATTTGGCGGTGCATAGACCAACACATGAAACCGTATTGCTTCAGCATCAATCTCTCAACTCTCACACACTTCAACATCAAATGACGCTTGAGTGGGAAAATAAGCGAGCGAGAGAGAGCCTGAGTCAAAAGCGCAACATGCGCACAAACGCAACCGAAAAACGAAAAAAAACACATCGAAAATTTATGATTCGATTACTTGGGCAATTCGGTAATGAATTAGCTTTCGTTTGGCGCTGACGTAACCGATCGATACCGACAATCTTTGATCTTAATTTTTACATCATTGATTACATTATGTAGCGCTCATTTAAACTACTTATCAATCGAATCAGATTTTTTTTGTTTAAATCATCATTATGTCTTTGCAATGAAAAAAATTAATCATGGATCCAATTCGAATTTAGTTTACTATCATTTCACTCAATAAAATGGAACTGTTTTTGTCCAAAAAAATCAAGCGAAAAAAATTCTGCTTTATTTTAACGAGATAAAAGTTAATAAATTAATAAAATTCAATTCAGGGCTGTGATGTGACAGAAAATGTTAAATGAACACAACAACAACAAAAACAAAACGAATAAAAATGAAAGACACGTGATTGATGTTTATTTTCGATATTCGATCTTTTTATTCAACATCAAATCGATGTATAGAAAATAGAGAGCCGTGGAAAATGAATCTGATACCTTGAATATTAATGTATTGGCAAGGGCGAAATCATGTAGAAGCGTTGACCATATCGTTTAATCTTGAACAACCAACAAACCGATTTTAATGGACTTTCCATTCGATGCCTTTTCAGTTTCCGGAACTATTCAAAATGAAACAAGTTTTTATTTCTTTTGATTCAGCATTCAATTCAATTGCGATGGAACGAAACGAATCATTCACAATTTTCAACTTACTAGCATTCTTCAAATACATAATATTGAATCAGTGTCTATCCGCAGTAAATCATGCAATTTATATTTATTGTGTGTGAGAGAAAAAATCGATGGGGCGGAATATTTATAGACTCAAACGCATCGACATAATGGAATTCCATTAGACTGTTTTAGGATTATCAAAAAGAGAAGAAAAAAACTGTTATGCAAAATAACGATGACCATCAAGCAACAGCTGTATAATTACATTTTTTTTCATTCTGTAATGATTTACATTTTTGGCCTACGATCCAAACAAAATTGCCATCAGCAATAACAATAGACCGCGAAATATAACATAAATTTACGAAATAATAAACATAATCTACACGCAATTACAAGAAATTGACATTCCCAAAAAACGAGTAAATATCAATGTAATATAGACAACCGCTTAATTGAAACGAAATAGAAATATAAATGGAAATGACTCACTTCTCATACACACGGAACTTGGGCCAAGTGCCGGATCCAGCGTTTTATCACTTGAATTTCTGTGTTTTTTTTGGTGAACTCATTCAACTTTTATTACTTCATTGGAATGACTGCGCGTGAAATTTCCATTTTTATTTCTTGTGGGCCAGAGAGAAGACGATACTCGTGTATGTCTTTTGGTCAATGCCGACGACTAGATGGTCTATTACAATGATGTAATTATCATAGTGATTTTGCGCGAAAAACCACCGCGCACATTATCACCATTATAAATGAGCTGTGGGCATTTGACCCTCTGGTTTATAAATTGGCTTGTTTTATGTTATTTCCAACTTTACTCCGACTAGTTTCATTCAGTCATTTCTAATTCAAAACCAAACCAAAAACTGATTTCAATGAAAGCGAAAAAAAATATATGTATCGAAAAAATAAAAAGACATCAGTTTTGAGCTCATAAGCCAAAATGTTGATATCTCGAGACAACAACAAAAAATACATTACAAAATAGCCTTTTAGCAAATATTTTAATTGGCTTTTTTATACTCCATCTGTTGCTGTTGTTGGCTCGTTTTTTTGCTCCGAAATCTATATTTCATAATTCAATAGGTTTTTGGCTTAAAGTAAACGAGAGAAAAAAAATGTGTTCATCATTAAAACGATTGATTTCCAAATACAAGATTTAGAGGCTATTTCGTTTTTGGTTTAGTTTAGGGTTTCTTTTCATTTCAGGAAAAAAAACCGAACTCCATGATAAATTTGAAATCGAAGCAGATTTCAATGTATCAATAATTCCTACTATAGGTTCAAGGGTACATTTCGAATGGAGAAGGCATTTTTTATCGATTCATTTACAACGAGAGATATTTTTATTATAATACCGAACAATTAATGCCGACCATTTAAATAGAAAACCAAATCTATTAAATGTATCGAATCGACATTACTTACAATAATCGACACTGTTGATTTATACATCGTGTTTTTCCATTTTATTTATTATTATTATATTTAAACCAGAAAAAAAATTACCAAGTATCATTTGATTACCGTGCGATTTGATTTAATCGCATCTCAAATGCCTTTCTCGATCAGCTGCAATTTTAGTGGACATTAAATCAAAGCCGCACGTTTTGCAATTCATTCAGATTTGTCGTGGACCCTATTTGATTAAAATTAGAATTTGTTTGATTTAAATCACAAACAGAAGCATTATACAATTAAATTCATTGTTTATAGACGTACATACTAAGTCAATAAAACTGTCTATAGACGTCGATAAAAAAATGGATGTTCGTGCACTATGCTGATGTTTGGTGTTAATTCAAGTCTGTGAATAATTACGTTGGATTTGAATATGAACGTGAAAGAAATGAGACTGTAATTTTCTATATTTGTTGTAACAACAATAATTATGATGTGGTTTTAAGGGGAAAACACCTGAAATTGTCGATCAAAGTTGGCAGAAAGATGCAACGAATAAAAATCGTCATCATATTTCCGGATCATATCTGAAGGATGTTGTCTAACATGCTTTCCAATTAAAATTTTAAAAATTTCCAATGCGGTTAAGTGGTTTTTAATTTGCCAAGGTGAAAGATTGCAACTGATCGCATATTTGCAAAGTGAAACATTTACGTTGTTGTCGCACCATATCTAATACCATAGCCCTTGTGAATAGAGCTCATCTCTCGCACAAATCTAAGTGAGTTACTAATTTCCTCGTTCATCATTTAAAATGAAAATTTATGTAAATTATCCGTAGAAAATTCGCTCACTGCTTCAAACAACAAAAACAAAAACGAAATAATGAGATGAGATCTATGCCGCTAAATGTTATTTCCTATAATTTATTTGTGCGTGTCGTGCACAAAACTTTTCCCCTGTTTAAACATTTGCTTCCATTTGTTTATTACGGCAAAAAATTCGTAAAATTAAAATGATGTTTTGGAATTTATCTCGGGCTGTTATCGCAACGCACAAAAAAGCTTGCAATGACAAATGCTCATGACTTCGAGTGGTAATAAAAAGCAAGACAAAAAGGTGTTAATAATTGTGCTCGCTTTTTTTGAAATCAACACACCCATGAAGACTCCAATTCCGAAGACGAAACCCGATACGATCAAAATGAAACGAAATACGACAATATTGAGCGCTCATTTGGCATTAAGTGAATGGATTCAAATTTATGGATAGAAATAAAATTGAAAGAAGATTTTTTTCCATCAAAAAACAGTTTCAATTATTCATGTTGAATAATTGCACAATAATACCAAATTTTACCGGGGCGAGAAAGTTGTGACATAACTCGAATTGTGTACTAACGATCATAAATTGTGTACGTCTTTACAAAGGGTAAAGATTATGTTGTGCGCCATATTTTCTGCTAGTTCATCTTTATCGTGTTCATTGTTTTCCACTGAATAACTCTTTGCAATGATTTTTTTTCGTATTTTGTTTCGGAATCATTGGCATTTGTCGATGAGGGAGAAAAAATTGCAATTTCTTTTGAAAACTGGCAATCCGCGGTTGAATTCTGAGCACATGTCGTTAATCAACTTATAAAAAAGAGATAAAACATTGTAGCCTCGATTGACGGCTTTGATTTATTTCATTAATGCCAATTTGCATTTGAAATGCGATTTACTTGCTCAACCGACTTTGAATGCTTTAACTGATTTTCTGTCATTATCTTTACTATTTTTTTTACTTCAAATAAGCAGCATTATTATCAATTGCAACGCATACCGTATGCAATTTATACTTGAACCAGCCATCATGTGTGTGTGTCTATGTTGGCCATTGTGCAATTTTACAAATTGGTTATTTTCGAATCCACCGTTAAATCAACAAACAGAGATCGAGTTTGAAGCATTACAATTGATTACCAGAATCATTTATTTAGCCTTTTTTTCATTTCATTCCAATGAGCATTTCAATGAAATTCTACGCATAGTCAATGTAATTATGTTAATTGCAAAAAAAAAAAAACGAAACGAGCTATGCCATGCAGACCTTAGTGCCAAAAACACAGAATTCAATACCTTATTTCTCGTGAATATGTTCGAAATCTAATTAGCGCCATAGACAGATCCATAGATTAAATAATCAGTGTGCATAGAATCGAACCGATATTTCGTTCGTTCAGGGAAATAATTTGAGCAATGCTACAATTACTGTCAATCAATTGTGTCCTCAATAATCATCGCGCTGGAGAAATATGACAGGTCTTTACCTGAAATTGCGTCGATGCTCATCTATAAGTCAATTAAAAATTGATATTTTGTTTTCCGTACAAAATAAGTTGCCATTTTAATTACATGCAATTGGAATGACTCGCGGAATTCTAGCGATTGGAAACTTTTTTTACGATAAGTAAAGCCATTGTCAATATATCATGTTATCATTGATGTTTTTGTCGACCTTAATTTATCGAAGCCGACTTTTTTTGGATTACCTTCTTATTGCATATTGTTATTCAACGTTTAAATTACTTCATCGATCGTTTTGCATCTCTTCTTTTCCAATTAGTCTTTTAACAAAAATGCATGAAAATGAAATGGAAAACAAATTCATGAACAAAACAGAAAACGATGAAAATGAAAATAAAAAAATACAACTTTCGTTCCACTTCGGCAACTTCTATTGAGCACTAATGGTATTGATTGCCCACTTCAAATGCTGTATGGAAGGTAATTTTGAAATGAATGAAAATAAAAATGTTAACAGATTTTTTATGGGATGTATATAATGCGATTTACCACGGTCTTACGTGTATTTATGCCGGCATATAGACATAAACGGGGAAGTCGGCTTTTCCCATTGATTTACTAATTTACTAATTGATTACTCGGTAACCGAGAAATAATTGAAACAAATAATAATAGAACCACCTATTACAGAGATGATTATTTTACAGTCATAAACAATTATTCAAGATGATAATGATTTTAATTATTCATCATTTAAATGAAATTAAACACTTTTTTGCTCATTTTTTTACCGTAGAGTCGTTACAAAACGTTCGATTTGGACAATTAATTGGACTTTAGACAATAGAAGAGTTACTTGCATTCATCCTTTCCCAGGCAGCTTTTAAAAAAGAATGAATTTTAGCTTTGTGTTAAGCGGACCTTCTGAAAATAAAGTGAAAAACTGACTTCAATTGATTAAGAGCAATACTTTTGTAATGACAATTGATTTATAAAAATTTATCAATTGAAAAATATCTCAAAACCGGTTTGCTTGTCAAAATATTCGCATGAGGGTGATCGATAGAAAAGTCTAGTACATTCCGTTTAAATAATGTCTATGCAAATAAATATGATTGGTATTTGGCTTGTGATCTAAAACTATATTTGGTTACGACTAACGTTCATCATACAAAATATATACAGTTATTTCGTATCGATGGTGCATTTATTTATATAAGTAATAGAGTATTTGCACAGAAGTTTTCATCTCTCTCGTTGCCACTAAAAACGCTCGTTTTTATGGAAGAATGACTGAAAACATTGAATATGAAAAATGTTTGTTTAAGAAATAGACATTTCACAATTTTACATATGCGCACAATGAACGAAAAAAAAACTGCCAGTAATTTTATTGGGTAAACTGATTTGAATATGTCATTTGAATCGTCGATACACTTTAATTCATTTTGTGTGTCCAGGCATTACACGAATACCATCGACAATTTCATGCGACTGTAATGATTATAGGTTTCGATGAACGTTATCCATTATCTCGTTTATTTCGATGACCACACCGTATCCAATGTCTATATATATAATAAAACGTATGAATTTGTGACAAATGTTTTCTTTTTTCAGTTATTTTTTGCTCTTCAATTACATGTCAACTGTTGTCTTCCTCGACTACAATAGAATCAAAATAAAACCACTTCGATCGACCAGTTTCACTTTCAGTTTAAATCAAATCTTCCGATGTGAAACTACCTTCCGAAACCGTTAAATGATATTAAACGACAATTTGAACAATTCAATAAAAGTTTTTGATATGACAGTGAAACGTTAAAAAAAGATTTCAACTGTTCAAAGTACTTTCATATTTAAAAAAAAGTCATCAATCGTATGGACTAAAGGAAAATATTTGTAAATTGGATTAAAGTTTTGTGTTTGAATCATGGTTTACAAAAAAGAACTGTTATTTTTAATATCAATATTAATATCAGTGGGAGCAAAAACATTCACCCCGATATCGTATGAAATTGATAAAACGGCTCCGTTAAAAGTGAGAAATGTGAGAAAAGTGAATCCATTACAGTCCGGCAAAGTATTAGCAAAAAATGTTGATTTTGCAAGACTTTTTAAAAATTTACGCCAAAATCGTTCGCCCGAAGAAATACGAATTGTGAGCACACTTGGATTACTATCGGGTGCTTTACAAGTTGAAGAAGCGATACGTGAAAATCTCTACGAAATGACCGATGATTTGTTGGCCTCATTCAATAAATCTACGCCCAAAGAAAATATGAACAAATTAATGGCCATCGAAGAGACGATCAACCGAGATAAATCTGCTGTGTCAATTCTAAATGGCATGTTGCAATACGCTCGAAATGTGACCACATTGGATGCACTCGAAAATGATTTAAAGCAAATTTTACGTGAGGTAAGTTGAAAGAGTTTTTTTTGGTCGTGTGTACAGTGCAATTTGCATTTCGTGCAACGTTTCCAACAATCTCTTTGCGAAAACAAAAAAAAAATGATTTCGATAACTAATAATTTTCAAATCAAAAAAACCATATATGAATGACAGAATACAGCCGCATCAAAGCGATTGCGCAGCAAAAAGTATACTCTAAACCGAGAAATTGGCGAAAGAACTGGCCAAAATAGTGCATCAACCGGAAAATTATTAACTCGCTCTGGAATGAATTTAAAGTATACCATGAAGGAAAAACTGTATGATGTAAGGGAGATGATTGACAACCATGTTGAAAACATACATTCGAGTGTAACTGAAAACGTCAAACAAACCATTGGATACCTTCAAAGCTTGCAAAAAACTAATAAAAAACTTATGAAAACAATTGTAAAATCTAATGTTAAATTGGATCCATCACTGAATGCCGTTAAACGTCTTTGGGATCAAGTCGCTTCGCCCGAGCACAAGCATTCGGATTTTGACGTTGAATTGAACTATCATGGAAGACGGGCCGAGGCAAGACCCGATGTGATTCGATTCAAAGATGGCCGACTAACAAAAGGCGAAGAGATTGCTACAAAACCTGACGTCATTGTTGTTGATACGAAATTAGGTCGTTTCAAACGATATAATGATCCGCATCCGGTAAATTGGTTTCATTTTATCTATATTTGCACCATATTTCTACACCATTTTACACGCTCAAGCGTATTATACACCAAATCGCAACTCAACCTGTACATATTTTTCCTTTTCCCTTTTGGTTGCAAAACAATTATTTTTCTGTGCACAACCCATGTCCCTTCCGTGACAAAAAAAAATGTATACAAATACAGGAAATGTCATTTGTGATTGATATTGATATTGGCGGGGAAAAAATGTTTGCGAGACAAGATGAAAAGATGAGAGCGAGACAAGATGAAGATAAACGAGAAGATGACAATGACAACGAAATTGATGGCAATCGGATGAAAGATGAGGACGAAATGGGCGAACAAAATATGGATGAAGAATTTGATGAGAGTCCAGAACAAAGTGATGGTCCTGGAGGTCTCGTCGGATTAATCTCGAATTTAAGTGGGGTAATATATCTAATTAGAAATGAAATCAATGACTGTTTTTGAGAAACTCTATATATTTTCCTAAAAGGGTGCAGAGGGATCGGATATTGGTGCTGTTTTAGGTAGAAAATTATTGCTATTGTGTAGTTTTCCATATTTGCAATATTTTTTTTCTTTTTGAACAGGTGCCGTATCGCAAGTCATCACCAATTTACTTGGTGTAAGTACATGATTCAATCTAAAACAATATTGAGACTATTAAAAACATGATTTATTTTTGAATCACAGCCTGGGGGTTTGGATATTCCCGGATTAGTATCATCTGGGACAGCCTTGTTAGCCTCTCTACTCTCGGGCGATGAAAATTTCGGGAAAGTACTAGGGAATATAGTGGGTAAGTCTCTCTTCTGGCGTAACAAAAAGATAACAAAAACAAAAGGATAATTTTTAGAACCTTCTAAAACAAAAAGATAATAAGCGCCTTTTTACGCCTGTCGTTGCTGTGTTAACTCAAGAAAAAAAAAAAACAATTTAAATATTAAAAGAAACACCTAATGAACCATTCATTTATTTTTAGGTTTGGCGATTGAAGGTTTTAGCGGCGGCGGTGGAGCGGTAATTCAAGCTTATACTCAACAAATTCTCTTCCCAATCATATTATTTAATATGTTTTCTTGTATTCAATTTCAAAACTTATTTTTAGCCGAACAACGGACAATTTTTCGGGCAATTCATCGGAAAATTTATATCGCTGTTAAGCGCGGTAAACCAAATTATTTAAAAAAAAAACCATTCATGTATAGAAAATTTCATAAAAAAATAATAAAATTTCCATGTTACATTTCACGGTTGTGGCTTTAGTTTTCACCATTATTCACAGTAAACATTGCTCATTCACACAAACACTTTAGATTAAGTATATTGAATTGATCAAGTTTTTGATTGGGACACGATTTAATAATATAGGATCCTGAAGACGACGATGCACCACTCCAACCAGACAAATTCATCGAAAACCTATACGATGGTATCGGAAAGGGATCGGCCGGTGATCCAGAAGAACGAGAAGGCGAAGAGGCTAACCCCGAAGTAAATTTTTTATTTAATGGAAAACAAAGAGCACCTCATTAGTAATTTACACGCTTGTAGAATAGGCCATTTGCAATCACACACATATTATTCACTTTTAAAATGAAATGATATTTAAAACATTAATAATAACAATTGTTGTTCTAACGTAGTGTGATCATGGTTCAGATTCGACCAGTTTCGTAAAAAGCTTGATATCGGGCTTGGTAAATGTATTTTCAAAGGCGATAGCATCATCAGCGGCAGGGTCATCACAAGGATCATTAAACGGCGCTGCTAGTTTTTCGGGGGGCTCTTCGCACGGTTCATCATCTTCATCATCGAAACCAAAAGATGATGGAAATAAAGAACGTAAACGATAGAACAATTGTATTAGAAAATTTACATAATTTGGCAACATTATTTACAAAATTAAAGTGATCATTTTGAAAGCCACAGTCAAATTTAATGTCAAACTTATAATAATTAGTCGAAATTCACATTGGTTTACGTTGTTGTTGCGATCATTTGTATAAACAATTTAAGTTCGAATAAAGTTGATAAAAAAAAGAAATTGATTTGTTTTAATGAGAAGGTTTGAAAATACAGAAAGGTAATCTGAAATACAAAGACATGTTTCAATAATTAAAGAAAATCTTTTTCGTTGTTATTACTTTGGAATTCAATCGAATGCCATTCGAATAACTAGAGTACATAATCAATTGAATTGATTCTACTACGATTATAAAACCAATTGCTGTGCTTCATAAATCGAACATAATTGCTTGAGGATGGATGTTATGGTTAAAATCGAAGTGAAGCACGGAAAAGATGTCACAAATCCATTGAAAATGTAGACATTAATAATATGGTTTGATCATCAAATGCAAAGAATCATCATTTCGCTACAAAGTTTTGCGTCGCTTCGCGCTTCAATTACATTTCAAGCATTTTGTCACCGTAATTAGTTTTATAATAATCGCAATAGAATCAATATAAAACCACATCGATTGAACACTTTCATTTTCAGTTCAAATTAAATCTTTCGATGTGAAACTACCTTCTTAATTGCGATTTTGAGTTTAATTTCTAACAAAAACCTGAAAAGTGCTCAAAAGAACCAAAAATTTAGACGGTTTAAATTGAAACTTGATTGAATCATGATTTACTCAACAGAATTATTCATTTTAATAGGACTAATAATATCAATAGGTGCAAGAACAACATCGTATGACAAAGCGACCGCCCCGAAAGTGAGAAATGTGAGAAAAGTGGATGGTTTAAAGGAAAGTAAAAAATTGGTGAAAAACATCGATTTTGATAAACTTTTTAAAAATTTACGTCAAAATCATTCGCCTGAAGAAATTCGAATAATCACCACCATTGGATTACTATCGGGTGCATTAAGAACTGAGGAAAAAATGCGCGAAAATATCTATAAAATGACAGATGATTTATTGGATTCGTTCAGTAAATCAACGCCAAAGGAAAATATGTACAAATTATTCGCCATTGAAGAGACGATCAACCGCGACAAATCTGCTGTGGCAATTCTAAATGGAATGTTACAATACGCTCGAAATGTAACCACGATGGAAGCTCTCGAAAATGATATGACACAAATTCTTCATGAGGTAACATCCATTAGACAGTGAATAGATTCGATAACTACCCGAGTGGAAAAAAAGTGACTAAGTTACTATTGACTGTAAGTGACTATAGTTAGCTATATTCATGAATTTTAAAATTTTGTATGGAAAACAATCGACTATAGTTACTCAGTCAGTCAGGCGATTATTCTGGGACGTTTTGACTATCGGGCTAGGGGCTTAATACGGCAAAAAAATTCACAGGAATTCACGTAAATTCACACTTTTGAATCGAGTGGTAACTGATGAGTTCGGTGAATTCGTGTGAATAGAATGAAATGTGTCAAATTAATAAAGTGAGGTTATGATAGCCGCAATATTTTTTAATTTATTATTTTTTCAATATTTCCGATTGTTTTCGATAGAAAATCGCTCAAAATTGAAAATAAAATTAATTTTTATTAAAAAAATATAAAAGACATTTACAATTTTGTTACACAAAATACAAATATTGCAGTAATTGCCAGCAGAAACTATTTACCACTATCTCACATATTTGAATGAAATTGCCGTGGAATTCACCGGAATTCATTCGTTTGCAGAAAAATTCAGTTAATTTAGATATTACTATAGAATTCGATCGTTGAAAATTTTGAATGAAGCCCCTAGCTATCGGGTGACTATGATTATTGTCAACTATAGTTAGCTGTTGCAGTTAACCATAGCTTACTTTAATTGATTGAAGTTAACTAAATTTAACTAAGGTTGCTTGTTTTTACAGTCAATAGTCAGTCAGTTTGTCCCAAAATAGTCAGTCACTTTTTTTGTACACGGGTAATTATCAAAAAAAAAAAAAAAAACAAATTAATTACAGAATGAAGTCGCGTCAAGGCGATTGCGCAGCAAAAAAGCAGCTATGGATCAAGATATTAAAAGAAGTGACCAAAATGGCGCATCAACCGGAAAATTGTTGACTCGCTCTGGAATAAATTTAAAGTATACCGTTAAGGAAAAATTGTATGATGTAAGGGAAATGATTGACAACCATGTTGAAAATATACATTCAAGTGTAACTGAAAACGTCAAGCAAACCATTGGATACATTCAAAAATGGCAGAAAAGCAATGGGAAACTAATGAAAAGAAATGGAAAACATAAAGTTAAATTGGATAAATCGTTGGATGGCGTAAAACGACTTTGGGATCAAGTCACGTCGGCCGAACACACTGATTTCGATGTTGATTATGACAAGACTCTATCGAATATTGATTTCAATGGAATTCGTATCACGAAAGGCGAAGAGATTGCTGTAGAGAGCTCACCGAAACCCAAAGTAATCGTTGACACGAATATAGATCGTTTCAAACGGCAGAATACGGTAATTTAGAATTTCACTATTTGCACCATGGATGCATACTTTTTCACCGTTTCACACGCTCAAGCGTATTATACACCATTTAATTTGCAATTCAACCCATATGATTTGTATATATTTTTCCTTTTCCCCGGTTAAAACGATTTTTTGGTCAAAATGTGCACAATTTGCAATTTTATTCATGTAACAACAAAAAAAAACTACAGGAAAAATTTATGGTCGAAGTTGATATTGATGGTCCGCCGAAAAAGAGCGAAAAACAAAATGACGATGACGAAGATAACGAAATTGATGGTGGTGATAAGGACGACGGTAACAAAGGCGAAGAAGGCGACGAAGATTTCAGCGGAAGTTCGGACTTTTCTGAAGGTGTGTGTCTTTTTTCTACTTTAAGTGCTTCCTGACATTTCTTAAACAAACATACATATATTTGTTTTTCTGACACGTTATTTAGAACCAGGTGGTCTTGTTGGCTTAATTACAAACTTGAGCGGGGTAATGTATACATTTGCCAAGTGATTATTTTTTTACAGTTTTTTGAAATCAATATTTTATACATCAGGGTGATGAAGGGTCAGACTTTAATGCTATCATAGGTAAGTTGTCTTTCTTTACTTTTCAGCAATTTAATTATTTCACTTTGTGTTTCTTCTTCGCTTAGGTGCAATCTCTCAAGTTTTGTCAAATCTGCTTGGTGTAAGTACATTCGAATTTCATAAGAGGAAAAATGTTAATTTGAAGAAATGATTTATTTCATATGTGTTGGTGGTAGCCCGGTGGTTTGGATGTACCTGTGGTGGTCACAAGTGGAACGGCATTACTCGCAAGTCTCCTCGCGGGCGATGACAATTTTGGGAAATTTCTAGGGAACATCGTAGGTACATTTTTGTCGAACATAATACGAAAGAAGAATAACTGAAGTTTGCTAAAAAAATTATAATCAGGTTTGGCGATCGAGGGTTTCTCCCAGGGAGGAGCGGTAATTCAAATCAAAATACAAATGACTTGGCAAGTTCTAATAATGATATTTAAATTTTAGGCGAACAATGGACAATTTTTTGGACAATTTCTCGGAAAATTCATATCAGTTTTAAGTGCGGTAAATGATTTTGATTGTAAAATAATTCATCCATTTCGTTTCTATTGAATGTATTTCTTATTCGGAATACAATTGAAGGATCCGGAAGATCTCGACAATGGCCCATTGCAACCAGATGTGTTCATAAAAAATGTGTTTGATGGAATTGGCAAAGGTTCAGCTAAAGATGCAGTCGAGGGTGATGAAAATAAACCCGATCAAGTAATTTCAATTTTCGTTCATTTTCAGGAGCACAAATGTCACTGCTTGTAGATTAGGCAATACAATCGCACATTATATGGTTTTCATTACTCATATTACATATAAAAAAAGTTATCTTTGATTTAAATTAGGATGATGGCAAGGGCTCCGATTCGGCTAAATTCGTAAGTGGTTTGGTGTCGGGTATTATAGGAATCATTACAAAAGCATCAGTAGGATCGTCGGCTGGTTCGTCACAAGGATCGGTGCAAGGAGTGACTGGTGTCTTAGGTGGTTCATCGTCGGGATCATCAGGCACATCATCTGGAACATCATCAAAAGACGATGAGGGAAAGGGACAAAGATGAAAAAAAAAATGTACAACAGTAGCAGTCAAAGTGACTATTTTCAACCGTTTATTTCCAAGTTAAAATTTAAATAATTCGGCGTAATATTTGTTGCGTTCATTCCTAATACAAATGAATGTTTGAATTAAATAAAATTTTGCGAAAGAATTCCATTAATTTTGAATTGGTTAAGTTCGAAAATATGTCTTGATAATCATGCTTGAAAAGATTCTACGTTGTAGAAAACATGGTCATGCCAATTGAATATATGGGTTGATAAGAGACGTAAGCGGTAAGTAAGTCGTTTGAATGTGCCACAAAGTCATGAGCCGAATAAATAAAATCACTGTCCAAACTGATTGGTTCAATTTTATGAGTTTGTTTTGTTCAGTTTTGGGAATTTACGCATGATAAACGCACAACGTCTCACCTGGTCTTGTAGTTGTGTTCATTGTGGTATTGCTTGAGCGGTGGGGCAAAATCCATTCAATTTCGATACGCTGCAGTTGAATATCATCGAACATGAAAAGAAATTTCTTGCGTCAGTTTTTGTTGTTATTATTGTTGATGATGTTTTCGTTCGCTTCGGAGAAATTGTGTATCGAATACATTTGGACGTCGCGAAGTGTTTGTAGCCATTACAAAACATGATTGTGTGTGCAATCGCACATCAGTATTCCATGATTGTATTGCGCCACGCGCCCAATATTTACCGATCGTTTTTATGTGAACCAGTGAAAAGAGAAAGAAGAAGAAAAAAATATTTTCTCTCGTATCATGCACACGGCGCGCGTACACGCACACATACCCAAACCAAATGAATGGAAATCTCGATGAAGATTTCATATCAATTGACAATAGTTGACAGTCGTTCATGGGATTGTTGGATTATTTGAATCGTTTGTTAAGTTCGGCCCGCTTGTAATTCGGAATTGTTTTGTACACCATCGATGAAGAAATTCAATTGGCGCGATTTTGTAATTTAAAGGTGTTAGTTAACAACAGTGTCTTTTGAATGGTGTTTGATTTTGTGTGATTTTATGATTAATGTGTGCTAAATTGCGTGGATAATCCATTTTAATTAAGCCGTTTGTAATTTAGTTGTGTTCGTCTCAGATCACCCGGCCATTTTAAAAGATTTAGGTGAGTATTCCGAACGAAGAATCATCAACTTGCATAAGAAGTGATAATTTTGTGACTGTAAAAGGTGCGTCGTCGTCCAAGATTTAGGCCATGCAATAAAAGTGAAAAGTTGTGCGTTTCACGTGTGCTAAATTATCAGAGCCTATTCTCATATCGTTCTTCATTTTATTGTCATCGTTTTCGATTTCACAGCACTAGCAAGTGCACGTGAAATCTATTCAAACGAAAAGCGAGATGGAAAAAACTGCAATCGTGGAGGCCGGATATAAGCACAAAACAAACAGAGTCACATTAATTTCCCTATTAACCTCAACGAAGCAAACAACGATTTTAAAAAAGCAAACAAATGCTTATGTGCAATCAATGTGTCTGTTCGTCACACATCCCAAGCACATCCATTACTAGATTACATTCTACTTATGGTTAGTTGTTGTTGTTGTGGTTATTTTGTCATTCAAATTGATCATTGACCATTTGCGTCGTATATGCATTCACATTGTTCAAGTAGCCGACGTTCAAAAGTAAATCTTCTTAAAACACTTGCCAAACTTGCATTGCATCGATCGAATCGAAATTCAATGCAATCGTATGCCATTCGAAACACAAAACGATTGCTTCATTTCTAAATCTCTTTTCACTTTTAAGATCATTCAATTCAAACATTTGGCGTCAAGTGAGTATGCCACAATCATGCTCATCGATTGACGGTTGTTGGGTTGCGCATTTCCAGTTTTTGTTTAAGAAACTGATACTAGCATAATTGTGATCGCAAAAGCATTCATCAAAACAACATAGAGAACACCTTTCACATGTCGGTTGGATGTGTGCCACATCGATCAAGCTCGATGCTCAAACATTTGAAAGGTTTCCAATTTAAGCATGGATTGCAACAATGTTCATTTCTTGCCCAATACAACGATCATAACACCGATTGGTGTCACTTTCTATTCCATGTGATAAATACAGAGCAATTTTGGGTTGGATTTTTTTTACTTAATTTTTCGAATGGAAATTCCATGTTTATCTCATTTACACGTTATAAAATCAGGTGTGTGCGAAAAAAACTATATCCGATAACTTATTGGAAACTTTTGCTCTCGTTTTTACCAAATTCAATTTTTTCTCTCGACATCAATTGATGGAAAGTAGCGATGAGATTAATTTCAAGTGTGTCTAATTTTTACCTCCGTAAAAAATCTAAAAACGCCATTTTTCGGTAATTTTACGCTTTTGTCTCAATTTGTCGCTGCGCCATGGCACTATGAGCCACTGCCGATGAAGTTACATTGATTTTAATTATGATTTACGTTTAATTATGGTAATTAATCAAGTGTTGTGAGCGGCACACTAACACCACCAGCAACAGCAGTAAGTATCGTGAGAATGACGTGAATTGCAATATGGGTGTTATCGTAATGTTATTTCAGCGAGTAAATCTGTCGGCAATTAAAAACTGCTTAAAATCAGCGACGTAGATCGTATGGTTATCATTGGCGTGAATGTAAATATGCGACGGAAAAATTCAACATTCATTCAACCCGGAGTTTTCAATAGAATGATTTTTCTTTATTCCGAATCCGAATGAGATGAAAGAAACAATAAGAATAATTGCTTACTTGTGGAGTTCGCATGCTTGACTTTGCGTGACGCGAATTTTTACATTCTGCTGCGTGCACAATTTCAGAAGCCATTCAAATCATATTTTCCACTGACATGAAACAAAAAAATATATGCATCAACGGCAATAAAAAAAAACAGATGTCTGAATGGCAGTTGCTTGTGATCCGGGGGAGGTAAGAAAAATCGACTTTGATCGTTGAAGGTGCGTCAAAAATTCTTTAACACTGAATGTTGAATACTGGCCGCTGAATGGCTCCAAGTCAACAACGCAATGCATTGCATAATCCAAATATATGATTGTGATAAGAGCACAAAATGTCACAAAGTCCATAGCAGTTACCCATAAATTTTAAGCAAATTTTTTCAACACAAAAAGTGAAATAATAAAAAAAACAGTTTATATACGAGAAATGCAAAATTGTAATTAAAGCCTCCTTGACCGAAATTTATGGCTGCCTCGTTTTGGTTTCGTTTGGCCATTATGCCATACAGCGGCCAACTCGAGCTCACACAAAATTGGCAGCTGTAAAAATTGGACAGTCGTAAAAACAAAAGACGTTAAAAGGTCTTTTACATTTTTAACGGTCAAAAGCCGATAAAAAGACGTTGACGAAAAAAAAGAATAACTGTAAACTTTAATGAGCACCACTTCTTAAATACTAAACATTAAATGTCCACTATCTACTTCATATGGATTGTTAAGTGTAATTGTAATCTGATCAGTCGTGTGTATGTTACCGTTTATGTTTTTTTCATTTTACACACACGGTTGATAAAAAAAGCAGCAGCAACAACAACAACAGCACACATACCAATCGGTTGCAACAAACAATGCAAATTAATTCTGTGATTTTCATATTTGGACGGCAAGATAATTCATTATGGTCATGCAATTTCGCCCCGTTTATTTTGCACTGATTATTATGCATGGAAATGTGAATGACTTATTGGCAGTTATTGCCGCGATGTCGTTGAATTCTGACGTGGATTTTTCGCAACGGTTCTGTACCTAATTGATCCAGTTGCAAAAATGTCGAATCATATGATTATAATGAGGCTGAACACAGCTTTGTGATTTATTTTGGTCATGGCCTCTTCGAATCAGGGCAATGAAAGTTGTTCCGATGCAACGTTTCAAAGGAATGGGCAAATTTTGAGATAAAGAAAAATGTCACAACACCAAATCAGATATACAAATTGGCAAAACGATTCCTAAAAATAGAGTTTTAGCACAATTAACACAATGTGCAGAGAAAAAAAACAGTCATTTTGTAAATGTTATAACTTTATTTGCAAAATACCACCAAATTACAGCATCCACTTTTTTAATAATAGACTTGAAGTTATTAAAAAAATGGAAAAAGCACAAGAATGATTAATAACGTAAAAACACTTAATTCATGAGGCGAGCGTAACATAAATTATGATAATGGGATTCGGGTGGTTTTCTTAAGAACATGGTCGGAAAATCGGCAAACAACGTGTGTCGGCCTGAGACGAATTGTTACACACAAGACAAATGAAAAGCACATGCATATTCATTGAAAATCCGTACATGCTTTGTTCGCATCTATCAACAAGCATATCTGCAACTAATCATATTTTATTCATGTTGCAAATAGAATTTTATACGCTTTTTCGCTGCACTTTTTTCATTTGATTCAAGCGACGTGAAAACGTGCCATGTGCACAATCATTAATTCTCACCTCGTGATGGCATTGCGTGTATGGGCCAAAAAAAACACGTGGAAATGTCTTTATTGTACTTGCCAAATACTAACATATCAGAATTAATTAAATTATTATGATGCATGTGCAAGCAAATTTAATCATATTTTTTAATTCAAAAAATTTAAAATTACTTCTTTTTTCGAATCATTCATTCTTTATTAAGTAATTTCTTTAAAGTCATTGACTGTTGATTTTCAAATTCATTGATAGAGAATAGAAAAGTTCCAACATTTTGACGTCTTAAATTCGAGCTGTCCAGTTTTTTCCTTCGTTAGTTTTTTTTTTCATCAAGTGACAAAACAACAGTGATAATTTTCATGTCACAAACATTTCCATTGGTGATAAAGAATGTAATCATTCCGCGGTCATTGCTCCATGGACATAATCAAAAACAATTACATCTCCTGCATCTTGACATCTTTAATCATCATGAATGCGTTTGAATTTCGAGTAATTCTTGCGGTGCAATAAAACGATCGTTGATGGAAAATAGAATCCACTGGCATTTCGACAGAGAAACGAAAAAAATGCTCATATAAAAATGTTGAGCGATCGCATGAAAAAAAAAACCAAACGACATTGACATTATTTTGGTCAACTTAAAAGTTGCTGCTGGTCACTGTTACGGATTTCTCGTATGCGTGCTATAGATATTGATCCGTTGATCTTTGTTGTGCGCACAATTTTATTTTGCATGTTTATTTATGCTTGAAAATTGCTGGAAAATAGGCTCAAACAATGAAATCTAAATGTGTTTGATCACATTGAAAATCACCTGTTAAACAAGTCGCAGGTCAAAGCTGCGCTGTGGATAAACAAACAAACAATTTTCAATTCAGCTGGTTGAACCATAACCATAATTAGGATTGATCTTGTTTGCGCTTAATCTCTTGCACATTTGTGGTTTGTTTATCGTATTTTGTTGTTGTTGCGTCAAGTCAATCCATCAGAGTCACGAACGTTTTATTGCAACATTCAATTTTCGCTTTTGTTTGTTCTCTCGTCGTCTGCACGACGCTCGTTGAAGCGACAAAAAATAAATTAAAATGTATTCAAATTGACTGAAATTTATAATCTGATTGCATTAGAAAATGGCTAATGAATATGATTTTTTTATAGAGTGTTTGCGCTACAGATTTGGAATTATGTAGATTACAAACAATCTGGCTGACGAAAAAAAATCTGAGATATTTCCAAATGCTGAAGAAGACGAAAAAAAAAAACTCCGTGCATTTGATGAACATGCATAATGTGGCGACACACAACTAAAAACACATTCTCCAAAATTATTAACATTGATTGCGGCGCATTTGACCGCCTTCGAAAATAACAGATGAGTAATATACATGTTGTTTGTCATGTCAAGCATATCTGTTCGGGTCACAGAGAGATGAAACTATTATCTAAGCACATTTATCAATATGGCGAGGGCAAGACGAGCGTGAGTTTCAACCTTTTGACATTGCATTGCGGCAAAGCAATAATAATTGAGAATTAGTCAAGATTCGAAATTTCAAGATGGAATTTTATTTAATTGCCAGGAAATCCATGACCTCACAATCACGAGCACACATTTTCGGCCACATCCAATTTTTCTTCGAAAAAAAAAAACAAAAATTATTTAATTACAATTGTAGCGTAAAGCATTTTAAATTTCACTCAGCAAAATACAATTGAAATTGACATCTTGTTGATCTCAGAAACAAGTGATGAAGAAAGAAAATTATACGACAATAATAAAAATGTGTGATGGCACACTTGCGATGACGTTATATCGATTATGCAAACCATTTAACACAAAGATCACGATGCCGAACAAGAAAAATGTGAAAAAGAGATATAAACGGCTCTATCGACCATCCGGCTCTAGGAATATGGTCGATGGCGACGATGACAAACAAAAAAAATTCATTAAAATATTATGCAATTTCTTAATCGATTTCTTTTTTATTGACATCTTACTTTTCGTATCTTTTTTTCTCGTCTTCTTTTGCTGGCATTTGGAAGTCAAACAGAGCGAGAAAAGTGGCCATGTATGAGTGCTCTTGTGTATTATTATGCGATGAAAGAAATGAAATTGGTTCCGAAATATGGTTTATAAATAAACGAACAAAAAGAAGTAAAACTACCTGATGAACATGAGAAATTGAGAGAAATTAAAAAGAGGAAGCAACGAAAGTGTATTATTTACTTTCCGTCGTCGCGTTATTCGTGTATTTGTCAGAGATGTGGTGCAAAAAGCGTATCGTGCATAATCATTTAAATCTTTTTTCGAACAAATCGAGTGATCATCAAGCTTATTCAAGTTTTTTTGTAGATGATTTCATAATCGATTAAGTGTAGACATTTCATAAATTATTCTCTCTATTGTTAATGAAAGCAACAACTTACAAATGTTTAATAAATGTACCACGTTCCAGTGTCTGTATACAGCCCATCTCTTTGCTCGATGAAATGAGCGAAAGTTTTTGTAAATATCACGATGCTTTATGTGTTTCGGGTCACGGTGCTTTTCATTTTATCTTCAATTTGCATTTTTTTTTACTGCACAATCGGCGATAACAAATTATTAACTTAAAGTTTAGTCATCGTCCGTTAATCTAACAACGATCTTACTGAAGCGTGTTTTCATCGCTTCTGTTTTAATAATGATGGAATTTTTTTTTCTTTAAATGCGTATGGTGCTAATTTCACGCATATTCCTAACAGCATATTGTTTATTGAGTTTTAATCTATTTAGCAGTGTTTATTTTTAGTGTCTTTCTTACGCGGGCACATTAGATAACATTGCTGAGGGTTATGCGACATTTTCCCGATTGTGATTACATTCCGTATCAAAACTGGCAGTTGAAAATAATCAATGTTCAGTTTATTTTTCTACTGTTAAAACCGCAAAAAAGTGGAATGCGCATGCCCAGCCCAAACACTCAAATGAAATGCGCGCGCCTATGACAAAAATTCCAATAAAATTACGATTAAATTAAAACAAACCGCATCACGAAGCGCTTTAAAAAAAAAAACAGCAACTGCAAGAACTTTAATAATCATTTGAAGGTTGACACGCATTTTAATGTGGCCATTTAGATCAATCGCATAAATATTGACCAATCGTCAGAGTGGTTTAGCGCATGTGCATGAAGTGCCGGTTGTTTGTTTTTATTGTGGCATTTAAAATGTAAACACAACCATCGTAATGCTCAATGAATAAAAAGCTGCGGTTTAGAACATAAACACAAAGGTATCATCATCAACGCTTTACGTACATGTGTTAATAATTTCGTAAAAGAGCATTGCTGTTTATGGCAAATCTCTGATCAATGTAATCATTTTGTCATTTTCATTTTTATATTACCATTGGCACACAACATCGCACAATTGATCACAATCACTTTGGCAAAACGAGACAATCTTTGTGATTGCGACGCTGTAGTGAGATGCGTTTATGTTTTTGAATGTCTTAAACGTTCGACATCGAAACAGGCGATTGTATACAACCGTTCGCTATGCTGGCTTTATGGCAATTTGATCTCTGTGAGATTGAACGCGCATGCGCGCTCTTACATACATAGGCATTTTCTCTTATCTGACCCAAATTGAGAGAGGCACATGTTGTAAGAGCGAGCCAAGTATATGATGTGAATTGCAATGAAGAAACCGTTGTTGAAGCAACCGATTTATAGAAGTACTGAAAGAATACTTTCAGTTTCAGTTATCCCAATCGTTTGCTCGAAGTTGGACCTATTTTGAATACGTAAGAATTGAACGCTTCGCAGGGACTTTCGATTATAATTCTCGAAAACGAATTCACTGTTGTAATAAAAGCGACAAATTTAAATCGTACGTCCGATCATATTTGAGTGAAAGGCACATAAACAATTCAGATAAACAAAATACATTGTTTTGCTCATTATTTTTCAAATTTCAAATGCAAAATGGCATAGAATTAAGCATAGAATAAAATTGAAATAAAGCAGAGTGTAAAATAATGCGGTCGATTTCACCCCACCTGATCACAATTGTGTCGGTTATCATATCGCCATGAAGACCGTATATTTATTGAGCATCTAAAGAGTGTTTGTATTTCGTTAATCCAATGGCCAAATCCGTTCAATCGTACACTACTACTACATGTCGTTACTTTTGCTTTTGGAAAACAAACACCACAAATTTGATTTGTATACCGTGACTGACGCGTCGAAAAAAAAAGCTCATTCGAATGTATGGTGTTGTACGCGATTTATTATATGATGGTGCAATGCAATACATGCGCGCGCGTCATTCAAACACCACAATCAAAATACACTATAATCTTGGTCCGTTGCAGAGAGAACTGTGTTAAGTGTGTGGTTCGTTTGTTGCTCTGCAAAAACTGTGCGCGGCTAAACCGAACAAAACATGCCGTAAACACTCTCAGTCCGAGTTGTCGGTTTACATGGTAACATTTCTTGGTTTTTCGATTTTCGAATTCAGTTACTGTTCGTTACTCATCGCTGTGTGAATGTACGCACACGCGCCGATTTTTTTCTTCTTCAGATTTTTCATTAAAACCACCAATTTTTCGCGTTATATTTCTCACATTTATATAAATAATCGTTCGTTTGTTTTATTTTTCATTTTCGTATCGCCGTTCGCCAGTTTGTTAGACTTCCTTAAATACAATTTTCTACGGTACATAAAAAAAAAGTATATGTTTTTTTCGTGTGCAGTGTCAAAAACTGTATAAGTTGTTCATTGAATTAGTAGTGCAGGTTGAGTGCAATATTGTTCGTTCACAGAAACAAAAAGCCTATATCATTTGGCGTGCGTAAAACTGACAAATCAATGCATTCATGCAATCGTACTTGGCATTTCTTTTGTTGTAACGCAAAGTAGCATATATTATATGTATAAAAATTGAATTGGCTTGGGCTGTGCTAGTTGTAGATACTTCTCTTTTTCTCGCACTCTTTCTCTCTCTCTCTCTCTCTCTCTCGCCCTCTCGACGGCCACATAATTTTACGGCTTGCATTTGCATTCTCAGTTGACGTTCCAATCAGTCAGTCGAAGTGCTTGAGCACTTGAACATCATTTCACGGGTCAAAAAGAAAACTTTACCAACAAACTCACACAAGTAAATGGACGAACAATCCATTGATGCATTCAGCTACTGGATACATTCAAATTACTATATTTTTTTTCCCCTTATTTTGTGTATTTTTTGCAATTTATTTCAAAGTTGTTATGCTAATCATAGATTAAATTATCATTATATTTATCCATTAATTAACCGCATTTCGTTCATGTTGTTTGCTTCTATCGTTTACTCATTTTGCAGATTTATTCAAATAAAATAAGCAACAAATAGAAATACCAAAATGCAGACAATATCGTGGAAATGTTTAGCGGTGATTGCAATCGCGATGTGCTCGCTTGTTATGGCTGTCCCAGTACCAGAAGAAAACGACTTCGATGCACTAAGTCCAGAAGATGCAGTTCCTGTAAGTAAATTCAATAAAAAAAAAATTTATCAATCGAGAATTTTCCCGGACCATTTTTTTCATAATTGACCAAAGATTTTAAATGAATTGAACATGATTATTGTTGGCGTAGTTAACTTAATCTCATTGAAGTAGATCAGCAAGTTTTTGGAGGTGATCACGCTGGGAGAGCAAAAGTCGAAGAAAAAAAATGTGGTAGAAAAGTGAAAGACCACATATCAATCATCATTGGCTCATGGCTTTTTGTACCGATAGAGCGAAATTATCAGAAAAAAAAACCCAACCTTGAGTTTGAAATGTCAACTTTTTCTCTTCGTACACTCTCGCTGCTCCAAGTGAGCTACTACTTCTGAAATTCGTGACAGCAATCTCATTTTTGTTTCATGCACAACTCGTGCATGATTTAATGATTGCGAACGGAAACGGACTTTGGATTGAGATGAAGAAAGCCTCTTGTTGCATTTTTTTGTTGCAAAGAACCAGTTATTTTTTCGGATAGTTCAGTTTACCGCTCACATGGTCATCACAGCAGCAACCATCATACATAACAAATAAGTCACACGAATATTGCTTGGCGGTGCACAAGAGCGACGACGAATACCGTAACGGCTCTTTTCTCGCTCATTCACTTATTCAACTCGTTCACTCTCCCTCTGCCTCGTCTGAAGTGCGGTTTTTACAATCGATCTTGTACATTACGCAATATGGCATTTATGCACATACACCATTGTACACATACTGAGCGGCGGCATTTACATTACAAAAAAACGTTACTTTTTAGCATTGCTCTTTTTTAGTCAAATGACACCTTCGCAAAACCATTTCTTTTGAGCTCAATGAAAGTCGTTTGCTTTTTATGAAAAAAAAACCCATTAGCTTTCGTATGACAATCATTTCGAAATGTACGTAGCATTTTTAATAATTATATGATGTACTTTTAGCATTGATGACGTCAATTAACGTCAATTCATGACCTTGGCAGTAGAGTCTTTCATGCGAAATCAGTTCAAATGATCCGAATTCTAATCCGATTCGCATCCAATTTTAAGAAATCACATCAATTCTACTTCTTTATTAAACGAACATTTTCACTTTCAAATCTATGTCGGGCCGAAAAATTACGGTTATTCAATGCTAGCCAATAAATGTGCTGTGCTTACGGTGTATTTTTTTGTGCAAACTTCGAAAACATATGCGGCACACGATAACGTTTATGTAAACTCTGTGTACAATATTGTTGAATGCTACATAATGCACACATTTTATATATATTTTTTCATCATTTTGTATTTGCAATTCGTTGGATTTTTGCATTTCGTTCATGTTTTTAATGACTTTTCCAAATGATTTACGAACACAAAAGAAATTACAAATTATACGGCCAAGTGAAATAGAGATAGACAAGCAAATAATATTTTATTCGTTGAAAATAAACGTATCTAAGCTTTGCAAGTGGCCATATAACGTAATAGTTACTATCACGCTATCAATATATATGTATACCGATGACGGCCTACTTAATTGCCATTATTTGACGGCCTAGCTCCCCATAAAAATTACGCCAAATGCAAAGTAACAAGAAATGTATTGCCAAAGGTGCGATTCCACATAAATTTTGCCATTGACAATTCAAAAGCTTTTCAATCGAATTATAATCCACATAATAGAATAGAGAAAGTTATATTCTCCAATTTGTACAAGTCCGAGTCGAAACTTCTGAAGCATTATAAAAATTAAGTCAATTTGATTTGGATTTCATCATTTAATTTTTGTGATAATCTTCTGTTTGTTCAAATCAAAAATAGCTAATGTCAGTGAATTCATCACGTACATTGATTTTTGTTTTGTTTTGATGTTTAGAACTAAGGAAAGTTTATGTCAATTCATGTTCATTATCAAGTTCACGAAAATAAAGTGCGATAACTTCTTTTCTAATGTCAACACCAAAAAAAAATGTCCGTCTAATCAATAATTTGGAAACATTCTCGTCGGGCTTATCAGTCAAAATATTTGAATATTTAACGAATACCACTAGGAGACAATGTCATGCAATAAATTCAACTGTTTATCAATTTTAGGATAACGAACTTGACGTACAAGATCGTGACAAGAGAAAAATCTTTGGACCCGATATTGGTTTTGGAGTGAAGAATGCAGTTTTGGGCTATGTCTTCGGTGTAAGTTATTGAATAAATTGACTCATTAAAAAAATACAACGTCAAACGGTGTCGCTTTTACTTTTAAAGTGACAATCATACATTTTTAATCATGACAAGAATAACACATTATGACATCACAAATACTTGAACAGTCAGGGCATCTAAAGCGAACAAATAATCAAACTAGTTACTTAGGATAGGAACACTTCAATGTAACAAAACAAAACATACTCATTTTAACAATGGCATTTTTTCAAGTTTTTTTTTCTCATTTGTTTACCATTTCCATGTATAACACGTACACCTAACAGTGCCAATTTAATGTAAATAGATTAAAATGGCCTTTAACATTGTAGAAATTAACGATTGTAATTTTGTTATTTTAAATACACCCAAATGATCTTTAGCTCCTCTGTAAATACGAAAAAAAAAAAACGATTTGACTAAATTGGTGCGTTTGGTGGTTTGTTCCACACAAAATTAACCAGATTGAAGTCAGTTGGAAAATATGTTGCTTGCAACTTTGTTCGATTCATTCACATTGATTTCAAGACGTTTCGGTCATTTTAAATTTACAAAATTGCTTTTTTCAGCAACAATCAAAGTGAAGAAAATCATAGTCATTCATTGTTCAGTGCCATTGCAGCATAAAAACTTAGGCTCATTTAAGCAAGTCCATTAGAGAATAATGACGATGTATGACTGAAATTGATCTAAAGCTAATACACACACGAAATGCAATTGGAAATAAGCCCGAAGCGATACACTATGATTTAAAATTTTTAACAGAATTAAGCACATTCATTACTGAAATCCTCCTTAACCTTAACATTATTATTTTTTTCTTGTAATAACCATTGATTGACATATCTTGTGTGCGTTTATGAACTTTTTTTTCCATAGAGGTTGAATAGAGCTTTGAGTATGTGTGTACTTTTTTTCTACCTCCGATATGCTTTATGATTCATTTATGTTCAAACATTAAGACACCTAATAAAAATTTAAGGGAAAAAAAACATCAATTTTCATTTTCTATTTTGCTATTGATTGTTCGTTCCACGCAATTGTGAACTTGTAGAAAATCGATGGTATTCTAGACGCAAAAACAAAACTATTGAATCAATTCGATGAAACAAATGTGGCTAAAAACAAGGCTGCTGGCATTGAACCACCGGCACCAATAAGTTCACTTCAACAATTATTACAAGCGGTCATTCAACCAAAACTTGCGGTAATCACATCGAAATTTGGTGCTCTTAGCGGAAGCTCAGCCGGAGGTTTGGGTTCATTAAGTGGCGGTTCAAGTGGCGGATTAAGCGGTGGTGCTCCAGTTCCATCACCAGATTCCGATGATTCTCATGCCGATTTGAATGACGACGATACGGGCGCTCCGGTCGTTTCAGGCGGTTCAGGAAATATTCTGTCATCATTTTTGAAACTTTCGGGCCCTATTCTTTCATCATCATCAAGCAGTGCCAAGGGAGGTCAATTAGTTCCAATTCCAACCGATGACGATGAAGAATAAACACACAAACACACATCTCATCCTCGGTTCACATTTTACCACAACAGGAAAAATTAATTCAACAATAAATGCCAAAATTTGTTTTCTATTTTTTTTAACAAACATTTTTTATACGTTAATTTTGTTTTTAATTTCGTAATTTATAGGAGAGTAGAGAAAAAAAAGTAATAATTCAAAATTCGAAAACAAGTCGATCCCAAAAAAAAATTGTATATCGAGGAGAATGCGTTGTAAAATCGATTTGTATGATAAATACACAGTGTGTCTAGCTTTAGTCTTATTTAATGATATGAAACGAACTGCTACAACAAAAGGCGAAAAACAAATTGTAATAATTCATTCAAAGAGGATGAGCTGCATCATCCGACCGAATTTATTTGTACGGCAGAAATTATTGTTGTGACGGCTAAATAAGAAATAGTTGACCTCTGACGAGATTTACAATTTAATTTTGTTTTATTTTGTAAATAAAATTGAACAATTGTGTTAATAAAATCGGAACTATTGGACTATGTGGAAGAAACGGACGAAATGCTAAACAATTTATTGTATGGAATTTTTGTTTTGTTCATTGACTTTAAAAAGACCCTTTATAATTTTGTTCCCTGTAAATCCCGTTAACTACACTAATCATACTTATTGACCTTGCTAGTCTCTCTGTGTGTCTCTCAAGTTCATTATTTAAAATCACGCTTACTTTACACACAAATTATGCTGTTAACCGTTGACTTAATGGCAGCATTTTGCATGCTTCGGTGATTGGATCTCTTTTTCTATTATTTCTCATATCCCATACAGAAATGGTGAGTTACTTCTGGAATATTGCAAATAACTGTATCTTTTCTAATTTGATAAAAATCGTAGAAAGTTTTTTGAATTTTGATTGAAACTTTCATGACATTTGAAAACATAAATGTAAATCTCTGAACTTTACTTTTCTTTATTCCGTTTCATTTAAAAAAAAAAAACCTTCGATTAAAGGACGAAAGCGATGTAGATAATGGTGTTCCACTTGTTCGTGTCACAAGAGCCACACCTGTCTTGCCGCAGGGAGTGACCGATGACACTCCAGATTTTAATCGTGAGATGGTCATGCTTGACATTCCCGATCAACTTTTCGGCAACTCATTCACCATTGTTACGAATATTTCGAAACTTTTCGGTGATCTAATGATGGTTAGTTGCCATCGTGTATTTGCTTTGATTCGAATTTATTCTGATGCTTTTTTTCATTTTAAATTTTCATTCACAGAGTTCAGCGCGCCGTTACGCAAATTTTGTACAATATTTTAAACCGCTGCTTGGAAAAGCACTTACAGTAAAAGGCCTGTATCCACCTCCGCCAACTACAACACCACAACCAATTACAGACACCAATGATATTTGATACATTTCTCAACTTAATTTATTTATTTAATAAAAATATTAAAACAATTTTACGATATGATGGGCGGGTGCAAAATTTTCAATTAAAGAAATTAAATTCCAAATAATTTTGTGTTTTTTTCTATGAATAGGATTATTTACGATGTCTAGCAAAATCCAACAGTGTAACTGTATTTTTATTTATTCAAATCATTGAGATCGGCTTTTTACTGTTTATCTACACAGCTTTGTCTTTTGAAAGCCTATTCAACGTCAAAATCCAACTGATCTCCCAACAGATGGTGTTCAGTGTCCACACAAAAAAGATATATGGCGTCGCCATAGAAAATCAAGCCACTTGTGTCCATAACTTTGATTATATGATCGAAAATGAATATAATAAAAAGTAACAACATTTATTTAAACTTTCTTATATGAAATTCAACTAATGTTGAAGAAAATCAGTAAAAAAATGACAAAAATGATAAAATTATGAATAATAAAGCTTGATTATGCCTTTATTATTTGTTTGTACTGATCAGTGATCAATAAAATTCACCCCACCTGATAATAGCGATTGACCTATTTTTCGTTCATCACAACTGTATTTTAACTTCAAGTTGTTAGTAGTGTTTTGTAAAGTTGAAGCAGATGTCAAGCATTGGAATAACATTATAATATCGGTGTTTTGAATTAATCTTACAGTTTGTGTTTGTGGTTCATCGATTTGTAAACAAGCGAACAATTTTCAATACAGACTACATTTTAATATTTTCCCCGAGGCATTCTTTTGAAAAACATCACTGAATGACTGTAATTAGTGTATAAAGTAATTCTAAAATGAAAATACAAACGTGGAGATGTTTGTCCTTGTGGATGCTCACCATGCTATATGCTTCAGCTATGGCTAGTAAATTGTCAAAACGAAGCCCAAATTCAGCAATTACTGTGAGTAATTCTGGAATTTCTTATTATTTACACCGATATATTTCGGAAATATTTTAAAGTGCGAAAGCATTCAAAATCTATTGTCGGTTGTCATTGAGTTGAGTATGTGGACTACAAGAAAATGGTCCACAACCTTGAAATTGAAATGTCATTTTTAATATTGCTGTAATCATCAACATTGTACACGCGACCAATGAATATATTTCTTTTTTCTCATATCTGTTTCGCTCATAATGTTAATCAACATATATTTGGAGGTTCATAAATATATTTTGATCGTTACATAATATGGCGCTGGATCTACAATGATAACGTATTATTAATGAGAACTCGTTTTTTCTCTTGCTGTATTTTAAAACATTCGTTTTTGTTTCACGTGCAATTTGTATATAGGACGATATTATTGAGATGGATGATGGTGTTCAAATTGTACGAGTCACACGTGCTACACCAGTCCTTCCGCCAGGTGTTACAGATGACACTCCAGATTTGGACAGGGTGATGGTAATGCTTGTAAGTACGATCAATTTACCATTTTTGGAGTTTTTCCAACATTTTTTATCAGAATGAATTATATAAATGAATATCATTGATAATAGGATATAACTCCTGAACTGTATGGTGATTCGGCCTCTCGCGCTTATGATATTTCAAATGTGTTTGGAGGTCTAATTATGGTAAGCAATGATTGGAATTAAATATATATTCAATAAGTTCACCAACTATTTTTTTTATTTTCAATTACAGAACACTGCACGTAGATTTGCAGCGTTCGTACAATATTTCAAGCCACTTTTACAAAAATCTCTAACTGTGAAGGGTCTATATCCACCACCACCAACAACAACCCGCCCGCCACAGACTACAACGACAACAACTGAATCTAATGATATTTAAGTACACTTCTACTCTACAAATATATTTAATAAAACCAATTTTACTTCTTGAAGTTTTATTTCATTACTCTGAACACACAATCGTTAATTCTATTATATCTCTTTATTTCATTAGGTTCAAACATTTAGTCTACTATTTAAGTTTATATTTTATTGTTAAGGAAAATCACACTTAATTTATGATTTGAAAACAAATTGTAATTACTACTAAGGTAGTACTTCAATTCTTCCATACTTTTACAAAGTTATAAAACATTGGAATATTCCAAGCAATTGGATCATATATAATTATCGTCATCAAAATGATAAATGACAAAGTGATGAGCAGGAGCGAGTGGTTGAAATTGTAACTCAAGTAGTCATAGATTTCACTGAATATAGATTGGATCAAAGTTTCTAATGTGATATTAAGTATATTTCCAGATTCTCGTTCAAATTTACAATTCAATAAAAAAAATTTAAACCAAAATGGGTATTGACAGTGATGTCGATTACAACCTGGATGTGGTCTTCTCGGAAATTGGAGACTTTGGATTATTTCAAATGTTTACAGTTTTTCTCATTTGCCTTCCGAATGTGATGTACGGTTCATATGTGATCAATTACGTTTTTACTTCGAATACGATTGAACACAGGTTAGTCCATTTGATTAAGTGACGGCTTGATTTAATGATTGAATGGATAAGTTTCATATTATTGCATTCTCTCAAAGCACTAAAAAAACGACGCAATTAGATCAGCATAAATTGCACTAATTCAATTGTTGGTTACTATTCTACCGCCAACGCTGTTAATTGGTGGTTTTGATCTACTTAAATCATGTTATTGTGTCTAAACCTGGCTATATATAGAGCGATCGAGTCGAACAATTGTTCAGTTCAGTAATTGTTGAGATAAACGTTCAGCAGCATAGACTTGCTCCTCGATTTTTTTTCCTGTTTTTATTTGTTTGCTTTAAAATGGTTTCAGTTGGGAAAAAGGGTGAAGTAACAACAACGGTCACTGAATCTGGCCGTGTTCTAAACAGTTTGGCCAGAGGCCGTTTACTTAGAGCCGGAGTACGTGTACCTTATTATATCAAGGGTGATGTGAGTTATATCAAAAATTTTTATTCCATTTTTTTAATTTCTAAAACAAAGAAGAAAAAACAAAAAAAAGTAATTAAATCGATATCAGAGTAAAAGTATATACATTATACTTATATTTTTTAATTTCATAATTTTTTTTCAATATTATTTATAGCCAACATATTCGTACACCCGAACGCAAACCGTTAAAGCAGGACAAGTTCGAACAGAGGTATTGACCGAGGAAAAATGGAAAGTGACTTATTGATATGGATGTTACATTTTTTGGTAAATATCATTTAGCAATCGCATGTTTATTTTTGTTTGCATTTTTTTCTCGAATCATTTCAGGTACACAGACTTGCCATTCCAAGTAGTTTGTCGCTGAATATGGTTTTTCTTCAACACACAATTGATTACTAATATATTATGTCTCAACGAAAAATTTCGATTTTATTTTAAAATTCTTTCGCTAATAAAAAAAATATGCACAAATTTAAATCGAATCAACTGTTTTATTTTGCATACGTAATTAATTTATGGTCTGAAGTACGATATTTATTTCCGGCATACCAGTTATGAAATTTATATTTGAATATATTGTAGACCCACACATTGTGGGCATTTCATTTAATGCTAAATTAATTCTAATTTATGTGTTCAATTGATCATGTAATTTTCCAAAAAAAATTTTTTGCTTGAGTGTCAATCAATTATTAATTGCAGCTATCTAAATACATCGTTTGAAAATTATAAAAAAGCTCTTTAACCAAATATGGAATCTCACATTAAATAGACAATTGAATTCTATGCCACAACGATATTTTATAAGTGTTTCATGATAATCACATTTACGGTAAAAAATGTACAATTTTATTGAGTCAAGAATTCAAACGCATTAATTAAAATTGTAACAAATTCATTTGATTGAATTCGATTTAATTGTTTCAATATCTACTATATAATTGGCAGCAAAATTCGTAGAAATTCCGAGTTAAATGTTTTTGAACTCAAGGTTTTGTCTAGATTGCTAATCAATCGATCGTGCATCGTCTCTATTAACGAATAAATATTATATTCTGTCCAATTTGAACAATTTCCAAATATCATTTAAATTATGGTTAAGTTCTAAAGTCTTATCTGTTCCAATTGATTATCTGGATGCTCGATAATCGTAAGACACGCGTAGCTGTGAAGATAAAAAAGACAATTGGAAATAAAAATGGTTTGTGATTTTCAATAAATTTATGTGTAACTTTCAGTCTTTATTAAACGATGTCTTAGATTTAATTTATACATTTACTTAAAACGGCAAGTGGATGTGTTCGCTTGTAAAGCATTTAAAATCACACGTATGTATTCCAATTGCTTCCATCTTCGGGTAATAAGTTGTTTGTCACGAGTAAAATAACATCAATAATCCACCAAATGCCCAAGCCACCTAATGTGAGCAATTTTCCGACTGCTGTTCCTGTTTGGCCCAAACAAAATCGATCCATTCCAAGGAAACCAAGTAAAATGCTATACAACAGTGTTGTTACAAAATAATGTTCGGTGTACTTGATGCATGGAACGCCCTCACGATAGAATGACCTTGATCCATAGCATTCGATTTCGGGAAATACCGTACAGGGCACTTTTGTTTTCTCCACATCATGATAGTTAGCACCGCCAAATTTAATGCATCCATGTCCCATTTCATCGCGTGCCGTCTTATTGCCTTTGTGGTCATAGGGCTCTTTGCAATCGAGAAATTCAATCGGAACAAATGAACATCGTACAAGTGGTGAAAGTGGATTATAATCGGAATCACTTGGCGAACGATTTTGTTCTTTGTCTTTTTGTTGTTGTGAGGCAAATGATTTGCCAACAATTAATAGAGAAAACACAAACAATAACTCATGATACATTTCTTTTTGTTGTAAAATAAAATTCAGTGATTTCTACGAGATCAATCTGAATGTACTATGCTACCACTTGTCTTTTGTTTATTTTCACCGTGACAGTGACAGTTTGAGCGAGCAAAAGTGAGCAACTCTCCTTTCAATTGAAGTATTTTCACAATAGATGGCGCTGGGCGGTACAATATTTTCAAAACACACACATTACATCGAGTCGAAAATCGTCGAAATGTTTTTTTATTTATTTATTTTCTTTTTGTGGACAAACTACAACATTTATTACACACTTAAAACATATATTTATTCATAATAATATTAAAATTGTTTACTTATAAAATCATGTGATTCCATGCGATTATTTTGGGATTTTTTTTTTTCAATGACTTAAAGCCAAAATTTGATGTACTTTTTCTTGCATTAATATAAATCATTTTGTTAATATAATAGTAAAATTATAATTGCTGTCTCTGCTGTTTTTTCCTCTTTTCTGCTTTAACTTTTCCTCCTTGTTTCCGCTTAAATGTTTGTATATAAAATTATGAAATTAAAAAAAAAGATAAGAAAAAAACCGTCTAATGAATTTCGGTTTTTGAATTTTTGTTTTTGTGATCTTGTTAAATAGGGATAGATAGATAGAGTCTTGTTCTTGTTGTACATTTAATGCGTTGCGCCCGCCTTGTGTTCTAAGAATAAAAAATATGTTCCAGCTGCATACGCGATTGTGTTGAACAAACCGAAAACCTATGGAAAATGAGAGAAAAAAACACGCCAAATTAAAAAGAGTGAGAATTTATGTGTGTGTGTGAATGATGAAAATGAAGAGAGTGTATAATTTAAACTTACGGCTGCTACAATATTCGAAGCACGTCCCTGGTAATTAACTCCGACCCAGTTTATCAATTGGAACAATGTTGTGATGGCATAGCCAATCGTAAAAATGCCAGTGTTGAGAAGTTCCTGTGGAATTGAATGAGATGGGAAAAGACACGATTATAAACGGTAATTCAAATACCATTAAACATCGCAAATAGAGAGAAACAAAACCGCTCGAGAGTAGTACGCACATCACTACGTGACAACGTGATGGGTTCGTTGGAAGAAGAAGAAATTGAAAAAAAAGTGTCATATATGAATTATTATAGCCGATTCTTGAGACAAGAATAATAAAAACAAAACAATCTGGAATTCGAAAGTGGCAGAAAAACCAGCGACACGGAAATGTGCACATCAATCTAATTTAAATTCAACGTAAAGACGCGTGAAGAATAAAATGTCAATCGAATAAAATTCAAATGTTTTAAAACTTTTCACGACGGAAATCAACCCAATTGAATTGAAATAGAAAAAATCTTTGTTCAATTGAATTGCGAAACGGTTAGCTAATATTCGACGAGGCTACGATACAAAATTGAAGCATCAAAACAAAGTCTGTATTTTATACAGCTCATCAAAATCATAAGAAACAGGCGTTCGTGTATCTTTTTGAAATTTTATCGATTTCAAGTAGACCGTGAATTTGAATGCGTGCAGCATATAGAAACAAAGTGACAAAATATTTATTGAGCTTCAAATATTCATATGTGTAATTATAATTTACTTTTCTACTTTATCGTCGTCGTCTTCCAGTTTCGATGAAATTAGGGGAAACCGATCTATTATTTATTTCGATAACCTCGATTGATTTTGGTTCGTTTAAATTGAAATGATGGCAGATACTCACCGTTAATATCCAATTGACCGATAAATTGAGAACCTCACGAATGCCCAAAAAGTAAATGGCAATCCATAATAGCGTGGCGATGAATGCGGTTACAACGACAAACAAAAACCAATGCGTCGATGTAATCAGAGCCGGCGATGCCAATGACATACAAATGATACCCAAAACCTGTAATTTTCATGAAAATATTTAGTTTTTAGCACTATTATTATTCGAATATTTGTTGTTTCATTTTTCACATTAAATTTTTGGCACAATGAACTCATTCATTCTTTTTGGTACAGTCGGTGTGAAATGAAAATTATTCAAACTTTTTATTGGGAATGATGTAATCGATGACGTCGAGTCAGCCGTTTTACATGTCTTATTGGAAACACCTATGGTGCAAAAAAAATTTGTTCTTGAACACCCACTGATGACAACTTTGAAAACGAGATGAAAACAAACTCACTCTGTTCGGTGAATAACGTTCATTCTTGTTTGATATAGACATTGATGCCGAATTCATTCACAACCATTGATTTGTTAGTTTTGCATTTAATTGATGTTCAAAAATCTCTGGTCTGCTTCGTATCGAGGCTATTCGAGACGGTAGTAAATTTTAGTCAAACACCAAAAAAATTACATTCCTTAAAAAGAACTGCTGGAATTTTGTGTGAATTAATTGGCTGAAAATATTTCTAACATCTCATCGATTCCACCTGACTGAAACTTTGATTTTCTTAAATGGAATTTTACATATTAAAAATAAAAATGTTTTTTTTTTTTTTAAATCAAATTGTACGTTGAATTATAAATATTTTTGTTTAAAGCAAGTAAATAATTGTAAAATGACTAATTTATTGAAACAAACGGATATGGCGTCAAAGTAAACGTAAGAGACTTTGCAAATTACATTTTATGAATAATGTCATCAGAAATAGCCGAGACAAAGGTGCGTTCTTTGATAAAGCACACAGTTAAAAATAATAACACCAATTTTACTCAGAATTGTTATCTTATCCGAATGTGTCTTTGTTGCTATCTTCTCTAGAAATATCTGAATCAGAATGCCGCTTTAACCTTACAAATTTGAATATGATTAAATTACTTGAGAAAAAATCGTAATTTTTTTCTTGTTTCATCGCAAACAATTGGTTGCGTTTGATTGTAGAACGTTGTGTTTGTTTAAAACAATAACAACAAATCATGTCCATAATCTTGACCAGATTTATTCCATTCGCGAACCAAATTGGCTGTGATAAAAATCTCGATCATGATTTCGTCAAAAGAAAGCAAAAAGAAACCATTGGCTAGCAAAATTATGGAGAGAAAAAAAAATCATATCTTATCGATTCAAGGGAGATTTCGAAATTGGAGAAGAAAAAAAATTGCACGATAAAAAAGAGATGGGATTTCATCTAAATCAAGACTAAAGTGTTGATCTCGAGTGATAGTCTTTGTTTGGTTATGTATACGCATCGTCGATGCTATATTAGAAAGACACATATTTATGTATAAAATATCCGAACCGGTTTCTGGAAGAAAGAGAAATGTTTCGCGATGTTCATGGAAACGTTGTGAAAAACAAATTCACACTGCGCATTAGAAAATGCCATAGAAACAAATACAATAGCGTAATAAAGTCGCCCAAAGTGAAACAAATGACCGCTAAAATCGAGTAAAGCCGTTGCGTCGCACCGAAGTGCCGATTGTTCGTGATTTTATAATTGCACGCTTTTGATGTTGAAACAACTGTTTTTATTTTCATTATTTCATCGCACTCGTCTATCAAATATGTTAAAGCAACAGCTTTCTGAACGAACACATTGGTCTGAATGTAAACGAGATCTTATAAATTGTTGGCTAGAAAAGATGAAAGTCTCACGTTGGAATGTTCCAATAACTTGTTTAATGACGCCCTATCTCAATTTAAAAATGTTCAAAAGAAGAACAAAAAACAAATCGCAATCTTCATAGTTTCGTGAGTTACACATAGTTTTTCACACTTGACCACAATTGAACACAATTTGCAAAGCAATTTTATTCAATCTTTGTGTTCACTGCACTCAAGATTCGTTACTTAGTATCTGAGAACTTTCGTTATTATTTCGCTCTTTAAAGTTTAAACTGCAATTTGATGTTACTACAATTTGGTGCTCGGTTGTCCAGCGTAGCAATGTAAAAGTCAAGATTAGTCCATAAATAGCGTACGACTAAAGTAAATGGTTTGTCTAGTGAAAGTGCAATAAAATCCAATTTATGAATGTTACAATGATTATATTTATCCCGTTCAAGTTGAAAGCACCACGATACAGAGTCGATAATGTTATTATCAAGTAGAATTCTTGCGTTCACCATGCTGTGCTTTCGAATACGACGCTCTATGGCTCTGTCAATTTTTCCCAGGCATTTTTCTGCCACACATTTCCTCCGGCCCGCTTGTATGCAAATCATTCAATTTCCTCTCTAATAATAACTCGTTAAAAAAATGCTTTGCCGATTTCTTTTATGAGCGAAAAAAAAATGTGAAAAGAAAAACTTTGGCCTTATTTTGTTTTATCCAATTTTATGTAAATTTTTTAAATATTAGCTTGATAACATTGGCCGTTATTTCACCCAAATGAAATGCTAGAAAGAGAAAAGAATTATCGTATTTTTCCGTTTTATATGTGGATCCATTGTTGACGTTCAATAAAAGACGTCTGATGGACGAGTGCCAAGAGAATAGAATCCAATTTGTCTAAAATCATTGTGCAAATTGTGGTTTGTGTTGAGGTGTTGTGAGCACACAGGAAAAGAGATTGTCACACTATTTAAGGTTTGGTCGCATGCAAGAATGTCTTTTCATAACATTTGAAATGGCCTCGCGAGAACAAGTCATCAAGCGGAAAATGCACTGAGCAAAAAAAAAAAAGAAATTCGAGATTGACAACGAACGCGAACGATATGGAAATTAATTAATTCATGCGATTCGCTTTGCTCACGTACATATTTAGAAGCAAATAAAACACACACCGATATGAATCGTAAGATATCGTAAAATTACCGAAGTCATTACACTCAGAATTGAAATTCAAGTCAGTGGAAAGAGAAAAAAAAACAAACAAACATGGGTGAGTTCAAAAGAAGACGAAAAAGAAAGAGAGAATTCCACACAACGATGAACGAAACGAGTTTGAACAACAATTGGCAAACATGAAACTCAATATGCAATGGATTATGTTTTCTTCTTGTTCTGATGCATAACGCAAATGCCTTTTGTTTTAATGTGCTTCCATTCATTGGAGTAGGTCATCAAAATACATTTGTTTTGTACTTTTTCTCTCCTTCTATCACTCCTTCTTTCTCCCCCATCTCTCTCTCTCTCTCTCTCTCTCTCTCTCTCTCTCTATTTCTTTCGTTCGCTCGTTCGTTCGCTCTCTTCAACATTTTTACGATTTCTCGCCGCCAAACCGCTCTATGTTTGTTTACGTTTTGTTTTTAATTCATAAAAATTGCCTGCTTTCCGTTTGCTAGTCACGTACACAAACCGAATCGCAGAAAATCATTTTCGTATACACTATCCCCCAAGTGAACGTACGAAAACTAATAACAAACAGACAATTCTACGATCATGATCAATTTTCCAATTCATCGAAACATTTTATGCATTTTTGATGAATCTATTTCTGGTTTTTCGATGAATTTTTCACACAGCCATTTCATTTAATACATCCATTCCGTTTCAAATGGTATTTCATGAGCTCTCATATTTCTCGCTCAATTCAAATATAGAAACAAATCATTGTTAATTTGTTGCAGTTTCAATCAATTTAGATTGCTAAACACAGAATTCGAAAATAATCGGATTCTAAATCTTCTGCGAGACTATTTCAATCCACGCGCAACTTAATTGCTTTATTTTTACACGTATAAGCTCATTCTATATGTATGGCTTTACGTCAGAGTGCATTTCACTTCAAGCGAATGCGTAAAAAAAATGTTTACCGTTCTTTTTAATTGGCGAATTCTTCAGCATGTGAATGTTATTTGAGAGCAAATTAAAAAAAGATATTTACGTCGAATTTATTCGCGAACAATTGAACGTGGAGATGACTACTCCCGTTAATATTCATTTTGCAATTGCCATAATAATGAACCGAAAAACTCAGACTTGAACAGCACCCACCCGACTTCAATATAATCGAGAATGGCTTTAATACGTGCATTAAGACCCTCAACATTTTACTGGGTGCAATTCGTTTCTTGTTTACGGTGTTTATTTTGGGCAATTAGATGATGTATCCAATAATAGCAATCGACGCGATAAAAGTCATCAAAACAATTGCTTGATGTAGTCAAAAGGTTACACAGCATGAACGGGGGAACGATTGTTCAACGAATTATATTCGTTTAAAATTGCATCGACGATTTGTTTTGAGTGGCGGTTGTTTGTCAAAAAGGGACGGCAAGCAAAGTAAATTAATATGAGTGTGTTTCACCGATTCGATTCGAAATTCACACATAATTTAATGTAGCCTTGACTTCGGATTGCTATTTCAATTAACATCCAGTGAAAATCACAAACTACTGCACACTCATTTCGAATGGCGATAGAGGTAAAGCCGTGAAACGTTGCCGCTGTCGAACATTACAATGTTCAAATGACATCACATCGTAAACGAAAAGAACTAAAACTAACAGTCGTATTTTATTTACGCTGCAAAAATAATCCATTAGCGCACTAAACTTTAATTATATGCGACACGTACAGAGAGAGAGCGAGAGAGAAGAGGTGCCACTCGAAAATTTATGGATTCTCAAAGTGTATTTTGGTACATCGGAGTGAATTTCGAACGGAATTTACGGTGACAATATCGAAGAGTCTAACATAAAAATAGACATTCAAGTGTCAGACAAAAGAAAAGATGTCAAATTGTTCGTTTTTGGTATTCAATTCGAGAAATTCACCGCCGTCGTTTCGTTGAATCAAAGCGATAATCGATCAAAGCGGACAATTTATTTCGAAACGAAACTGCATTAAAATAGTTGATGAATCCACAAAACGAAGTGCGAACCAAAAACAATGAATGAAAAAAGCAACATGACGATTATAATAAATCATTTTGAAAGCAAACCAAAACATTCAAACAACCAGACTAAACAACAATTTTCTAATTATCGACTGAAAATGCTTAAGAATCGATTTAACATTTACTTGAATCTTTTATAGTTGTCATGAAAATCATTTTATTGCTTGCACACAAAAATGCAAAAATGTGCACATGGAAAAATAATGGGCCACACCATGCCGTCTTCAATCGCACTTCAATGTTATTTATTAGCAACGATTCGATACATTCATGGAAATGTAATTGTCTACACTACGTTGGGCGTTTGCTTGGCATTTATTTCAATAATTTAATTTCCACCTACGGCCATATAACATTGGTTACGTCGAAGCACCTCATTTTGACCAAAACGTGTATTTAAAATAGTCCATCAAAATGTTGAATGGCAAATATTTAGCGTGTCGTTAGGCCAGTTTTCCCTTTCGTCGATCACATTATTTTTCGATCATAATATGCGAATAAAATGAAACACATTCATTCTCACTTTTAAATTTCCCATTTGAAATGAGTGAACAAAAAAAATTTGGTTGTAACATTTGTTTCGGTTCCACTTGCAGTAAAATCTCGGCATTAGTTTTGGTATCGCGAAATGAGATTGGCATGCGTTGAGAATCGTAATGCGCAATCGGCGTATGTGTGTGTGTGTGCAGTGAGCATAAAAAATCATTTGAGAATGTTTGGAATGCAATCGCATGCATTTTTCAAATGTAGATATAGATAGAAAAAGACGTTCACCGCGCCGATACGAAACGGTTTTTGTGTATGGCAAAAATAGCAAATGTGTATTTTCAGATGCCTTCTCTTTTTTCATATGCCAGAGAGACATGAGGCTGTAAGGCGAAGGCAAATCATGTAAATTTCGTGTGTCTCGGCGTATAATCGCGGCTTGAACATAAAATGAAAAAAACAAAGACGAGTGAAAAGTAAACATGCAATTTTTATGTGTTTTGCTTACCGTTAGCGATGCGGGTCAATGACCCAGAGTAAAAAAAAGTATGTGCAATTCGGCTACACAGTTTCGCATCGGCACAGAAGAAAGAAAACATTTTGTTTATGTGGATGTTTTGACTGTGTGGTGTGATGACACATTCCCTTTGAATGTGCTCCGCTCGCAATGATCGTTTTGAAACGTTCTTATCTTTAACGAAATGTTGATTATACAGAATTATTCAACAGAAAATCGATTACTAAACAACATTTATACGATAGTCATGTATCATACTTCTTTTATTTACCTCATATTTGATATTTTCGAACGTACAATTTTAATGGATTTCAATGTGTGTTTGTTCATTAATTATTGACAAATTGTCACTCCTATCTATGATGATTATTCACTTCGCTCAATACGCGCGTTCATAATTTGTACAATGGCACCAAATTGAATTTGTGCTACAAACAATGCCGATCATTCATACTTAATGCAAACGTGCACCGGCATGCGATGAGTTTGTCAGAAAAGCTGCTGACAATCAATTTCAATTTGGTTTCCCTTTCACATTATTAATTTTCATTTTTCAATTTTCATGTTCAGAACTGTCTGGCGAAAATGCCATTTGAAAAACGGAATTTTAATCGTGAAAATGGTTCAAGGTCAGTTTATAATATCGCTCGAGGAAGCTTTTTTATCGATTTTATTGCGTATAAATTTTCTTTTCTATTTCGCTCTGTGCTCGTTTGGAAACCATTCGAAAGTGCTTGTTCAGTGCCAGGTGGTGCTAAATATAAACAGGTAAAATAAACATTGAAGCAAATAAATAATTAAAAGAGGTTGCAAAGAATGAATTTGTTTGGTGTTTCGTCATGTCTGAGCGCGGACACTCCGACACTAATACCAAACTAATCGATTGAAACGGTTGGTTTTCTCACCGCAACTTTATTTTCAATTAAGCTCTAGCTCGTTTATGCCTTTCAACTTGATTAAATCAAAAATGCAATAAAAGCGATGTTGCGTACACATGCCTGGTTCTCACAACGCACACTTGACTCTAGTTATTATCTAATTATTGTCAATAGAATCAAGTTTCACTTGTAGTTTCGATTTGGTCAACAAACGCTCCCATTCGACTGTACTAACGTCAATGCAGTCTTATGTATGCATATTTTAGCTCTGCGCCAGAAATAACAACGAAGAAAAAAAATGCGCGGGATTTTTTTTAACAAGCAACGGCTGTTTTGAAATTAATTTCAATTTCATTTGTGACTTCCAATATAGTAGTTTGTTTAAAATCCCGTTCGCCTACATCTCGATAAAATCATGTCTCATTCAAATTTTGCATACGTTTACCGACGTTGTTTCACATGTAAGTATGGATCGATCTCTCATACACACGATCGTGCCATTTTGGCATCCCGAGATCATTGCGCCATTTGGCATCCTAAAGTGTCGAAATTATTCAAGCGAGTTCGCACATTGATGAAGAAAAAAACACATTAAGTTTGAGTTACGCAACTGACAGAAGCATCGTCTCGTGAAAATCGAAATCTTTTCAAAACAATAACATCACATTCATCTCGTTTCTGGTCGAAAATTGGTCAACGGCAAAAAATGGCGGGCTAAAGTGCGTTTGGCAATTTAGTTTTTCAAACGGTTTTTCTTCCTTTAATTAAGCGCTTTTTTTCATAATAATATGGAAAACCTGTGCTAATTTAAACAATTTTTTTCTCAAAAGATCCATGTGTCAGTTGAACACTTTCCAAATAATAAATTGGCTAATTCACTTTGTAGCTCGTGCTGATCAAATAAACATGCCTTAATTAATCCAAAAGTAATGATCTATTTTAGTTTTCAAGCCATTCTCGAGGCTGTCATCGCTGAAGCGTACGTAATCTTCCAAAAAAAATAAAATAACATTGAAATCTGAGCAAATCACGTCAACGAATTTATTAAAAGGCATCAATCCAAAAATGTACAACAGACGTATCAAAAACATTGACAGTAGGCAGTAACGACAGTTGTATGCACATTGCGCGACAATAATACCGTGAGATGTACAAAAGATTCTCGAACACCGTGCGAGTAGAATGAGTAGTGAAAAAAACACACACTTGTTATTTAAAATGTTTTGTTTATCGCTATTGTGGCGCGGTGCAAGCAGTCAACAACGACTCACTCTACTTAATTTGTGTATGTGTTTTTTTATTTAACATCGTCGATGATGACGACGTTCATATATTTTTGAAATAATCGTATCGAAATGGATTTGGTGCTACTTTGGTGTATCGTCGTCTTCCAACTTTATGTCAATTTAAAAATAAAATTTTGTTCGAAAATGATGAAGAATATGAAACATCGCACACGCTCAAGTTCATTTCAAGAATAACACAAATATCATTTGTGTTTGTGACAAGATATACGATTCGAATTTAGAAATCGACATTTATTGAGTACGCGTTATTAATTTGATGAATAATTTATTAACAGCGGACTGATATCGGATGGATTTAGAATGAGAATTTTTGATAATTTTTGACAAGGCTATTTTAGAAGATAAAAAATAGATGAAAGAGACCACTTTAACCTCATTTTAAAGGGTGCCCCATTGAAAAATCAAAAGAATTGGGAAGGACACACCTAATTATTTGCATTGAACTCAATATTTACTGCACAGGTGTGCACATGGAAAGTTTTCCGAATCGATTGTGACGCTCACATTCAGTCGTAAAAGACAAAACAATCTTGAATTGCATATTGATTTTTGCGGTTGCGCTGACTTAATAAAATTATTATTTCTACACTGACTTAATAGACATCGGCCTATTTGATGTAAATGAATGAGATGTAAATGGATATGAGTACAAGTAATGAATAATATGACCTATCGATGGGTCTAAATATACACTCACCAATTGTATGAGTTTCAAAAGTCCGGGCACGGATTGAAAATAAGCTGTATTGAATGTGATCCAACTTAATGGGCCAGCTGCTGATTGTTGTGGTGCAGCAGGTTTTGGTGGTGTTTGGGCGTTATTCCGATTGCCCGATTCTACAGTTACGACAGTTTCTGACATCATTTCAGTGTTGTTTGTTAACCGTTTATCTCGAACGAAAAAAAAAATGTGTATTCTCTTTGTCGCGATGCTGTGAAAAATTTACGGTCTATTTTGTTGTAAGATTTCACCTTAAAATACTTGTTTTCTTTTTTTGTCTCTTTTGTATAATTAATATTCTGAATAGATTCAAGTGTTTCGAAATCTAATGTTCTATGACAATTGAATGTCGCACACTTTACTTTTCTGTGAACCGTTTTTTCTTTCTCGAGAAAACTTCGTACATACACAAAACGTAAATTATTATTTTTTACAATTTATGGTAGAATACACCTTTTTCTCTTTACAAACACAATTATTTTGTGTAAATATTATGCGACCGAGAATCGCAATGGTACGGCGATGAATTTTAAATACGAAATTGTGAGGCACAAGAAGTTAATGAAGAGAGAGCGAGCAACTTGTTGCTGCCGTGGATGCAAATGTTCGACTGAATGAAATTAGTTTTTAGAAAGAGAGCTTAGCCGCCGACTAAAGCAATGTGTAGTACACACCAGTCGGGTATCACATCTGTGTATTGCGGAGCTTGAAACGTATCGATATTACGCTTCACCAACGGCGTCGGCGGCCACTGCGACGACAACAACGCATTCAATACCATGTGTGTACAGTACATAGATGCATTTCGTTCTCGTCGATCCGCAAAGCCAATATCAACAAACCGAAGTGAAAAAAAAGATTCAAAACAAAAATATTGAAAACGTTTCTCTTTTTTTCATTCCGAACAACAAAAACAATACCGTAAATCGCTTTAGTTTCATTCTACACGTTGAATGGCCATAAGTTATCATCTTGCCAGTATGATTTTGTTGTTGTGTAAACGCTGAGCGGTGCGACATACATTCAAAATCAAAAATGAACGGAGAAAGAAATAGCAAAAAGAAAAAAAAACTATAAAGAGCTGAATTTATTAAATAAACTTGCTGTAATTTTCTCTTTTATTAACTAAAAGAGTCTGGTTTTTTGAGCTTTTTTCATTTGCTCGCAGAGAGGTTTCTTGAGATCCCAGTTTTACCATCAGATAAAGAAAAACCGTTAGAAAATTTAAATGCAAACCAGAATGCCCACGACAACAGAATCAATTTTAAATGTTGTTTGTTGCTCAGGTGCCATTACCCACCGAACCAACCAGTGCATATTCATTTGATCAAAACGCTAACATATGCCATCGGTCATGCACACATTATGTATTCCTCTAATATACTCTCTTCCGTTTCACTCAATCAATTATGGAAATTATACCGAAAATCATATGGAAATGAAATCGAATCGACCTAACAACATGAAAATAACCACCGAGAAATATTCTATAAAAGTTTCATCGAGCCATTTGTAGTTGCCAAGTGCATTAGTTCAAATAGCATCGAGTTCTAACTTTTCATTAACACTTAACGGACGAAAATGACGACAACGCTTTTGTACGGTGACATAATGTTGAAACACGCAAACATAGTGGTTATACGTGTATAATAGTTTTGATTCATGGTAAATGCGACACCAAGCGCGCACTCCACTCGATTGGACATTAATCAGCCCACTCAACAACGGCTAAATATTAACATTTACCCAACGATGCGAAATATAAATAAAACGCTTTTATAAATTCACGTTTATTGTGGTCATATTCGATGTTATTGATTTTCAGTGGGAATATGCGTGTGTTTGTGTACATGTTTTTTCCAACTTTGAATTTAGGTTGCAGGACTAGCCATAGTCAATCTGATAAATAATTTCCGAGCGGTAGGAAAGTAATAATTACCTTTCGGGCAGTATGTTATATTCAAATAGTTCCAAATATTCCACTTTTATTGGGCCATTGAGTTTCGTTTTTCTGTCGATTGTGGCATAAATCAATAAAAAGTGTTTATTAAATACATGAATATTTGACATACATGATTTCGAATAAAATTTGATGTTTTTTTTTTCAAAAAATTTTTTTGTGTCACACTCAATCCAATTACCTTCAAATCCGCCATGGGGAAGGTTCATGATTTAAAATTATATGATTTAATCGCGTGACAACCAACTCAATACACTTTTATCGAGTCATATTGGTGTGCTGTTTCAGAATAATAGGTTTGACGTGTCTTGTTCTCAACGGCAATAACTATTCTGGTGAACTATGTTGGTGAACTATCGTCATAGAATGAAATGTTCGCATAGATATATTAACAGTGGCGATTCGGGTTGGAAAACAAAGCGCAGTAAATCTTGATGTGGCGAAATTTTTCTGCCATTGTGTTGCCATGAGGTGTGCCGGCATTGAATCGTGTAAGCATTTATGAAGAATCTTTTCTTTTTGTTCCACTCGAAAAAATGTGATGCGCTAGTGACAAGCCCATGCCACGAGTTGTTCATTTCTTAAATCTGATAGCGCTCCCTGGAAACGGGGAAAAAGGCTCATTAAGCTCTTAAAACTCATTTTCCCGATAAAATGCGATAAATTGTCGCTATTTGTTGGAACATCGGTATCGTTGTCAACACTATCAACGCTTGTATTGGAAACACCGGCGAAGAAAAAAAAACAATTCATCAATCAAAGAAAAAAAATTGTTCTTCATAATTTTTGCACTACATATTTAAATTGTAAAAATATTCTCACAACTGTATTTTCATCGCGATGTTCTTTCTTTTGTGCTTCAAATGATTCTCTATTTGCACATATGAAGAAACATATAATTTTCACAACAATAAATTACATACGCGCACGGCACACATAACAAATACATACGACTACCCAGTGTGACTTCAATCGACGAATAATGGAGATGCAAAACAAAAAATTGCACACTTTAATTGTTTTCAGCATGAGAATTTATTATTTCGTTGAAAATATGACAACGCACACCATCATCATTTGTTTGCATGTGAATGTTCAATCGAATGGAGAGAGAGAGAAAGCAAAAAAAAAAAGAATCAACATTGTGGAAATATCGCGGTAAAATAGTGAATACAATGAAATTGATAAAGAAGTAGAACATCCGAAAGAATTTTCGTTTAAAAAAAGAAATTGAGTGTGAGAGTTAGGCGATCGTCGTCATTTTATCGATAGATGGAACTGTCGCTGTGGTGTCAATTGAGTTTCGGTGTCAGTTGAGTTGCTCATCTGAATGGCGGCGCTGGCATCTTTGACAGTTCGAAATCATGCTAATGTTAAAAACCGACATCGACTTCCTTCTTTTTATGTACGGTCTTTATCGCTGTATGTTTGCGGTCCGCTAGATACAAAATTAAATCAAAGGTAATTTTAGTTCATCGATGTCGGAAATCGACAAATTTTTATGAAATTCATTCCATAAATGCTGTACAATTGTTTTGTGTTAAACGTTTTTTCGATTTTTATTGGGATTTTTTGCGAAAAATGTGTTCAAAGTGACGAACGGTGAACGACAATGGTCTTCATACAAAATGCCATTGACAGATAAAAAAATGCGTGTACAAGTGACTTATTTGATTTGGATTTTTTAAATGAAATAAAGTGTTAAACTACATTCCACGCATACTGAACGCCCAGAATTGATATCGATTTGTGTAAAATGTAAAAGAAAGCGAAAAAAACATGATAATTATTTGCGCGCGTTTGAATGTTTACCACCACTTGACAATTGCACAGCAACACGTTTATACATTGTAGTGACTTGCATCGACAAAATATCTCATTTGTTTTCTCCCTTTTTTCTTATCGTTTTAGACAAAATGGTTCGCATGAATGTTTTGGCCGATGCCTTGAAATGCATCAACAATGCTGAAAAGCGTGGAAAACGTCAAGTTTTGTTGCGCCCATGCTCAAAGGTCATCATCAAGTTTTTGACTGTCATGATGAAACATGGATACATTGGCGAATTTGAAATCGTCGACGATCACCGTTCCGGCAAAGTTGTCGTTAATCTAACTGGCCGTCTAAACAAATGCGGGGTCATCTCACCAAGATTCGATGTTCCAATCAACGACATCGAAAAATGGACAAACAACCTTTTGCCATCACGTCAATTCGGGTGAGTTCATTTTACGGCATGCTTCAATCGCATCGATCTTAAAACTAAAGTGTTATTGCGCCAGAATTTTCATTCAAAAACAACATTTTGACTCCCTAAACAATGTAAAAAAAGAATTTTTTTTAAAGTGCTCAATAACAAACCTAACCTCAATTTGTGCCATCCGTTTTGACAATCCTGACTTGTTTTCTTTTTCTCATTTCAGTTACGTTGTGTTGACCACAAGTGGAGGTATCATGGATCACGAAGAAGCCAGACGAAAACATCTCGGAGGCAAAATCCTCGGTTTCTTCTTCTAAACACAATATAAACATTAAGAGGAACTACGTTACTTCTTTTTGATTTCGAAACATTAAATAAAAGAAAAAAAAAACAAATACCAACCTAAAAAGTGTTCAGAAAGTGTTGTTTTTTTATATCAATTGCTACTGAATTTGATTCAAATTAAATTCGATTGGAAATATTTGCAGGTTTTGTGCGATTTTTGAAATTGGAATTGATTGTATCACGTAAAAGTTTCATTAAAGTTCATTGTTGAATGATTGAACATTTATTTTTGCTAGGATCAAGAAAAACCACCGATGAATCCATGAATAGATGTTAAATTTTGCAGCGTGACAGGAAATGTCACCGACAGGAATTCAATTCAGAATATTATAGCTATTGGTACCAGACATTATATTGAGATATTTTCAGCCAGATGAATCAGCTCAGCCAAATATCGTCAGGAGCTGAAATTGAGTGAAAACAATGGAAGTGATGGTTATAATAACACTTACATTGCTACAATCACTATAACAATCACTTTTATTGTTTTCACTCCATTTCAGTTGAGGCTGAAAACATCTCAATATAATGTCTGGTATCCACATGATAAACATATGTGCACAATTTGGATCCGCTTGATTGACCATTGAAAAGCAAAGAAATTGAATTCTAAATTGAGGAAAGTTAATTCAAGTTTTCTTTCCGGTGGAAATATTGCAACACGATATTTGAACTATAAGACAGATACACGGTAGTTCTAAGTCTTGGATTTGCTTCGATGTTGTAATGGTTCTCTTGAGTACAATTCTGTCGATGTTAATTGATATCAAGCCTCTGTTTGTGGAACCTTCTTCTATTTTATTTTTTTTACACTTTTCACAACTACATACCGGCTCTTGTCTTTAAGAGAATGTTTTATATATTTTTTAGATGCTATTTATGGTAACAATTTGAATGATTTGATTAGTAGTAGTATACCATTTGAATTCACGGCATTTAAACTGAACCAATTCAATTGGCTTTATGAAGTCACCACTTGGATCGTCGATGATTTGCATCCTTGGCCAAGTGCCTTTGAGCATGTTTTTCGGCACTCGTAATTTGATTGGAAAAACGAAAAACATGTCCAAGTAAAAACATTGCCGTAAAAACGCTGAAATTAGAACCCGTCTATAGCCGAGTTAAATCGCAAAAGTGGCAATTGGAATTGTTGACAATCGTAGAGAGCGTGCAAACATAATGCACTCTTGCACTAGTACGCAATATGACCTGCCATCGCTTGTATTTGAAAATTTTATTCAACTACCTTACTCTTGAATGCTTCTTTTTTTTTTTTTAAACCATTGAACAATTTTTTCATAATAAAAATCCTTAAACATCCTGGATATCACTCCTTTCATTTTTTTTTTCAATTTTCAAAAAGACTTCTGTTCGCTAAGAATGTCTGAAAATCTTTTCCTTTTTTTCGAATATATCTCACTATTTATCCTATCATCCGTTCGATGTCGCTGATGGTGAAAATGCTATTCAATATCCATGTTTCACGACACTGCATGGTGTTGGTTATCGAAACTAAGTGCTGAGAATAAACAAACAATGTATGCTAACAAGTTAAACGTACGGCTGAAAGAAGAAAAACCGGTTCGCGTTCACAAGCACACAGTCGCACTGAATTCACACATCCGCAACGATTGTGTTCAACGGAATGTATACAGTAGATGTTCGTTGCAGTGTGGATCGCAGCAATAGCCAACAACAACAACAACAGCAGCAGCAGCACATGCTTGTATAGGTAGAGTGAATGAAGTAGAACCAACGTTACCAAAAAGTGTTCGTGTGGTTAGTAGTATATTGAATGCTGTACCAAACGGTACGTACTGCTGCACGTCGCCCGTTGTGTCGACCTATTGGATTAAGATCATTCGAGTTTCGTTTGGCAGTAAACGAAAAAAAAAAATATTTTAATAACAACAACAACAAAAAATTGTGCAATAAAAACACCCAATTTTTGGATAAAAAAAAACGTTTCTGGGGTAAAATTATTTTTGTTCCAAATAACATTGAAGTTTAAAGTGAATGGTTCAATGAGTGTTGATCTAAGTTGAATGAGAACAAGCAGAAAAGGTGCAATCTACACAGGTGTGCTTGTAATTCTGAGAAAACAATAAAACATGGACAGTCCGTCAATGGCAGTTTCAAAGTAAAAAAAAATCGATTTGTGTAAAAGTACAAAACAGGATTTCTTAAAATCAAACATATTCATTATTTCGAATACAATGTAAGAAAAAAAATAACAACAAAACGGAAAAAAGAGAAAAAAATCCGACTTATTTGGTGCTAGTTTTTATGTGAGTGAATTTTTTCAACAGTGAAGCCTGATTTAAGTAACAGAATTTTTTTTTCTGTGCACCAACCAAATGTCAGTTATTTACATTGACGATCAGATACAGAATTTTGAGGGAAAAACTGTTTTATCGTACCAAATGATCAGCAGAATTTATTCAAACACAAAAACGCGCCGCAACCAAATGTAATTATCATATTAGTGTGCTGAAACTAGACGCGATTCATTAAAATTATTATGTCATTCATATGACGTCGAAGAAAAAAAAGAGAATTCGTAACAAATAAAAACATAAAAAAATGAATTTGGTTTAAATAAAAGCGGAGAATGTGTTTTAACTAAGATATCTTGTGGATTAATGGGATTCTTGTGTTGGCAAACATGTGCGTGTCGAAATCTCGGAGTTTTGTCTCGATATTATTAATCTTTGTCAAACAATAAAATTTTATAGGGAAATTTTCTCTGATCGATACGTGTGAACGAACTGAACGAATAAAAAAAGCGGAAAATATGGATTTAAATGTTGATTTAGACACAGACTATTCAGCAAATAGTCGTTTAATAAGTGATAATAAGGAACAAATATTAAATATGAATAAAAGAATGAAAGTTCGTAGAAAATCACAGCGGCTACCGTCATCATCGTTAAATTGGTTTGCATCGCGAATCAAATTTACATCGTCAACGGCAAAAGCAACAACAACAACAACCAAAACTATGTTCATAAGTTTACTAACACTGTGTCATCTACTCGGATATACATTGTGTATCGGTAAGTTTTCTTCATATTTATTATACGTATGCGTGCATGACGTTCTTGGTGTGAGTGTTTTCTTTTGATGCAACGTCTCGCAACGATCACAAGACATGGGTGCATGTGTGTCTTTTGATACAAGGGTCTTGGTACATTATGAACAAAATAAACGTAACGATAGTTCTTGCAGCAACACAAATACCTTTAACGATCGCACATACACATATACTTTGACTGTGATTTTGTCGCTTTGTCTGTATATTGCACTCGTTTACCTTGCCATACAACACTTTGTGTGATTGTGTTCTTTTTTTCTCTCTTCTGTTTTAACTTGGTCTAACAATCGCCACATTCGCGTTCATTTGGTGCGGTTAGCATATGCGAGATTCAGTTTCATGACTTGAGGCATATGTGTGTTGTTAAATGTTCTGCATTGAAATGGTTGAACGATCGCATACACTTGGTATATGTATTAAATGTACGCGTTATTGTGTGTACCTGAAAATGCAAGACACTTTTTATTTTCGTAATGCATCGAACCGGATCATGCACATATGCACAACATTATAGGGAGAAAAGAAAAAAAATGTAGAGGCAGTGAGAGAAAAGAGACCAAACGCACACTTACACAATCCAATGAGTGTACACCGTCGATTACATCGAATATGTTTCTTAAGTAATAGGCTCTGGAAGGAAAAAAAAAAAGATATGGAATACCGTTTTGGTATGAGAATGTGAAAATAGATATAAAGCAGAATCAATGCGTTCCATATGATGAACGAAGTCGTGTCTCAGGCATTGCCGCGTCACTGTTAATGTATCTTTCGATTTGTTTTTCTTCATTCGCTCTCAACCAAAAAGAAGAAAAAGAAACCATGCGTTTGAGATGTATAGAATGAAATAGAAAAATCATACATAAATAACAAACACATTCATCAACCCGGGTAATAATCGACGCACGAATTCAATAGAGGAAAAAAAAAAACGTCATGTGAATTCAACAAACACACACTCAAAATCCCATTTTCTATTTCATTCGTTGCTGTTGTGAGTCAACGCTTAACGTTTTTGTGTTGATTTAAACTGTTGGCTGCTTCTGCAATTTCTTACACACAAAAATGTTCTCGTAACGCTAGATACACATCCGACAGGCGAATGTGATGATTGTGCTTGTGTACGACGCGAGAATCTTTTTGCTTCTCGTCAAAAGATAGAAACAGATAAATAACACAAACACACATTTAGAATGCATTTGTGTGCATTCAAACATTTTATACCTGATATTTAACAAATTTTTTTTTCGTTCTTTAGACATTGTATTTTTTGTTATCTACATTCGTGGCCAAACAAGCGTTTTCTGATTTCAAATATATTTCGCTTCGCCTTGCTTTACATTTCTTGTTGGCGTGTGTGTATATCTACTTTTTTACCTCAAATTACATAAATTATTCTTTTTATCGGCCATAATAACAATTTCTCTTACCTTTTTCCTCTATTTAACATACCGATGATAGAACAACACATTCATGACTAAGCAAACAACTGTGATGAACCGAGTATTCTGGTGTGGATCTCAATTTACGATCTTGTGCCAGAGGAATAACATTTTATTAAACGGTTGCCATTGTTTTGCGATGAGAGATTTTTTCGTTTGTTTCACATCATTTTCAGTTTTTCGTGTTTTTTTTCCTCGTCAGCATTAGAACGATAGCTGTAATGAGGCAAACCATTTGAAATCATTAGTTTCAACAGCTTCACCATAATTTTATGTTGCGAAACAAAAACATTTCATTTTGAATTAACAAAAAAACATTCGCTGGTGAATTTCGTTGGAAAAACTGTTTATTCTAAACCATTAAAAATTTCCGGGAAATTGCAATCGAAGCATAAGGATGAAACAAAAAAGGATTTAATGCCTAAAGCCATTCTATTTAACGGTTGTTTTAATCATGTTATTGGCACTCATACACATTTCATCATCAATATTTCCATTGGCCAGTGTTTGGTTTATACACACATTTTTGAAACTAAAAAGAAAACTAAATGAAAAATTGATGACCGCGTTAGCTATGTTCAAAATTGTTCAATTTCCGATGGTATTTAAAATATTCCAAAATAGGAAAGCAGTTAAAAGCCAAGTCTTTATCAGCAGATTTTTATGTTATGGTGCTCAATGAAAAAAAAAAAACAAACAAAACAATGTGTTATATTGTATGTATGAGGCGCAATAAATCCGCTGCGAATTTCACGCCAGGGAACTATAACATAACAAAAACTGATTGTTTTTAAAACATTTTGTCTGAGTTGTAAAAAGGCAATAAACTAATATAAAACTTCCATTTAATGCTCGATACATGCATAATGGCATAAACTAGTGAACGAAATGCAACATGAAAAGTCACTTCGAATGTGATTTTAATTTGTGAAGTGTTAATGAATTTAAAATATCGCAGTGACAAGGTTGTTGTCGCCAGTGATTTTGAACGATTCGATGACCACTTGATGTTTAGTGAAAGATATGCCTCTATTTTTCTTCTTCTTCGCATCAATGTCACTCTTATGTGGTGTCTATTGTGTTGAAAAGCCAAACAAAGTTCATGCTTGAGAAATGCATGCGTCAACTTTTTTTTTCATTATACCCTCAACGAGACGGCCATTGAAAGTAAACTGTCTTTTATTCGAGTGAAGTAATAAAAGAAGAGAAAAAAAACGAATGTCTTTAAAATGTCTCTGGTTTCATGTATATGCAAAGGCCTTCCTCGGACATGTTGGCAACGAACATATATACATTTTCTCCTTTGTAATTTTCAGTCACTTCTTTAGATTTTTTACACTATACATAACGTGCAGCATTTGTTTCGCCTTTTTTTCTGTCGTAAACAATGTTTTTTTTTTCACTTGTCTTTCGCTTTTGGAGTTTTATGCCTTTGAACCGACGCTTAAAATTCGAAAACAGGTCGGTATTTTTTTTTGTCGTTGCCATCCATTCTTTCATGTATATGGCTTCCTCTATCTACTATTGTTTTACACGGAACACTTGTTCACAGTGTCCACATGTCTGTCTTCTTTTACATTGTCGTCTTTTCCACAGGGCAATGAGTGTGTGTGTGTCTGCGGTAAATACATGCGTCGAGTCATGTGTACACCTTAATCCAAACGTTCTATTTTGAAACTCAAGAAACAATGTTAATGAAAACGAAAAGAACAATGCCAAACAAAAGATGAAAATTAACGAAAGTTCTATAGATGTGTGGAAGAACTCTTCGAATTCTATAAGAGAGTTGAAATTGAGTAAAATATATCACATGTAACTAAAATGTGTTGTCAACGCCAATACCATATTTACTCTTATAAAGCAAGCTGTGCTCATCACCCAGAAGCGCATTAAACATTTAATTCACGTGCCATACTTGATGACACTAGGAAGAATTGTTACAAAACCATTTGAATGCCAGTGCACACAGCGACATACACAACCATGTAATTGTCTCTGAAAAAGTGAATTAAATTGCTTGGCATTCTAAGGATTCAGAATTCAAAGCATTCTTCTTCTTCAAAGCAACTAATTTGATTTCTTAACACAATTCAATAAATGCACTTGTGTTGTATGAAAAGTGACTATTGTGATATCTGAAATTGAATTGTTAATGAAACAACAGTGACATGAATTTATTACTTTTGGAATTTCATTGTGTCCAACTATTTAACGGTCTCGGTGAACCTTAATGAACATTCAAGTTTTCGTAATAACAAAATGGAACTGTTTTTTCGGTCATTCAAGAAATTCAAATGTTATTAACATGAAATTGTCGCGATGGAATGGTCACTCTGATGGCCTTGACAATTTTATAATGTCCAAAGCGAATAATATGATTTTAATTATTTTACGGTTAATTTCACTATCGCTAACGTATATAAATGACATCGTTGCGTACATAATGGACCAATTTATTCGGAAAATCAGTGGAACATTATTCAATTGGCTTTCTGTGTTCGCCTATGACGACAAACTAAGACATTGCTTAAAATGCTAAATTACATCATCATTCAAATACGAAAGTCAAAGCGCAGCTGTATCAAATCACCACCTCGGAACTGTATTTATAGAATGTGCTCGAACACACCAAAAATAGCATGAACGTATAATCTTACCCCTCGTCATGGCTTTTAAAACCGGCTGTCTTTAAAATATCGTCTCTTTTTTTTTAAAGGGTAACAAGAACTGTCCTTGAAATGCTGCCAATCGTGCTCAATTTGTTTTCTTTTTATTCCCTTCACATCGATTGTGTTACATTGCTACCTCTTAATGTGACTCATTGTATTAAACATACTTCCGTTATAATTTTGCACATTTTTTTCTTTTCTTCATTGCACTCATACACTATGTGCTCGTATTAATCGGATTTGTTTTCTTTTCACTTTGAAAACTTTAAATCATTTTCCGATTTCAGCATTATAAAAACATTTTGGCGTCGAATTATTTTTGGATTGTTTTGTGAAAAGAAATGAAAATTTACTGTGGCAAATTTAGGGAACCAATAATCGGAAGAAAATGCTTAAGATTTCAAGCAAATCAGTGGAAAATCGCCCTCTTTCAGATGCGATGTATATTTATGGGCCAAAACTTGTGAATTTCGTCAACTTACTTCCGCCAATTTGCACCCATAATTAAGCCGAAATATTTTTGGTAGGGCGAACAATTTGAATCAATTTGAATGCGATAAAAATATCGACACCAGCTTGAATTATTCTGGTACATCGACTATTGTTCGGGTCGATTTATTATCATCCATTTTCGCTTTCGTTTCATCTATTTATTGTGAATTATTTATAGCTTTTCGAATTAACGCTCAATTAAAGTTGAAGAACTTTTAATAAGAGCATACACATTTATTTCGTTTGACTGCGTCTGTTAACAAAAGAAATTGCATTATAAATTCAAAGCAAACCGCATCGATGATAAATTGGCCAAAGAGAGAATTTGATTCAAACTCTGTGATTTTATATTGAATTTTACA